GGTCCTCAGTAAAAGGGCACTACTGGGGGCAGGTCAGGTTTTGCGTGGAGGCCATGCCAGACTTGGAAATTTCTGGTGGCCAGGGCGATCACACCTGGTGCAGGTCCAGCGCAATCACAAGTAGTGCTGGCGCTCTGGCTTCTAATGAGTTGTGGCCGCGAAACCAGATTCTTTGAAGGGGGGCTGCGTCAGTCTTGGCTTTCGCTTCCATTTTTTTCATGGGCGCAAGTGTGCGTGCTCGTTCATGCGCGTGTCTTGGACTGCCATGGTTCTGGCATTCGACAGGGCGTGTGGCGCGACTTCACGTTCTGCTGCTCTGCAAGAACGTCCCCTTTTTGCTGGAGCAGCTTGGCATGCCCGCCTAGAGGTCCGTACTCCGAGTCGGCCAAGCAACTGCGAAACATGAAAGAAGCCACGTATGAGTTGCTTCGCTTGTGGCATATGCGTGTCTTTGTGGCACATGGACGTCTTTGAACTTTGAAGCATTGTTTCTGACCTGAAGGACCAGCTTCGTCTGGCTTGATCTCGAGTCACTGAGCCTGCAGTGTGTCGTGCCCAGTTGCGTGGTGAAGTTGGCCATCGTCGCTGGCTTTGGTAGGTTCCTGCACTTTGCATTTCGCCCCATTGCCGACGCAAGGCGTTCCTTTCTGCGGACAAGAAGAGCAAGCTCGAGGGAGCGGGGAAGATCAAGGCAAAGCCCAAGCAGCAGCCGAAGCAAGACGACAACGCGCCCTCGATTGGCCAGACGAAAGCGATCAGAACGAGGATGCCTGAGGCCTGGGGCGCAAGTTGAGACCCCGCAACTCCATGTTCCACATGCACGCAGTCTCTCGAAAATGGCAATGGGCCGGATCACGGCATCCGTGTCGTATCACGTGCAGCAAGGGCAGCTGTTCTTCCGATGGCAAGGAAGCACCTGTCCCAGGTACAAGGGTAAGGCTTGCACGCGGCATGTGGACCAACTCCTCCAAGGGCAATTCCCACTGCTCTTCCCAGATGTTGCAAGTTAAAGCAGTGCAGAGACAGCTAATGCCAGGCTGCGCATTGCACTGATGATGTCTCAGCCTGGCTAATCATCGCATGAACGCAGGGTTCATCCGTGGCCAGCCTCGCATGTGGCTGTGTCATGGGCCCACTCGGCTGCCTGGATTGCATGCCACGCAAGATGTTTTATGGGCTGCCACGCCCTGTGGCTTGACGCGAATGGCTCACTCCAAGAGGCCCAAGACGTGTTCAACAACCACCGACGCTCTGAATAGGTCAACATAAGGGGAAACCCCTGTGAAAGGAGCATTTCCGGAAACGCTGGACTATGGCCGCTGCGGGTAGTCTCAAGGTGTTGATGAAGCAATATAGAGCTAGCAGTTTAAACGCGGCTGTCTCAAGCTAGGAGCACGCCACAAAACGGGTCTCTCCTTAAAAGACAAGTTTCCTCAACATCAAAAACACAACCAAACATGTTTGAGCCCTGGTGCAAACTTTCAGAATCCCCCTACCAAAAGAAAAGGGACGGCAACATGGCGAGACATGGCGAGAGATTCCATGTGCGTTCCGGGCTGATTTCGCCTTCGCAGGTTGCATCTGGAAAGCGGAACGAGAGCTCCGAGGACTGCGCGCTGCGGCGCGAAGCTTTTTGGCCGCCCGGCTTCGTGGAAACATCATGGAACGAACACGCCCTGTTTCGAGTGCGTTGGAGCCCTGTCTTCTTGAAACTACCATAAGCTAATACTGGTGAGCAGTTTCAGCAGCCGGCTTGTCAAGGCAACACAGAACGCGGGCCGGATCATCGCGCCTGGCACTACATTGGACCTTGGTGAGTTCAACTGATGCTATGAACACGGGAGGTTGCGATCTCTACAAGTGTCGTGCGCTGTGTTGCCGCCATGGTCCAGTGCAGTCGGCTTTGGACCAGTGGGACTGGGGCAGTGGGGAGGGTCGAATCGTAGCCAAACCTGTTTTTCCTCCAACTAGTCAGCGCCGGCAAGCGGATTGAACACAGCTGCAGGCCGAAAAAGCAGCCATGTGCGTTCATATATAATTTTAGGATCCAGAAAATATAGACAGCAAATGCAATTGCACTACGCACTGACGAACTCTCGATTTCCTTTGAACGATTGGGGGGGATCCGCCGGACGTAGGGTTCGCACCGATGCCCATGTTCGGGTACCACGTGCCAAAGCACGTCCCCAATAGAGAAAAGCTGCTTTCGCACAACAAAGCTCGAATCAGGACAGAGCAATGTAATCAACACAAAGCAATGCACAACACTAACGAACACTACACCTCTACTAAACAGTACCGAGTCAGAGACCATTGAGGCGGGGGGGGGGGGGACAAGTCTGATCCCTGAATCCTTCTAGCGGTTTCCTCTACTGAGCCCTTGGTTCTTTAAGGGGGGCCCTTTTATGGGACACCCCGCCAACACGAAACTCGTCAACAAATGTGACGGACACCTGCCTGTTAAATTCACAAGTGGATTTCAAAGAAGCCCCCCACCCATTAAATGAAGAATCTCACTGCTGGAGATGTGGGACAAGGGCAAGGGTAGGTCAACAAAAGGGAATTGTTCTGGTTTCCCTCTACAAAAATAAATAAAATCAAGAAATGAAAAAAAACAAAAACGCAGGAGATGGCACATGCATCCAAAGACCAAAGAGATCCTAATCCAGTTCTCAGATCCAGGTCCATTTGAGGAGGTGTATCAGCCCTATACACTGGCAGCCATGCCTACGCGAAGCCACCGTGGATGAAATGAAAAAACACTGGCAGGGTGCCTATGCGCGCCTACCCGCCTACGCTGAGTGCCTACGAGACTTTTCTCAGGCAGTTCGTGTCAGGCAAAACATGCCTGCGCGAACCTGCCTAGGCAGTGATTCCCTGAACAGCCTACGCGCGTACGCGATCGTGCTCCCCACCAGAATTGCCTACGCGGTGCCTCCGCGACGGTTGGTAGTGAGAACCTTGAAGGACACGCAAGGGTAGGTCGACCCAGGCCAATCAATCTGGAGTGAGGCTGGTGTTTCCCCCAAAAAGTTGCCAGGATTCCCACTAAGTACTTAAATGAGACCCTCCCCTCATGATTCACCAGTTTATCGATCCGAGCCCCGGGGTTTTTGCCCGTGCAAAAACGCTCTACGGGGTGAGGCCCTTACTTCCCCGTCAGACCCTCTTTGTATCAGGGTCAAACGGCGAACAGCCTGGTCCTCGGCATGTGTTACGATGGAACTGCCGAACACGAGGCTCCGGTTTTCCTGTTTCCCTCACCAACGGGCTTCCCCTAACCCTACATGGGCAGTTGGCCCTTGGCTGCCCCCTAAATCGTCCTCGAGAGTCTTGAAACATCCAAAGGGGGCCTGCTCGGACCACTCGTCCCACCCGAGCACTCCTTCTGACTCCTCGGCGAGTGCCTCTCCTTAACGCGGCCAAATAAGAGCCATTCGTTCGGGCTGTGCCATGGTTTACGGTCAGACTCGTTTGCATGAAGAGAATGGGCGCATAGGAATGTTGAGATGTATGCTCTTCTTTCTTGCCATGATATTCTTCTTGGGGGCCAAAGTGCCAAAGATAATGCTCACCTTCTGAATCTTCCGGTGACCGTGATGGTCCTAAGAGGCTTTTGGGTCGTTAAAAGGGACATGCTCTGCCTCGCAATCTGCTTTGATCGAAGTTCAGACCTTGCTCATGTGTGTGTGTGTGTGTGTGTGTGTGTGTGTGTGTGTGTGTGTTTGTATGTATACATATCATATGTATATTACATATATATATATATATATGTATTACATAATATGTATTACATATACATATATATATATATATACATACATATGTATATATAACTATTATATATATATATATATATATATTTATAATAGACATATACACATACATTAAATACATATATACATATATATGTATTATTTATACGTGTACTATTATACATGGCAGTTGAAGGTGCTGACATTGCTGGTGCATGCATCGACAGGCATTTGAAAGCTGAGCTTTTGGGAGGGACTCGGGTGCTTCCCTAAGATGAGCCAGAGCTCCTCATGTAAGAACCTGGGAACCTGGTACTAAAAGGTCGATCCAGAACCATGTAAAGAAGTAAAAAGGCGGCGGCGGCACCTATTTATGGCTGGGATTTTTCCTGACTAGCCTTCATCTACACAGGTTCTGATTGCGGCTCATGTGTGTCATGGTCATGGTTACCAAAGGGAACCCGGACAATGTCCAATGCAATCATTCCAAACGCTGAGATAAGGGATCCCCCGGCAATGGACCTATGTCATGATCACCTCCCCCAGCAACCTCGCCAGACAATTCGCAGAATACTGATTAAACAAGCCATGGAGGGAGGGCAATGTCCCATGGTCCTCAATGGCCCTGATGGTAACCATTAGTCACGCATAGTCGCCACTGCAATGGCTCCACCTGCAATGGTCATGAATCAGTACCTATACTATGCGGGCCTCAACAATTGGAATGGGATTCTCTGGCACCTTGAAACCAAATTAGTCAAAGTTGCTAGGAGAGAACTACGAGGAGTTGTTTACGCCCTTTGGCTATGACGGCTGTCTGAACGCCTGGTGAAGGGAGTTGATGGCAGTCCCTGCCAAGCCCAAGTTGCAAATGTTCTAATGGCAATTTGGAAGTCCTGTAGTACAGAATCCCGTTAAGAACCTGGCTAATGAATCATGGCTTCGGATTCGGTGTGCTGTTTGAGGATTCATCTACAGGGGATTGTGATGACTAGTATGGTCCTCCGGATTTATCCGAAGACAACAGTGGGTGGCTGTGTGTGTCAAGGCTTTTTTTTGTTCTCTGTTTTTTCTTCTTTTCGGGACACCTTTAACGATGAAGTAAGGTGTGCCCTTCCGGAGGGGATTTCTCCAGCCCCTTACTCCAGATGGATTCATCTCAAGCCGCTCTGTTGATTTGGAGTGCAAAATCGTGTTGGAGCATGCCGCTTTGTATGTTTGAGATGGAGGAAACAGAAGGACACATCAATGTGGAGATTTCCTGCAGTGCAGTGTTTGTGGTTGTCCGATTCCACCGAAAGGTATTCTTGCCCCCCCACCCAAACAAATGACCACTTGAACGGGACGCTTTTCCAGTGTCCGGCCCGTGCATCCGACTTGTTCACGAGCGGCGTTGGGAAACAGCAGTAGCTGGTACGGCTTCTGGGCCGCAATGAGGGCATTGATGAGCCGGGCGGTATGGCGGAAGTGCACATTCCTCGGGCGAGCAGGCGAGCAACCGAATGCCAGGTGAACATCCAAAACCGCATCTCCTTAGGTTGAACAAAGGGTCCGGAGGGACGCGGCGACCGGAAAAATGCAACAAAGTTGACATCTGAATGCGCATTCAAGTTGATGTGGCCCAAGAGCAGACTATTGGAATACATCCAACTGATCTACCCTCCAATATTAATGAATTTCCTAGCAGCATGCTTGGAGAACATTTGCTTGCGGTCTGGAGAATAAACTCTCAATGTGCGGAAGCAGACCATATCTGTATGCATGCATGCATGCATTACGCAGGTATGTATGGTGTGTTAGGTTGTGCTTGTGTATGTCTGCACGGCGTACACACACATATGTATGTGTATATATACATGTATATCTGTGCGTGCATACATCTATGTACAGTAGCGATTGTGAACCATTTCTGGTGGGTTCGCGGGGGAACCTACTTTTGCTTTGGAACAAAAGGGCACTGGTAAATTACTAGACCCATCTTTTCCTCAGCCAGGACCATCGGTTGTTGAGGCAAAACTCAGCAGAAACGACCGTCTATGGTGGCAGCCCGAATGTATGTCTCTCCTTATTGCCAGCCCAGGAGGGAAATGTGCATGTGTCAAAAGACAGGGACCCCCCGGGATTGTAGCGTTCCTTTCGGATTCCGGATGCCCCATAGACCAAAGGGTCGCATATGGCATGAAAACAACGCAGCGCCCAATGGAGCTGTGGGACTCATCGATCAAGCCGTGCACCAAGAGAAGGTCGCCCTTCATGGTGCCAACCTCAAGGGCTTGACCACCAGGGCCCTTCGGATGTCCCTCCCCCCCAAAAAAAATCCGACCGCTGAAAAACGATGGGGTCTGCCCAAATAGGCTCTCAAAAGGGGGGGGGGTCTGAGATGTGGTGCCTGAGCTTGTTTTTGCGGATATTCTGGTGGAAACCAACCATAATATTTTTCCTTTTTTTTGGGACACCCTTCTCTTCCTTTGGATCTCTCGACTATCCTGGTGCCTTGGACGCACTGATGGGCCACTTCAAGTGGGTATAAGAGGGATATTTGTTATTCCCATCAACAGGGCGAGCCGGACCTCTGAGCACCAGGCATGATCCATCACTGAGCTGCTCTTGTAGCCTGGCGCAAGCGTCTGCTGAACTGTTTGGGCCTTCCAACTGGCTGCGAGAGGTAGGGAATGACCTTCCGGGTGCTGGGAACGAACCGGAAGGGGATTCCCTTAAAGGAAACCACAGGGGATGGTTTTGAATGAAATCCTACAAGTAAACCACGGCGCATCAAGGTCCCCTGTAGAGGCTTGTCTGTTTTGTCCCCGAGCAACCCTCCCAAGGGCAGTTTCCCTTTAAAATCACCGCCAAAAGGGTACTTCAAAAAAGACAACCATATGAGCGACGCCCATGTTTATCAGAGTATTGAAAGGATGCCCTAACTGAGTTTACAAAACCACCACCTTGCAAAGAGTCGGCCTTCCAGTCTTGGGTGTCCGCCTATTTTTGCATCTGTTCTGTGGGAACAGCGCAGCTTCAAGGAAAGCAACTTTCAGCCATGGCGCCCGGGGAAAGCTTCGGAAGGAACTTTCTTATCACTTCCGATCGAGACTGGCCGACAGGTGTAAACCTTCTCTTTACCACTAGAATTGTGTTCCTCCTGCATGTTGTCCCCTGACAATTGCGTCTCACCTGGGCGTCACCTGCGTGTCACCACAGGAATCTACATAGAATCAGGAATGAATTCCGACACCGTTCGCACAAGTGATTCCACTGCGGCAAATAGGTCTTTCCTAACACTGAATGCCCCTTTTGCATGGTTGTGAATAAAGCATTCCCAAACACTAAGGACCCATGTCTGATGGCTCTGACATGGACCGGAAAGGACAGCAGCCATTGTTGAGGGCCACCTATTTTAGAGCTGCGATGTCGCGTCACGAAAACAAACAATGTTCAGCGCCGATCCATGCTGTCTTAAGCCCTAGCCGTAAGAACCAGGTAAGTACCCTCTTTAGATGCACGTTCTGCGATTAGCCAAGAAAAAGTTGCAGCTTGGGGAGTCTCGATATGGGATTCCCCTGGTTTCATTCGCCTCTTGGGTGCAACCTCCTTTCCGACCAATCGGCATTCGTAAGGTGGACGTGTTCTTCCACAAGCAAGAAGGACCAAGCGGGCGGCTTTCATTGTGGCATAGCTGACTCAGTCACAGTGGAAACTAGGGTAGATGGAGTTTAGCGGGAGACTTCCGTCCCAGCCAGGCGTGACTTCCTTCTTTACCACGCTTTGAGAGGGTTCTTCCATTTCATCACTCTCAAGCTAAGATGGAAACCGACGCCAGCCTCACTTCCTGAATGGACTGGCCAACGGTACGAACGTTTGGTTTGTCTCCAGAATGGTCCTCCCAGCGACCAAAGTCCAGAATAGGAAACGAGGAGGCGTTTGTGGCTTAGCAGACTAGGTTACTGCTTTCCGGGGCCCCCAATTTTCCATGATGGGCCACGAGCCTTGAGGACTTGGTGATTGTTCAACCCAACGACTTAACCTTGTACCCAAAACACGGTATGAGTCTTATTTGGGGACCAATTCTTTGGTGGGCATCATGTATGTGGCAATGTGTGTCCTCTCATTGGAGACGCCGCTCCCCGTTGGTGAAGTGCTTGTTTCACTCAAGGCCAAGATCGGCAAAAGCGCCGCGCGGGAACCTCCGATCTTACCATCCCGCGCCCATGGCACCGAGGATTTCCAGTGAAAATCTTGAGGGTTAGGCTGGTTGGCCCAAAGCTTTCGGTCCAGCGTGGCTCAAGTTCAGCAACTTGGGGAGCGAGCCTGAGAGCTTCATGGGTGTTACTCCCCCCCCAAAAAAAAGAAAAGAGAGAGAGAGAAACGAGGAAGAGAGACAATACAATGACCCAAAACACAGGGCAAATTATCAGGACCCCGCCCCGGTGACCCTTTTGGCGTGCGTAGCAAAGCCGACATCGGCCTTTCTCGTTGCTCTGTGGAGTGCCCATGTACCTGCAAAGCTCCAGCCAGGCGCGAATCGCGCGTTTTGGGCTTCCGCGGCCAATTTCCTGGGCTTGTTCTGACGTTGTTGAAAAACAGATCATGACAGATTCCTGGCAGTAATCGAAAAGGAGGCTTCTTTTAAAACTCCTTGTGGATAGTTTGCCCAAAAACAGCCAAAGGCCCTGACCCCGCCAACAGGAGGCTTCTTACAAAACAAGTGTGGTCTGAACAAACAAGTGTAAACAACGGGGCTTGCCGCAACAACAACCCAACCCGAAAAAACACAGGGGGGGCAGGGCTACTTGTTCTGTGGTTTGTGTCGCAAAAACAAAAACGGGTTTGGGATGTTGAAACCATCTTTCTGAAGCCATGCCGGGTGCGAAACACGGGGTCTGGACATTCTTTTGAAGGGAATACATTCCCTGTTGGTCTCCTTTAAGGGAAGTAAAAAGGTGCTATTTAGCACTACGTCTTCTTGTTGCCGATCCCGCGAGAAAGCAGCGAAAGCGACAGCGAAAGCGGGCACCGCTCTGTGTAGCAGGTATCGTAGCCATCCCAGCCTCGAGTTTCATCCGCATGGTTTCTGAGAGGTCAGTGGATGCCTCTGGGCAACTTCTCAAAGGAGCACCTTTTTCCCCTATGGGTCTCTCGTTTGCAGCCGCGGATACCAGGCATCATTCACTTGGTTTCCGGGAAAGGGAATTCAAAACGACCCACGTCTCAGAACCAGATGGGTGGGAACGACAGAACAACCACTCCAGTGTCCGAGTCCAGCGCTGGTCACTGGTGCCCCAGCCACGGCACATTTGAAAACGTCGCTGGCCTGCAAATCGTGGCAATGTTGCTCCCAAGACTCAATCGGCACCAGGGGTAGAAGTTTGGAGGCTGGTGTTGGGAAACCAAAGAAGCCCCAAGCAAACCAAACACAATTTTGACTCTTGTGATTTGATCATTTTTTAGAGACTTTCGCAGCGACCCTGACAAGACACAGGCATTAGTTTAAGACAAGCGCGTGGCAGTTGCAAGTCTGGTTCACTTCGAAGACAACAACCAAAAATTACACCTTGCACACCACGAGGAAACAACAAACCGCAGAGGGCCATGAATTGCTCAGGTAGTGCTACCGCCTCACACGTTGATCCCTTAGTCCAAAGGACTCCCCAGATTCATTAGGAGCTCCTCGGTCCAGCGAATGGAGCTTGCTGGAGGCTGCCCCTCTTTTGCTGTCGGAAGGGGAGGCCAATGTTGGCGCGGACGGGTTATGGAATGACCCTGCATACGACTTCCAATTGCTGAAGGCACCGGGAAAAAAAAAAAAAAAACATAAACAGGACCACCAAACCACACAAACCCTGGTCGTGGAACATCTCCTTTACTGTGATCCCGAAGTGGGAGTCCCATCCCCATGACTACCTTGTCCTATTAAAGGGGACTCCTTTGGTAAGTGACCCTAAGACCAGGCTTTCCGCAACGCCCACCCAACTGGCCTTGGCGAGACACATGGCGCTCAGATAGCCGCCGTAGCTCCAGCCGTAGATTGCCTCAATGGTAAGAACTCTTTGTGGGTCATGATGGCCCTCAAAAGAAGCATTATTGAATGGGCCTCTTCCAGTGAGATGCTCTGGTCCTGACTCCTGACTACATTGTCACTTTTCAGAGGATTCGAAGCGTATCACGGAAAATGCGGACAGAAACCTCTCATTTTCTGCCAAACCTCTGTTGCGGCCCAAGAACATCTGTTGAAACTTGATGCTCGTGCCTACCGTGTCCTTAAAGCAAATCATTCAGCCAACCATACATGAGCACATCTGGCCACAAGCAAAATACCCAACTCAGTGTACTAAGAATTGCTTTGGGAAAGCCGTAATTGCACCCAAAGCAACTGGTTCATTCGGAACCACACAGCGAAGCAATGCCAAATGCCGCGAGATCAAAAATTAGTTGCCAATGTCTACTTGCATGTGTCAACAGTTGACTCAAGTTGGACCCCCCCACACGTTTGAAGGGCATCCTGATTTTGGCACATACGTTAAAACCATCAAATGGACACCCTAACACGCAACGCTTCAAAACGGCAGGAAGTAAGTTGATAGCTAGGTAGTACACAATTTAGGCGCTCAATCCATTTGGCAACAGAGCTTGGCTCACATCTGACGCAGCAAATAGCATCTTGCTGGTGCGATTGGCAGGGAATCAGAAATGGAATAACCTGGATGTAAACCCTCCAACTGGTGGTTTCCTTGGGGACCAACGCCTGGGTTCACTCAACCACATTCCCTACCGATTTCGCATCTTGGAGACAACACGGAAAGCCGACGAACGCGATGTAGCTCGTACGTAGGCCCAGGGCTCCCGACTACGCGCTTGGGATCTGTCAAGCCCTGCTTCGCGCACCACCGCACTGCTGCCGCCTGCCATCGGCTGAGGTAACGCGACGTTTCGGGAGGAAACACTTTGGTATGTGGCGGGGGCTTCATGTTAACTTCAGATTTGCTCAGGTAGTGGAACCAGAACATAGGGGAGCCCTGAAAAGGATTCCCTCAAAGTGATTCACCTTGGACCCGAACAGGGCCGCCCACTGTACATTCACTAAACCTCTGTGGTCGTTTGGTGGACTTTAAGAGGCTAAACATGCTGCCTATATTCGGGTGATCCATGGAAGCCTTGAGAACAGGTTGTCACAAGTTGTCATAGACATGAACTTGCCACTTTGCTGAGTCTGGGCCCCGCATGCCTGCTGAAACGAAAGCAAGCCAGGCAGTTTTGCTCGGCCTTCCATTTCAGCCTTTAAACCCTCCCAATTTTTCAAACGCACCCCAAAGCGAACAAAACAGGGCCACGTTTTCCCAACGCCAGGACCCAAACAGGGCCCTCAGGGTCCAAGTGGGACGCCTTTGCATTCATCAGATACCAAGGCACCCTCTGGGCCTCTGGCAAAGGAACGGGGTATTGTTAGCTCCCCTCACTTGCCCAAAGGAGTTGGAAACAACAGCTTCACCTTTTGGTACCTCTACCCAAAAAATGGACCATTTTGGGGGGGGCAAACCAAAAGCTCAAAAGGTCGGCTTTGGGCTTTGGGCAACGATTCGAGTCCCGTCCCGCCTGGTCTTCCACTTCCAGATTCCCCATGTCGAACTTCAGCGCGCCCTCGAACTCCAGGCCCCGGCCTTGAGCTGCATGGGATCGACGCGGCTGGGGATGGGATGGGTCTCTTGGACTCCCTATGGACCCCCAAAAAACCAGAAACCACAAAGAAACCAACTGGAACAGGCGCGGTCAAATCAAGGAACCAGGAGAGAAAGAACGTGAAGTTGGCTCCCCTTTCTGAATCCGGAGAGGTAGCCAATGGACATCTTTACTCAACCCATGGACTGATTTCCTGAGGTCTCTTGGACTGTTCGGGGATATACGGGGAAACTGGGCTGGTCAAAACAAAATTCGAATCAACGCAGCCCACCCTGTTGGTTTTGCAGCTTCGGCATCGATTTTAGGCAGTCACCTCTCGGTTTCTGGCGATTGCTTGTATTTCGTCAGGCAAGAAACGCGATGAAGAGACCACGAAACACAGGAGACCCCTTGCGTAACCCGAGGGCAGCAATAGCTTTGAGCAGTGCTCAGAAACGCACTAGCTGCGGTGTTGTGTGTGTGATTTTTGCCTTGTTAAACAAATACTTTTACTTCATACCAGCATCGAGCTAGAAATGGCATCTTCAGATTCTGGCCCTTTAGTGAACCTCAACAAAACGTAGAGGCAAACCTCCCAAAGGGCTCTCCTTGTGACATCCTTTCGAAACTGTCTCAGGAAGGGGCCCTGTTTTGACACAGGGCGTTTCTTCAAATCAGAATCGAGGTGTGTGGTCCCTTTCCTTCTAACCGGTTCCCCGATATGTCCTCCAACAAACATACCCCCTTTTGAGACTCTCACTTATCTAAGACCATCAAGCGGTGATGTCCGAACGATATCCCTGGCACTGGCACCGCTCTAATCCGAGGTGCGGAAACTGCCTCGGTTGTCACACTTCACGACCAAGTACCCCTTTCTCCTGAGGGCCTCGCGGCGCCAAAACCCAAGATGCAATCAGTGAGCCACAGAACAAAAGAGTTGGGGGACGGACAGCTTGATGAAGCCAACACTTGGAAACTATTTTTGGGGCGGAAACGCTTTTTAAGTGGTTTCGGAAGACTGTTGAGATCCCCCCTGCAATTTAGGGGGTGGGATTGGCACCCCCATAGTATAGCATAAAGCTTGCAATTTGCGAACCATTCCTACCTGGGAAATCCACAAGCAGCAGCCCCATGTTGATCCGTTTTGTCCGTTTGTGCCGGCATCATAACCTCAATGTTGCTTAAGCCGCCTGGAAAAATGTCCAGTAGTGATAGATTAAACCGACCGAGGGAAATAACACATACTCTTGACAAGACAATGGAAGAATACAGAAGGAATGTTGCTAGGGCAAAGCGCTCATTTCACACCAGAAGAATTCCCTCATTCTACACCAGTTACCTCATTCCACACCAGAGTAAATTCAAGGATTCCCTCACCTGCCATGGGATCCAAGGCCGGCACAAACTAGTTTAGAGCTTTTCGGCACAGGACGGTGAAACCAAGGATTTCCTCATCTCACAGCAGAGTTTAGGGTTTAGGGTTTGTAGGGGATTTAGGGTTTAGGGAATTTAGGGATTAGGTTCTTTAGGGTTTAGGGAATTTAGGGTTTAGGGTTTTTAAGATTTAACGTTTTCAGGGTTTAGGGTTTTTAGGGTTTAGGGATTGTAGAGTTTCGGGTTTTTAGGGTTTAGGGATTGCAGGGTTTAGGGAATTTAGCGTCTTTAGGGTTTAGGGTTTCAAGGTTTAGGGTTTTTTGGGTTTAGGGTTTTTGGGGTTTGGGGTGTTTAGGGTTTCCGGAATTTAGAGTCTTTAGGATTTAGGGTTTTTTGGGCTTAGGGTTTTTTTTGCTCGCCCTGTGTGGCGCCATAGGAGCCAAACAGCTTCAATCAAGCAAGCCCAAGCACTACAACATGACACAGTTACCAAACCAGTTTTCTACAAGATGACCTAACCAGGCTCAACCCCTCAACATGGCCCACCAAGAAAGCAAGACACATGCAGCCTCTACAAAATGACTGGATTTTGTAGCAACTCATTTTGCAGGGGAAAAACATCATCCTCTACAAAATTGTTGTTTTACAAAATGTGTGCACCCGACGTGACCCCCCTCTCACTATAAAACAAGCCGTTTATAGGGAGGTCAACCCCTCCCACCCTGTAGGGGAAACTTCAAGGGGATCCGTGAAGGGGAAACCGGGAAACTTTAACCCCAATTAAAGAGGAAAACTAAGGGTCCCGCTGAATTGGGGAAGGCAAACTCACTAAGGAGACTTTCAGGCCCGTTGGAACCCCTCTAAATCGCATGGAGCTAACGACGCATACCTCTACCGAGCTGCACAGTGATACTGGTCGAAACAGGGAAACATGGAAAACCTGGGTTTACTTTGCCCTCTCGTGTCAAACACGCCATGGCTCACCCCTCCAAGAGAAGTACGCAGAGTCCGGGTCACTATCGCAACCAAAGATACACAATGTGACAAATTTACAGCTGCTCAGGACGCTTTGCATTGAATCATGGAACCTGCTTGTGTTGCCATTCATCCACTAACCCAGCAACCCGGCAACAAGGCAACTCATCCTAACAAGCAACCAAACGGAGTGATTACATCACAATTCAGCAACACAACACAGCACTGAACTAACCAGAAACCCATATGACAAACAAACCCACACACACACACAACCAGACACAACTAAGAGACTGACAAATCAACAGACAGCAAGACAAACGGACAGACAGACAGTCAGACAGAAACACATACAGGCAGACGGGCTGGCGGAGGGACGGATCGACAGACCGACCAACCGACCGACTCACAGGCAGGCAGGCAGAGAGGCGGACAGACAGGCAAACAGCCAGAGACACAAACAACCAACCAAACACACAAAACAACAAAAATCTCAAGAAAAAAGAAAAGAACAAAACAAGCAATCAACCAAACAGCACCAACAAACAAACCAAACAAACACAGTCAACCAACCAAACAAGCACACTCAACCAACCAAACAAACACAACCAACCAACCAAACAAACACAACCAACCAACCAAACACCAACCAACCAACAAACCCAACCCAACCCAACCCAACCCAACCCAACTCAACCCAACCCAACCAAACTCAACCCAACCTAACCAACCAACATACCAACCAACCAAGCGACCGTCCGAAAACCGACCGACCGACCCACCCGCCCACCCACCAACCCAGCCACCGGCCCGCCCGCCCACCCACCAACCCACCCAGCCACCCACCCACCCACCAACCAACCAAGCAAGCAAGCAGCCAGCCAACCAATACCAATCAACCAATACCAATTAACCAACCAAACAACCAACCAACCAACAAACAAGCCAAGCCAAGCCAAGCCAAGCCAAGCCAAACCAAACCCACCCAACCCACCCAACCCACAAACCGACCAACCGACCAACCAACCGACCAACCCACCAACCCACCAGCCCACCAGCCCACCAGCCAACCAGCCAACCAGCCAACCAGCCAACCAGCCAACCAGCCAACCAGCCAAGCAGCCAACCAGCCAACCAGCCAACCAGCCAACCAGCCAACCAGCCAACCAGCCAACCAGCCAACCAGCCAAGCAGCCAACCAGCCAACCAGCCAACCAGCCAACCAGCCAACCAGCCAACCAGCCAACCAGCCAGCCAGCCAACCAAGCAAGCAAGCAAGCAAGCAAGCAAGCAGCAAGCCAGCAAGGCAGCAAGCCAGCAAGCCAGCCAGCCAGCCAGCCAGCCAGCCAGCCAGCCAGCCAGCCAGCCAGCCAGCCAGCCAGCCAGCCAGCCAGCCAGCCAGCCAATACCAATCAACCAATACCAATCAACCAATACCAGTCAACCAATACCAATCAACCAATACCAATCAACCATTACCAATCAACCAATACCAACTAAGCAACCATGCAACCAAGCAACCAACCAACAAACAAACCAAGCCAAACCAAACCAAACCCACCCAACCCACAAACCGACAAACCCACCAACCCACCAACCCACCCAACCCACAAACCGATCAACCCACCAACCCGCCAACTCACCAACCCACCAACCCACCAACCCACGAACCCACCAACCCACCAACCCACCACCAACCCAGCCACCCACCCACCAACCAAACACAAAGCTCACCATGCCCTGCCATCGTTTCTGCCCCACCTGCGCTCGCAGGTCCGCTGTCATGCCCCAGCTGTCGCTCACCAGCTGCACGTGGGGACCCCCGTAGCAGCTCACCACCGTGGGGTAGGGCCCGGGCCCGAAGCGAGCCTAGCGGCGTTGGGGTAAAACCCTCCCCCAGACTATCATGGAAGCTTCCAGGTCCCTTTGATAAGACTTGGTTCGATTTGCAGAGGCCGGTCTGGGAGCTTCCATGTTCGTTTGAGGGACTTTAAAACTTACATCTTGGGCTTCATCTGACAAGGCGTGGGGTCATCCAGCAAGTTGTGTTTGGTAATGTGATCAAAGTAGGGATTCCACCCCCTTGGCTTCTGAGTTTTGTCGCTGGTGGTTTGGATTGGTGGTTTGGAGGGTGATTTATCCCCAAGAACCACGGACCATCAATCCAAACCACCAATTGGGGGCAACAACTTGGCTTTTGACCCACCCATATTCGGAAATGTCATCAGAATATATTGCATGCCAGGGAGTTCAGGAGTTGCTTCTTAAGGCTTCCTTTCACGAGGACAGGTGAGGCACCATCAACACTGATACTAAAAAGGTCTGCCCCATGTAAAGAAGTGCATGGCCCACTTTTGGTCGTGACTGTCCCCTGCTACCCTCAAATTGCAAGGGCGCGCAGGTTCTAGGTTATGAAGGAAGGTGAAGCGGCGCCTGAGCCTTAGCCTCAAACAAGTTTACCTGCTTCCCCAGAAGCTGGCATAGTTTGTTGACGGGGTGTTTTTCTAAGCAGCGTAAGGGCTCTCAAGGGTCCGGCATGGAGTCGCGGTGTGCATCCGGGACTACGGCTTTCATTGGTGCTGCTAGTCGGTAGCGAAAGGATGCCCGGTGGGTTAGCATGGGTAGGGGTCAACGGGGCAACAAGATGGCGGCCGTCCTATTGGTTTCTATTTAAACCAATCTGACACTTGAAGGGTTACCTTGAAGAAAGCACGCACCCATGAGAATAATCCACAGGCTGGCCATTCACAAATGGCACATCCTGCCGAGCACGCGTGAACTGATGGGAGACTCAGCACTCGGATTCCGATCACAGAACTGTGAGTTCCTTGTGACATTCCTCTACACCTGCTAAAGAACCTTCCGGAAGCCCCTTAATTTACAAGTACCACCAAGAGAACCCTTTCTAAGAAACATAATACAAAGCTCCGTGGCAAAATGTTAATTGTAAACCCGGACACAACAAACAAAAAACAACGGTACAGTTTCGCTTTCCACGAAATGCCCGCAACCAGAACAAAGGTTTTGGACTCCCTTGGTAGACAGGTGCGAGGGGAACAGCCATCTGTTGATTTTAAAATGCTAGCTTTGCAAATGTCAGCAGATCTGGGCAACCTTGCAAGAAGCAATCACTACCACTACCAGGGTCCCAAAACTGATTGTTTCCGAATGGTTCCTACTTGCCACCTGGGCTGGAATAGGGACATGTGCGGGCAGCAAACCCGAGAGAGAGGATCCAGGTTCCCGGCGGGCAACGTGGAGCACAGAAACTGCAACTGGTCAGAAGTGGCCGGGAAAACCTGTTGGAGCACTAAACTCCTCAAATGTAAGGCCTTGGGGAACGGTCCCAACACACAGCTCTTCAGTTTTTGGGGTATCTTGTGTGGCTTCCAGGTCCGGAATGGGCCTTGGGATCTGGATTCTGAGTCAGCTGGCTCCTTCTCCAAGCAGTAGGTGAAAGGGGACCCCAACTCTTTGATCCGCAGAAAATGGAAATCATTGGCCCAGGTCAATGTGTTGTTTTGAAGCCCGCAAAGGGGGAGGAACAGCCAAACAAATAAACAGTCATCTCAATTAGATTCCTAAAGGAGAGCATTTAGGATTTCCTGTGAACAGCCGGCAGGTGCGGCATCTGGTTTCTGGATTCTTGGCCCTTCTACTTTCTTCAAATTCTGCCGCCCCCCCTCCCCTAGAACCCCCAATCCCCAAAAGACACTCACTTATGACCTTATCACGGCCTCATTTGGAGGAAACCAGATCCAGAAGACAGACTGAGAGGCAGTTCAAGCAGTTTTAGCGCGGAATTGATTCATGTTTGGAGGATTCTTCAGACTCGCATGGAAATCTGATATTCACATTCTATGGTCGCACACTGAAAAACCTCGACATGCTTAAACCTTGAAGTCATGGCCTACCCCAAAAGCCATGAATTCACTCAGAAAGAAAGGCCCACCCCCAAACAAGCCGCCTCGATTTGCCTATGGGCAGAGTTGTTTTACTCCATCGGCCACGCGTTCGGCGCACCCCCCCCCCCTAAAACGCCTTGTCCGGCTTGTACACCGCCGCCTGCAGCGTGACCTCCAGAGCTCGAGGAACAACACCCCAGTGTTCACTGGCCTTGGGGCCTTGAAAGTGGACAACACGACCTCCTTTAAAAGGGATGATGAAGAAATTATGGGGAATTGTGATCCATCCATCTACTTTCACCCAACTGTGCTTGCAAGTTGTGGCCTCAGCTTCTGAGCAAAATGGGCCTTGGTATCACAGAAACTGGCTCGAAACGACCATGGTCTTGCTAGTAAGTTCTGGGGAACAAAAGGGAACAGGGCGAGTTTGGGAAAGGAGCTCCCCCAAATCTTCTAGCTGTACTTCCCAACCAGTCCGAGGGATCCACATCTTTTCTGGGGAAGTTTCGCTGGCGTCTCAAAAGACCGATGGTGAAAAGAACAGCGTCTAACGCATCCATGGCAAACAATTCGGTCGCGGCGTGTGGTACACAGATGTTTCAAGGGTAAAAGGTCGCAAACGGAAAGAACCATGGGCTCTGTGTTCCACCTAAAACGGTGGTTTTCCTCGTGGCTTCCCTTGAAAATCCACAAAAAAAAACAGGTACCCTCAAAAAAAGACAGACCCATATTTACCACCAAAGAGTCCTCTAACTCTTTGGACTCTTATCGCCCAACCAAGTCCTTCTTGACCTCGAGGTGAGGAAAAGGAACAGTTTCCCACAAACCCATGGCATATTTCCAGAGGCTTCATACCTCTCTACCTGACTCTACCTTGAGGCATGGCTTTTTTCGGCGCATCAAATCACGTTTCTCCAGTTCTTCCGCCAAACGTAAATTCGGACCCCCCCTTCCCTCCATTCCAATGTTCCGGAAAGATCTCAGGGCCTTTCATTCTGGTCCTATGCCGCCGTGCAGGCAGGCTGCGCTTTATGGGTGTCTCTTATGGGGAAACCCTTGACACGGGCAGTATCCAAACACTCTCATATGTTGACTCCTTCAGACAGTTAGGAATGGCTGGGAGAAGCCGTCTAGTGCTCTCTTGGAACACCAAGCAGATCCAAGCAACCAGGCGAGCCGGAGCTCCGGAGTTAGCATTGGATGTTGTCACCATCCTGAAATATCTAAAACCTCAAGCTAGGACCCGGTCGACCCAGAGGAAACCACCAGAGACGTGGACCAGGCCAGCGGGAAATTCTCGCGCGAGGAGTTCGGGCGAGCCGAGTTCGGCTCGCCTTGCCATCGCTGGAGGGCAGCGTAAAGAGCTCCGGGGGCTGAAGCTTCAGCGTCTCCAGGAGGGGATCTTTGTTGGTGTCCTCAAGCCACCCGTGGCCCGTGGAATGAGACGGGGTTGATCCAAAGGTCCTTTGGATACATGGGAAGACCATTCGGTGTACCACATCAAAAGTGAGAGTTTCCACATGGGAAAAAAGCTAGCCATGTGGTAAGGGGACCCCAAACCCATTGAGAATCAACCATCTCACCTGGGCAAAAAAGGACGCACAGGCTTGGTTCACTTTGCAAAAACACGGATGCCGACAAATGAGAAAAAGCAACAAGAACACTCTCCCCCCAACCAACAAAATAGATCATAAAGGTCAAAGCAAGCTCCCCCCAACCAAGAAAAAGACAAAGGGCCAAGCCACCACTCTCCGGCCCAACCAAAACTTCCAACCCACAAAACACATCGTGAACAGGCCAACCAAAACAGTCTTCCCCCGCCAACAAACATCATACAAACAACAAAACACAAAAACAAACACCAACAACACACAAACAAGAGGTCCAAACCCTCTTCCCCGTCTGCGCCACTTGGAGCCTTCACCGATGTCCGTTGCGCGCGCCGTTTCCCGCGCGAGGCGCGATGGGGGTGACCTCCTTGCCGTCGGCCAGGCTCCGCAGCTTGGCGGAGGCGGGGCGGTCCATGGCGCTGGAGGTGTCCACGAAGAACTTGCACTGCCTGAGACGGAAGGATGTTGGTGGTTGAGTGCTTGACGGAACCATGAGGATGTTGGTGGTTGAGTGGTTTGAGTGGTTGAGTGGTTGAGTGGTTGAGTGATTGAGTGGTTGAGTAGAGTGGTTGAGTGGTTGGGTGGTTGAGTGGTTGAGTGGTTGCAAACATGTATCAAGCTTTAGCAGTTGAGTGGTTGGATTTCGAAGGATGTTGGTGGTTGAGTGGTTGACGGAAGAGCAAACATGAGCAAAAAACCATTAGCAGTTGAGTGGTTGGAGTTCAACCACACCTGAAGCAACAAAAATGGAAGCAAACTAACGTTGAAATAGGGGACCAAAAAAACACGGCAGTTCAATCACTCGCGAGCAAAACAACGGCATGATATGTTTTTTAGCAGTTGGGTTGGATTTCAACCACTAAACCAGAAGCAAACCTGTAAGACTTTCGTTTCCCAACAACATACATGGAGACACGGAAGAAGCAGCCGGGAAAATCTTCTGGAACCGCACCCAAAATCTTTCAGATCGGAAAAACCCGAAGGATCCCGGAACTCGGACCCAGAATCTTTGAGAAAATGTTTGCTTCATGTCGGTGAACTACCTTGCTGGAGCTCAGTAGGGAATGACCCTCCACGTCCGGGTTTTGGGAATGCACTGGTTTTGGGGATTCCCGAATAGAGGAAACCAACTAGAGGATGGATTCCCCGCTGACCAGCAAGCAAAACCCGGACCCGACCAGGAGCTTGGCCCAGAAGGCCGCGGACCCGGAACTTAGCCCCTGACAGATGTGGAACCCAACGCGGAACAGTTCTTCGTATGGGCTTGTCTCAGAGGTGTACGCCCAAAAATTGTTTGTCCTGGATTACCCCCCCATTGCAGGACACTCTCAAAACGAAGACACCCCCCTGGTGGGGGCTGGTGGTGCCGTGAGAAGTCACCCAATTGAAAGGAAACCAACTTGTTTGAGGGCAAACCAATTTGTTAGTGGGAAAGCATATGAATTTGCAAGGGGTAGCTGTCAACGCAGGGAGCCCAAGGTCACAAGGATGTTGCGGGTCGTGAGTGTATACCCAGTGACCTAGGCGGAGCAAGGAAACCGCTTCCTTTTTGCATTCACCGCTTCGAAATGGCTTCGGAACCCGCCACAAAAAGAGGAAACCGGTGCTGAACAGGGACGTGCCTTTCTTTTGGCCCACTTGCCACCCCAAAGAACTATCACCTTCAAGACCATCACCTTAACAAGGCCCTGAACGCAGCCCTGCTAACCTGCTAACCTGCTAACCCCTTTTGCTTAGGTGTCTACCCGGGAAATTCCATGGACAAGGCCCAAATCTCCAGCGCGCGTCTCCGGCAAAACAACACTTTTTGGGTGCAAACATCACCGTCTTGTCGGACAGGGCAATTTGGAAACCCATGGCGCAACCATATTCTGCGAAATGGATTGAACCCTGTCCATCTGAAAGGGATCCCTTCAACGAGAGGCGGAACCCAGTACTAAGTGCATGCAAAGGGTTGGAGCAATCCCCAAATGGGTAGCTCCCCTTTTAGCATTCTTTTGAAACAACCCCAAAAGCCGTATCACCGTATCAGCAAAAAAAAACCAAGCCTCTACATAAACCCATGTTGCTGTGTTGGTTTGCCTCTGGTTGGGTTCCTCTAGAACTCAAGTTCATTGTGAATTAGCCCGTCGAGATTCACAGCCCAACAACTCTGGCAAATTTCAGCGGGGAGCCTCCCAAACAAAGAAGGCAGAAGGCGTGAAACACGCGGAACAACTGCTGCCCGGTGACCCCAAATTGGTTGGTTTCCTTGGAGCTTTCCTTGAACACCAACCTGGAAAGAGTAGCCATTTCTGGGCGAGAGGCTTGTCCACGACTACGCTGTGCATGCCATGCTCCTTGGTGATCTGAAACACCTTCTGCTGCTTGCCACCGGTCAGGCTGGCACGGAACAGCTGCCGGCCCAGCCAGTTGTCCTGGATTTTACAGGTCGCCCAGAAAACTCCTTTCGTTGACTTGCCCCTTTGCATTCTAAATTGCGGGGAGCAATTCTGTGTGTCCGCGTTCCAAGGCAAGGGGTTTTCGGAGTTTGCCGGGATGTTGCTTTCCCTCAAACAGACACAACGCACCATGGAGTCCATCCCTTTATGGAGCCCAAGGGGTTATCCCCCGTCTGACCCTGGCAGATGTGAATGGTGCTTTTGCCCCGGGTAACGAGTGTTGTTCCTGTTGTTCAGCTTTTGTGCTTCTTCAGACTGCGTGGCATTTCACCGCGCTCTGTGAACTTACCCTAAGGGTCCAAGTACTCCATAATGAGGTACTTTCGTGAAAAAGCTCTCCTGGGCCCGAGTACGTGAAAATTACGGATTCTCAATTTGCAGCCATTTGGGAACCCAGCGCAGACCACGCGATACTTTCATCGCTGGATGGCACGCAGAAGCACTGCCTGAGATAACATGTCATACATTCGCGTCTAAAGCGGGGTCTTGCGGGTCAAAAGCCTCGGAATGCTCAAACATGCGCAAATATCTTAATGCGTGAGTAGCGACAAACTACCTTCTGCATTGTTTCAAACTGAGGGACAGTTGCCGAATGTTGCACATGTCTTCGCCATGTCCGGCAAGAATAGCTATCGTGGGAAAGTTCTTGTTCTTGTCAAAAGTGCAGCACCGATATGGCGTTGCAACATCCTTCAGTGCATCAGAATCACCCTGGTGGCATCGAAACAGCCTCGCGCATTAAATACGTTTCCCAGAACTGATGTCGCAATTTAACGCGAGTTAACGCCCGGAAGCTGGCTTTCACTGTCTTTAACGCAGTTTAACGCAGCTTTATCGCGTGATGTGTAGAAACTTCTGTCGCATGGACACAGCATTCACACATTAAACTGATGTCCGATCTGAAATTTAGTACAATTTTGACACAACTTAATCCGATCTAACTGCCACAAGTGCGCTAGCACGGCTTTGGACGCCACTTGTTTCGATCGAACACAACTTTATCGTTTTTGTCTTCTTCAGCGACCCCGCAGCCTAGACCTGGTGGATTGATGTGCTAGAGAGCCCGAGAGTCCTCCCATTGGTGCTTGAGCAACCCCAGGCCCCCAAGACAAGCTGATCACCCACCGCCATGATGCAACTATGCCGCGGTTGCAAATGAGTTGATGCTGTCAGAGTAAAACGCTCTTCTGCTAAGGGGATTGCTGAATTTTGGTGCAACACGGTGCAGCATGTCGTATTCACGGCTTTGCGCCCCAAAGCCGCGCTCCTGACATGTAGAGCCAAACCACGCTGAGTATTACGGATTCCGTTACCCTGTGGCCCTAGCAGCTGATTTCACCTTTGCACCCCCCAGGTCCCCAGGAAAAACGTAGCACATCATAAACCGCTGCGAGTCAATCTGTCCAGCTCTGCCAGCTACAGGTCCTCTACCCCGTGGGTTGTGGAATGGCTTCTGAGGGGGTTCCGGAGGTGGGGCCAGAGCTTTTTTCGCCAGTCCTGCGAGGTGCCCATAAAATACACCTGGCCCTTGGCTTCATCCACTGCCACCACCTGGCAGGCGCATGGCGCCTGGTGGCCATGAGGAAAACGCCGGATTTGTTGGGGGGTGGCGTTTTATTAGGTGAGTCAGTTGTGAGGGCGGGGTCCAACTTTAGGACAACTCTTCTAGGGAGTTGCCACGAGCTATCAAGTGAGAAAAGTGAGTGTCTTTATGCCAAGAAGCATATCCCAAATGCCCATTGACCCTGGCAAAAACGACCCGCCAAGCAAACCGGGTGAACGACGAGCGGGATGCGATCTGACGAGCGCCTCCTCAACTTCCCAGTTGCCGCTGGTCACTGGCGTCAGCGAGCCATCCTGGGCTAAGGGCCCAAAACGACCCAACTTGGCCAATGGAAAATTAGGATTGGATTTCCCTTGATTGAGGTTGAAGCCTCAAACATTGGAACTCAAGGGGAACGGATTGAAATTCCTTTGAGGTTGTTTCAAGATGGGGAAGCCTCAAAAATTGGAACCCGAGAAAAACAAGTACCCACGAACCAGCACCCCAAATCTCATTTTTCCAGTGCCCTTTGGCTTGGGCAGGTTCCCAACATCAACCAACACAAAAGGGTCTTCAGGGCAAACCTTGAACGCATGCAGCTGCATGTGGTACCAGGGAGCATGACCTTCTTGGGTTCGAACAAAGGAAATCGCCGATGAAACTGTGCACGATGAAACCAAAATAAACTCGAGCGCCTTCGCCTGACCCATCCCGGCATCCATGCTACCTTGGGCGCATAAACCTCGGCGAATCTGCAATTTTCCTGGTGCAAAAAGGGGCTCCGGCAATCAAGAGTCCCCCTTCGGAACACGGAAACCCCAAAGAACACCACCAGCACATGGGTCAAAAATAGGGCAACCCCAAAATGGATCGGCAACTGGCTCCCAACTGGAACCAAGGGCTAACACCTGGTCCAAGTCCTGGTTGAATCGGTGCCCCCGCCCATTTGGGCGCTCCAAATCCCCCGGCTTCGCCACATCGCTTCGGACCGGTCCTTGGGCTCGTAGATGTAGAGGTGCCGGAAGCCGCTGCGCTCGCTGGCCCAGAGGAAGCGGCCCTGGGGCCGCGACTTTGGAGAAGCCCAGCTAGAAATCCTTCAAGGAGCATTTGAACCCATTTATTGGGTCTCTTGTTTTTTGGTTGCTTTTTTATTGAAAAGAAAACATCCTTCAATGGCTAATGAATTCGGTCTCTGTGTTTTTTTGCAACATGCTTCAATGGCGAATGAATTGACCCAAGGGGTTCTATAATTACAACTTAGTTACAACATCCTTCAATGGCTAATGAATTGGGTCCCTGTGATTTTACAACATCCTTCAATGGCGAATGAATTGACCCAAGGGGTTCTATGATTACAACTCAATTACAACATCCTTCAATGGCGAATGAATTGGGTCTCTGTGATTTTACAACATCCTTCAATGGCGAATGAATTGATCCAAGGGGTTCTATGATTACAACTCAATTACAACATCCTTCAATGGCGAATGAATTGGGTCTCTCTGATTTTACAACATCCTTCAATGGCGAATGAATTGATCCAAGCTCTGTGATTTTACAACATCCTTCAATGGCGAATGAATTGATCCAAGGGGTTCTGTGATTACAACTTAATTACAACATCCTTCAATGGCGAATGAATTCGGTCTCTGTGATTTTACAACATCCTTCAATGGCGAATGAATTGATCCAAGGGGTTCTATGATTACAACTCAATTACAACATCCTTCAATGGCGAATGAATTGGGTCTCTGTGATTTTACAACATCCTTCAATGGCGAATGAATTGATCCAAGGGGTTCTATGATTACAACTTAATTACAACATCCTTCAATGGCGAATGAATTGGGTCTCTGTGATTTTACAACATCCTTCAATGGCGAATGAATTGATCCAAGGGGTTCTAAATTACAACTCAATTACAACATTCTTCAATGGCGAATGAATTGGGTCTCTGTGATTTTACAACATCCTTCAATGGCGAATGAATTGATCCAAGGGGTTCTATGATTACAACTCAATTACAACATCCTTCAATGGCGAATGAATTGGGTCTCTCTGATTTTACAACATCCTTCAATGGCGAATGAATTGATCCAAGGGGTTCTATGATTACAACTTAATTACAACATCCTTCAATGGCGAATGATTTGGGTCTCTGTGATTTTACAACATCCTTCAATGGCGAATGAATTGATCCAAGGGGTTCTATGATTACAACTTAATTACAACATCCTTCAATGGCGAATGAATTGGGTCTCTGTGGTTTTACAACATCCTTCAATGGCGAATGAATTGATCCAAGGGGTTCTATGATTACAACTTAATTACAACATCCTTCAATGGCAAATGAATTGACCCAAGGAGTTCTATGATTACAACCCTTCACATGATGTCTACCCCTCTCAGCGTTGCTGCGACCCCAGCTGGGTAGAATTTTGGCTCCGCCAGAAAAGGGAAGCCCACGCAATTTGTGACTTTGCCAAACTAGGATTTGGAACCCCGAAACGGGTGGTTTCCTTTTGGTGTCCCTTTAAAGCAACCCAACAGAGGGGAAATAGCCTACCCATTTAGAGGCTTGGAGAAACCAGTATCACCTGCCCACCACCCGCATATTTCCATGCGCCTTGTCCAAAGGCTTCAGCATGTTGTGCACATTCACCCACACCTGCGCAGCCGTGCGGGTTGCCCGTTTGACACACGCCTCGGACCTCCAAAGGCTTTGTCGCAGTGTGTAGTTCATGTTAAAGGCTAGCCCTCTCGAAACATGATTGTAAAACAAACTGCAGGTCCCGGCTCGGTTTCTTGGTGCTCGGTTCACTAAAGTGACATGCTCAAATTGGGCCCCTCTAAATGGTGATGTGGTTTGCGGGGAACACGCCCACACTGTTCACTTCAGGGCCCCAGTTTGATTTAGCTCAAAGCAAACAGTTTTGGTTGGTTTGTCCCAAGTCTGGGCTTTGAACCCTTCAAAGCGCTCGACTCCGCTTAACAAGCACGAGGCTTCGTTCGTTGCGATTGGGATTCTGACACCCTGCCTAAAACAACAAGCTCCATGTAGGCCATGGCGCGTCCTGTGTGGTTCTTGGTCCTTAAAAGCTTGGTTTTTGGAACAAGTCGGCGCCTCACCGCATGCAGAACCAGGATATGAATGCCAGTCAGGCTCTTACCACGAAACAACACTTACCAATCGAAATGTTCTACAAGAAAGGGCGAACTATTCAGACATTGTCAACAGACTACCCGGAATCTATATCTGGCTTGGACAAACAAAGGTTCCTGCATCACTTTTCAGTAGGTTCAACAATGCCTATAATTATCCTTGTTCATCCCCTTTTCATTTGCCATTAGATGACACCGGCTGCCAATTGTGGTTGTTGGAACTCATAAAAGGTGTGCCTGTGTGTTTTCTGTGGGGAGACCCAACAAAAAGGTGGTGTTCCTCTTGGTTTCCCTTCGAGCCCGCCTAGAAAAGGTTACCCGCAAAAACGACGAGTCACCCATAACTCCCTTTCTCGTCCGAGAAAAAAAACACAAAAAACAACGCTCCTTTAAACCCAAGAAAGGATCAGACGAGTCACGCATAAGTCCCTTTCTGGTCCTTACAAAAGTAAGGAAAAACAAACCATGCAGTCACCCAACACTTTTCAGTCTTTTCGGTTTTTGGAATCGCCTGGGTCTTCTCCGTGAACAAGGTCTCCACCGAGCCCTTCTGTGGGTCCAGCTTCAGCACCGCCAGCTGCGTCTGCTCTCGGTTCAGCACCTGAGCCGGGGTCAAAGATGGGGGTGGGTGGTCGAAGCGATGTTTGCCTCGACTTCATTCTTGCTCCTGGTTATATTTTTTTGTTCCCATGATTGACTTGCCCATGATAGGTTTCCCGGTTTGCTCCAGAAGGGGACGCTGTGCAGGCTCTGTTTGCTCATGTGTGTCTTCCCTTTTCTTGCAGAGGAAAAGAACAAATCCATCCCAGAGCGATATCTCGGTGCGTTCTCCAGAGACCTTGGCACAAGGGAAAAAAATCAGGCTAACAAAGGGAAACCTTTCACGGTTGTGATTTGATCAAAAGGGAACCGATCCCAATGTAGAGATCAAACGGGGGGACCCCAACCCCTATCCGATAAACCGCACAGCCCACGAAAGAACAATCGTCCGAGCCTGCGCAATGATGGAGCCATCCGGCATCCACTGCACCCGCGCCAAGTACAGGTCCTCTGTGCTGGAAGCTGGCCTCCATATCTATGGCTCGTTTTCTTTTTCTTTTCTTTTGTTTTTTGATGGGGGGGGGGGTAGCCCAAGTTTTGTTCCCGGGCCCTCTGAAATAGGTGTGGATATCCAGCCTCTTGATTCTTCGACACCCTTTGTCCTGTTTTGCGTGGTGCCTTCCCAACCAGACATGGGATGTTTAATCCAACTTTAACCATCCTTTTGGCTCGGTCGGGTTGAGGGATGTTTTGTCAGGTGCCGTTCCAGCTACACTCCTCTAGACAGGACTTGGCTAACGGCTGGGCTTCAAGGTAAGTCAGGCCGGTAGAACTCCCAGACCTGTCCCAAGGCTGCCTCCCCATTTTTCTTAGGTGGGCTTCCCTTCAAACACAATGCACACCGACGTTTCTTTTTGTTTTCCAGGTCTGGGAAACTTTGGCCTCCAAACCTCTCCCTGGAATCTCTTCTTTGCCTATTCGGTTTGTCCGCTTGAAACAACCTCGCCAAGCACCCACTTTTTTGAGGGAGGAGTTTTGCGGGCCAAATTCGGTTCCCTTTGCCCCGTGAAAAACTGCATCGTCAAGCACACCTACTAACCTTCAACCCACTGGTCTTCTCCCTATGAACCTCCATCCTACTAAGCTTCACCTAACCTCACTAACCAAAATATGTGGGGACAATTGTGGACATTGTCCTTACTTGGCCCACATCCGAGGTACTAACATCTGTTGTCCGACTCTGTTCCAAATTGAATCTACCCTAACATATGTGTCTTGGAGATCCCAGTTACTCGCTTCCCTCAACCGACAACCTGACGGCTCCTCGCCGAAGGACTTGGTCAGGTCAAAGCAGGTCACCGCCGGTGCCGCGCCCGCGGCCGCGTCCGCGTTACTTTTCGCCGACACCACGCACAGCTTCACCACAGGGTTCTTCTCACCCGCGAAGGGATACCGGTGGTCCTCTCTCAAAGGCACTGGTTGCCAAGGCATTTAGATGTGTGTTAGTTGAAAAGGGGTTTCATATGGACATCTCGGGATTTCAAAGAGCCCCTTGCTTGAAAGGGAACACTTCGAGATGGGTTCCAGTACCCTAAGCCTCCACATCTAACTTTGGTTTGGGGTCGTGGATGCGTGAAATGTCGGTCCAAATCTTGAGAAAGTTGCCGGAATTCAATGTGCGATGGGTGCAAGATGTGGGATACCCAAATGGAACCTGCATTAATAGCTGTCTCAGAACCCAAATGCAAACACGCACGCACAAACAAACGCACACCAAGCCGGCCTGTGCCCCAACCCCCCGGTTGGCAATGGGAAAAAGCCGACTGAGCCAGGTGTCGAACATTGCCCCGAAACTTGTCCCCATCACAAGAAGAAGAAACGAACCAACGAAACGAAGAAAGAAGCAAGCAAGCAAACAAGCAGTCCAACAAACCAAAACAAACAACCAAAACCAAAAACACAGAAACAAGCAACCAACCAAACTAAACAAACAAACAAACAAACAAACAAACAAACAAACAAGCCAGCAAAGAAGCAAGCAAAGCAAGCAAGCAAGCAAGCAAGCAAGCAAGCAAGCAAGCAAGCAAACTCACACACACACACTAACGGACAACGGAAGAAAGAAAGAAAGAAATAAAGAAACAAAGAAAGAAAGAAAAGAAAGAAACAAAGAAAGGAAAATAGAAAGAAAACAAGACAAACAGACAGACAGACAGACAGAAAGAAAGAAAACAAGACAGACAGACAGACAGACAGACAGACAGACAGACAGAAAGAAAGAAAGAAAGAAAGAAAGAAAGAAAGAAAAAAAAAGAAATAAAGAAAGAAACAACAACAGAAAGACCGAAATAAACAAAAAAGTGAATACAGAAAGAAAGAAAGACAGAAAGAAAAAAAGAACAAATGAAAGACATAAATAAAGAAACATAGGGATAAGGAAATACATGAAGCAAGAACAAAATAACAATGCGTAACAAAGGAAAGACATATACATCATAAACACGAACAAAAGAAACAACACAGACATAAGTGGCGAAAGGAACAAAACAAGAAAGGATGCAAAACAATAGACAATCAGAGAAATACATGAAAAACAAACAACTAACGCACAAATGAACAAACACGTAGTGAAATAGAGTGGCACATGTACAATTAAGTGGTAAGTACTTAAACGACAAACATCAATACGCTCGGGCGATGTCCGGATGCGGAGCGCTCACAGACTCACAAATATAGGTTCGGCGCACCCCTCCCGACGGCCCTTGCGCGGAGCCCGCGTGGGCCTTCTCGGAACCGCCCCGTGCGTCCCCGAAGCCCTCGCAGAACCCTCGTGGTTTCCTGAGGAACCTTGCCTCGGACTGGCCCTTGACCTTGAACTGAACAACTGACCCTTCTGCCTGGCCGCAAAAACTACAGAAATTGGGGATGTCGAGGCGTTGCTTTCCCGTGCATGGGTGTCGCCTGTCGCCATTCGCAGGTCGTCAAACTGCCTGTGTATGTGTGTGTGTGTGCGTGTGCAGGTGTGCGTGTGCGTGTGCGTGTGCGCTTGCGTTTGCCTGCGTGCATGCGTGCGTGCGTGGGTGTGTGTCTGTGTGTGGGTGCGTGCGTGCGTGCGCGCGTGTGCGCGTGCGCGTGCGCGTGTGCGTGTGCGTGCGCGTGTGCGTGTGCGTGTGCGTGTGCGAATGGGTGTCTTTGTGTGCTTGTTTTGTTTGTGTTGGTTTGGTTTGTTTGTTTGGTCGTTTTTGTGGTTGTGTGTGTGTGTTTGTCTTTGTGTGTGTGTTTGTGTTTGTGCGTGTGGGTGTTTGAGGGTGTTGATGCGTGTGTGTGTGTGTGTGTGTGTGTGCGTGTGGGGTTGTGAATGTGTGTCATGTATGTGCATTTCTGTGTGTTTGTGTGTGTGTGTGTGTGTGTCAGTGGTTGCATGTGTATGTGTGTATGTGTGTCTGTGTGTGCTTGCATTCGTGCTTGTGTGTTTGTATTTGTGTTTGTGTTTGTGTCTGTTGTGTTTGTGTTAGCGTTTGTGTGTGTGTGCGTGTGTTTGTGTGTTTGTGTGTTTGTGTGTGATGGAGGGTGTATGTGTGCGCGGGGTTGTGCATGTGTGTGGTGTATGTGTGTTTCTGTGCGTGTTTGTGTATGTGTCATGGTTTGTGTGTGTATGTGCGTGTGTGCGTGTGTGCGTGTGTGCGTGTGTGTGTGTGTGTGTGTGTGTGTGTGTGTGTGTGTGTGTGTGTGTGTGTGTGTGTGTGTGTGTGTGTGTGTGTGTGTGTGTGTGTGTGTGTGTGTGTGTGTGTGTGTGTGTGTGTGTGTGTGTGTGTGTGTGTGTGTGTGTGTGTGTGTGTGTGTGTGTGTGTGTGTGTGTGTGTTTGTGTTGTGTGTGTTTTGTGCTTGTGTTTGTGTTTGTGTGCTTGTGTTTGTGTTTGTGTGTGCGCTTGTGTCTGTGTGTGTGCGCGTGTGTTTGTGCTTGTGTGTGTGCGTGTTTGTGCGTCTGTGTGGGTGGGTGGATTGGTGGGCGGGTCAGTGCGTGGGTAGGGTCGTTGGGTGGGTGGTGTGTGAAGGTGTGCGTGTGTGTGTGTGTGTGTCTGTCTGTGTCTGTGTGTCTGTGTGTGTGCGCGTGGGTGCGTGCGTGCCTGCGTGCGTGAGTGTCTGTGTGTGCACGCATGCGTGCTTCCTGTGTGAGCCTCGCTACGCCCGCTATCTCAATTTGAACAATTCAAGCCACCATACATCATGGGGTCTGCACGTGCCCCCCCCATCCCTCTCCGCGCAAAAACAGACTCTAAAAAAATGATGTTCTGAAGGGAAATCAGGAGGAGGGAAGCTTCCCATGCATGTAGAAATGAAGTCGATGCTCTTTCAGGGCAATTGTCCACATGGCCTCAAGCAGAAGGTACATGAAGTCCCTCTCCTGATAGCTGGCCACAAGCTGCAATACCTCGGCCGAAAAGCGAAAACGACTTAGACGCGGGGAGAGAGACCTTAGAGCTGCTCACCGACCATGCCAGGCTGCCCCGCGAAAGGGGAGCGGACCATCCCTAGGATGGCGGCTTCGTTCAGTACGGAAGACCTGCAGGCCAAGGGCGGATGCATCGGACGTTCATAAGCCATGAACCCAAATGCTGTAGGGCTCATTCTGTGAGCAAAACTCAACGCACACAGCAAAAGACCTGGATGCGTCACAGGAAAGCGGCAAGCAGGAAACTACTGAACACATGTGCCCTGCCACCCAACCATAGGCTATGAGCAGTCCAACAGCAACAAAAACAAACAGTAGAACGCCAAAAGGGCAAAAGAGTCTGGCAGTGAGCGCTGCTGCGTAAGGAGGCCAAAGCAGCACATGATGTAAACTCCCAAAGAGTCAGCCCCCTGTTTGAAGAATGCAATGACAACTGCGAACAAAAAACCCTTTGAAGGCGCACACACACACAACACTTGGCACCCAACAGGCTAATCAGATCGGGGCATCCGCCTCTCGAGCCAAGATTTGGATTTCGATGTGAAAATGCCACTCACCCTCGTGAGAAGGAGTGAGCTGGAGCCATTTCATGGTATCTTCATTTTAGCAAAAGAAGTACGCGCGCCAGGAACATGTGCACGCCAAGCTGAACGAAGACAACAAGGCAAGGCGAACACCAGCTTGTTGAGAACAATCCAGCCTAGAAGCGGCAGGGAGCGGGTTGCGAGGAAGCCGTTTGCATAGATCACTTGAGCCGCGTTGCGGGCAGCAAGCTCAAAACAGCAAAAGGACCAGTCAGGTGTAAAGTATGTGTAAGGCGCGCGCATTCACGAACATCTTTTGTGCTTTCGCGGACTGGGTAATGAACATCCCCTAACAGTTCTCACAAGCACAGCAGCAATGCGTTGAAATCATCATTTTGAAAACGGCCATTGACACGACACAAAGACTTGCTTCCATCCTGATAGTAACCCAAAACAGCCAAGGCTTTCACAGGAGTTTGGCGTGTGTTCATCAAAGGCATGGCAGTCCGCGGACCAACGCTGGACACAGCTCGGAATCACAATTAGAGTATGATGACCGGAACGGTCAATGAATCAGCAAACGCTGCCATGAGCACGGTGTACGGGGGTTGGCGCTTCAAACTTTCTTGGGCAAAAGTAACCTCAGCGCCTGGTTTGAGAGACAAAGAAGTACTGAGAAGGTCGTCAAGATCGACATCAGGAAACATGTAGATTGACTCCAACTTGTCACAACCCAAAGCTTTTCCTCACAGATCCCCAGACCAGACCACGCAGCAGAAAGATGACAGTGATTTGATTTGTGTTTCCAGCCTACTCGCCATTCTCTGGGGTTCGCCCTTCATGAGTACGGAACAGATGGATAACATAAACATGCGTGAGCTACTTTCTATATTACCGACGCTGACTGTTTCCAGAGAGTTGCTTCTGTTGGACTCCCCTTCATGGCACGAACATGCTAGTACTTCCAGGTCGCGCGGCGCCACATGCAACTCAGATTGTTTACACGCTCAGAGGTGTCAACTCCATAAAAGTCATAGGCCAGAACTCAGACGCTATCATTGTTTGCATGGCAGGGAAAAAGACACTCAAATCATTTCAGTTGGCTGCCTCCCTGAGGCCGCCCTTGTTAAAAGGCCTATAAAAAAAAGGAAGGTCCGCAGATCCCGCGGAAATGAAACAGGGTTGAAGACGGAGAGCTGCATGTTTCATCGAGGACGTTTATAGCTTCCGTGGCACTGCCACAAACTGAGCTCGAGCGTCCCTAATGCAGGACAAGACAAGAGAAAGACGAACGTGCAAACAAGCGCAGCCCTGCGTGGGAATTCGGCTCTTCGGCGGGTGGGCGAACCACCCCGGCCGGTCGCGATGTCTGACGGAAAGCGCGTTCGGATCACGTTGAGCGTTCTTGGACAATCGAGGAGGAAGGCAAAAGAAACAAAAGCAATCAACAGAAAAAAAAGAAAATAGCAAGAACAAAAAGAGAGGTCAGAAGAGGGAGAAGAGACAGAGGCAGCACGGAAAGCGGAAAAAGCGTGCTCCAAGCAATAGTTTTCGTCCCCCAGGCAATGCCGGCTTTACCGGGGACATGTGCCTATGCACGTATGTGTGTATGCATGCGTGCGTGTATGTATGAATGTATGCATGTATGCATGCATGCATGTGTATGTGTAGATGTATGAGTGTATGTGTGTTGCAATGTCTGTATGTCTGTATGTCTGTATGTCTGTGTGTCTGTGCGTCTGTATGTCTATATGTCTGTACGTCTGTACGTCTGTGTGTCTGTATGTCTGTATGTCGGTATGTATGTATGTATGTATGTATGTATGTGTGCATGAATGTGTGTGTGTGTGGAAAAAGGCCCAAACCATGCGCTTCGCGTTTCGCTTGCCAGTCGCCCATTGGCTCAGATCACGTTCACACCCAAACTCTTGCGAGCTAAAAACAATCAGCTGGCCTATCAAGGGCAAGTCGTACCAAGTCAGCACTGCCCAGCGCCCAATTGCTAGTTGTTGCAAGATGGATATAAAGGCGTGTGTCTGCCGTATTTGGTGCGCCCACTTTGTCCAAGGACCGTCATCAGTCCGTCGGATGCGCGTATCCTAGAAGCTCAGCGCAACGGCTTGAAGACAGCGTGAAACTCACACACGCAGACCGTGCTCCAAACTACACGCCCGCTTGAGCGAACCACTCCGCGCAGTCACTTCCTGGCAAGGCAAGAACACCGGCCCGACACACGCTGGCCGGGCAGCTCTTCCAGCAGCCTTCCACTGCGCCAGAGCGACAGCGGGCGCCGCTGGGCCAGCTGAACCAGAGGCCACCGCTGGTGGGATATCTGGCTCTGCTTAATCCACGAACGCGCGCCATTGTGCGACGAGTATCCCGGATGTTCGAATATGCAACGTCCTTCCATTCACTCACAGACTGAACCAGCTGCTATGTGTGGCTTCTGATGCAGGGCCCGGCCGTATTCATGACATGACCAATTCGCCGGTCAACCAGCAGCATCGTCGCAGCACAGCCAGCGCCCCAAGCTGAGACTTTACCATCCCCACCCCCCCCTCCCCCCTTAATGGCCGCAAATGAGGGGGGACATCCGAGAATGTGACTTACATGTTTATCTACATGTATCGAACATGTAAAATGCTTTTTCAAACTGGCCATTTGCTTGTTCATGCTTTTGGCAAATGTTCGCCCAAGCAACAAATCATGCGTGCATAAGCAGTCAGCCGGTGACCGCACAAGAAGGTTTATTGTTCGAAACTATCAACTGTCCGAAAAGCCGTGTCAGACAATAAGTAAATAACATATAACAAAAGGAAACAATAGACACAACAAACACACTAAAAAACCAAAGACATGAAGAACCAAAAACAGAACAGAACACAGAAGCAAATACAGAAAGAACAAAACAAACAAAGAAACACATAAAGGAAAACAATACATACATAAATGAAGCAATATCGAAAAATACATCAACACACATAACACATACAAACAAGTAAAGACACACGCACAAGCAAACACCCAAGCACCCAAACACACAAACAAACAGCCAAACAAACAAGCAAGCAAACAAAAAAGCAAACAAAAAGAACAACAAACACACAAACCACCAAGAGCACCAAAAACATCTAAACAAGCACCTAACAACAAGAACACCTAAACAACACGCAAAGCTCACCTAAAACAAAGAGGCGCCCGCATCCTCCTGGGAGCTGTCGCCCACGGAGTCTGAGCCAGAGTGCATGATGCGGAACTGAGGGATGTGGGCCTTCGGCGATTCGGGCGAAGCACTTCCGTTGGTTGACCGCTTCGAAGGTCCAAGAAACGGGAGGTGGAGGGATCCCCTGAGCCCTGACACGCAAATGCAGGTGCTGGGGAGAAAAACAACAACAACCAAAAGGCTGGATGCTTTTCTGAGTACAAGTGGTTGTCTCCGAATTGAGGAACACAATGGGTACAACCAGTCTGGATTTGCAGAAACACATAATATCATGTCCAAGATTTATGGAAGCAAACTGTTCCAACCCTCTCCAGTCAGCTGACATGATTGGACACACACACACACACCCATCATCCAAGGCTATCAGCACCTTTGGATTTCACAAACGCCTTGTTCCTGTATCATCCATTTCCCTTTGAGGACTGGCTTTCATGTTTAGATTCCTCTTAGAAACTCCACTGCTCACAAACTGAAGATAGAGTCCTCTGGACCAGCATAGTGAGCGCCTAAGTGCCCCCTCGAAGTCCCACCATGGCCTGAAAACGCGGCCAAAATGAGGGCAGTCGATATAAAGGTGTTTTCAGCTTCCACCCAGTTGGTGGTTTGGACTGGTGGCTTGGTGGTGAAATGGGCTGGTTTCCCAAATAAACCCTACAAGAACCAGGGGGTCCAATCCCTACACCACCACTCCAAACCTTAAACAACAAACAACAAGCAGTTGAAACAAGTTGAAACAAACCACAAATTGGGGTCAACCTGAATGAATGAATGATATGGGGAGAGGAACAGACATAGCAATGTCTACAAATATGCATATCCACATATCCACCAGGTTCCATTTTCTGCAAGCACCTGAAATTCAAATCCCTAAACCACCAATCCCTAAACGGCTTCACCCCTCCACCAAGCAGTTGAAACAAGTTCCTCCCAACCCACGTGTTTCTTGTGGAATCCCCGCAAGGCCTCGGTGACCTCTTCGTAGGCCACCATCCCGCCGTCCGGGGAGATCCAAAAGCCCTCGTACCTAAGCGACAGGGGTCACTTGGGCCGTGCTTGGGGTCCGTTGGACATGGTTTGGTTGGGTTTAGTTCTGAATGTATAGTCTTTCTTCCTACCTTTCTTTCTTTGTTTGATTTGCTTGGTTGGTTGATTGGTTGATAAACTTGTTTGTTCGCTTGTTTCCTCGTTAGCATGCTAGCCGGTCAGCTTCTTACCGTCGGGTCGCCGCGACGAAAGGTGGGGCATCCTTCGGGATCCTTCCAGAGCACGCCGACCGGCTGACTATCCACCACGCAAATGTTGCCGTGGACTCAGTTTGATTCATGAGGGCACCGTGTTTTGGAGGGGTTAGAGGGAAACCAAAGGTAACCACCCGCTTTAGGGAATCAAATCGTTGAACATTGACAGAGAGGGAATCAACCCTGAAGGTATTTTTGTTGGGTTGACACCGCTCTTGGGGTTGTTGCAATTGGTAACCAAAAACCAACTTAATACCTGGACAGTTCCCCATTTAAAGGCGTTCTACCCCGCCCCTGTCTTTGCAGACAGGCGAAGCTAGTGGGTGGAGGGCGCATGAGTGAAAGCTACTGGCGGCATGCGGTGGCTGGGTGCCTAGCAGTCACCCCTGGCTGCCTGGTAGCGCTCTCCGGCTGGGTGGGGGCAGGCGGGAACCGCTTTGCATACTTTCAACCATGTTTAGAACCAACCCTGGCAAGAGCTGGGGTCAATCTTTGGACTGTTTCTGGGAGTTTTCAAAGTCAGAAAGCGGGGAAGTTTCACCCAACAATTTCCGGGGTAACTTGGGTATGAAGTTCAACCCGTAGAGAACGTGGCTGTCGGTTGCTAAGCAAAGCATAAAACAACCGATGGGTCGATGGGTTCTCCATTTTTCAGGCAAACACCAAAAATGGGGTCTGGTTTCGTTTTGGCTTCCCCCAAAAAAAACAACCTGAAAAGAAACGTCCAAAAGCAGAAACGACAAACAGAGCTTCACCCCCCGTTTCGCCGGTTGGGCTCCGATGGAGGTTTGCCCATCCCCCGCCCCCGCCTATCCAACTCCTCCTGCGCCAAAAAGTCCGCGAGGCCGTGGGTCTTGCCGCAGCCCCGCGCCCCAGTCGTCAGCTGCCGGGGTTTAGCCGAGCCGTCTGCCGGGACGCAGTAGACCTCGTCCTTGAACACGAAGCACACCAGGGAACCGTCCTGACTCGACTTCCGAAACGGAGCCTACAAAATCTACATCATGTCATGGGGTGGGAACACAAGAAACAATATATAGTTCATCTCCCCCAAAAGGGAAATCATTGAAATGGGGTGAAACGGGGGACTTTGAATCCCCCAAAAGAAGGGAGATTAAACAAAAAAACATGGGGTGAAATGCGGCACTTTGAACCTGTAGTCGTGGTTCTAGGGGTAGATTAGCAACTGCCAACCCTTGAGATGAAGGCCTCACGCGGGCTCCGGATAGACAAGGATTTGGGTATGGGTGAAAACTAAACCACCTGGATATGGGTAACTCTAATCCGCAGGTTTTCGTCCTTTCCATTTACCAAGTTCCCCGCCCCCATTTTAGGGAAATCCCCTATTCTTGACTGACCCACAACGATTTGGAGCAAAACACCATATGGACCGCAAGTAGTCCGTGTGTTCATTCTTTGCAGGGCACCGGTTTTGGGTGTCTGTTTTGGGACCCACCCAATTATCGCAACTTTGTCGCGTCCTTTCCATTGACCCGGAAAATATCCCCATTTTGGGGTTTCTGGAGTCTCCGGGTCAGTACCCAAAATAATGGGGTCATGGACCCATGTTTGAAGGGTCAGAAGGAGACTCCAGGTTCCCCCAGAGGCCTTGGGCCTTGCTCCCTTGGGAGCCTCCTTTGGCCTTTCGCCCGACTTCGTTTCGTTCCTCGGAGATCTGTGGGTCGATGATGGGCCCAGATCCCAAGGCTTCCGCGGGGTCGAAGATCCGACGCAGCTCCTCACGGTCGACCCAACGACCCCAGGTGGGGAGACTTACCATGGGAAACAACCTGGCGATTCAAAAAAACAAACTCAAAATAAAAGGGCGGGGTGCTTGGCAGTACCGGGCTGCTTGGATGTTCAACCTGAGTAGATTGGCCAACTTTTGATGTCCCAAGCTTTGAACCGAGTCAGAAAAAGCTGGAAAGCCTGGGCCCTCTTCCAACGTCGCTCTTTGAGAATTGGCCAATCTTCTCATTTCTCGCTTGTTCGGTCCTTGGGCCTGTTGCCGGGCCCCGTAGGCAGAACTAAGGCTAGGGATTTGTGGCAACTTTCACCCCGGAATCTTCAGGAATCAAAATGGTACCAAAGTCTATCCCACTTCCAGCTACCACGAAATGCAAGTGTACTCTTCCAGGCCTTTCAGGATGAAGTTCCCTGGTTGCCAAGCACTGGGCTGTAAATAATCAACACGGATAGCCGCCGACCCTTCTCTCCCGGAAGATCCCGGGAGCTGCTCATGTGACTTTGACTCGGGCATCTCAGTTTCCAGAGCTAGACGCTGGGCTAGACTCGAAATACAGCCAGGTATCTGTGCAAAACGGTATGCACATGCGTATCCATATATAGTTATCATACACATACGTCGCACAAATTATGATATATATATATATATGTATACACGTACTATGAGGCGTCAATATCTTGGACCCAACCCAAGGATAAACCAAACACAATGATGCAATATGTTCACATTATGCTTCCTATTTAGTCAACTTCACGACATAAGCACAGGAGAAGAACCCATATGTCTTCACGATTTGAGCATTCTACAGTCAAGCCGCAAACTGACCTCGTTGGATCCACAAGTACAGGACCTGCTTGCAGCTTTTGGTGGAATGGCTCGAAACCTAATGAGGCAGATGCATCCTCCACGGCTTGATACATCGGAGTCTGTTTGGGTGAAACCCGGACAGACTTTGATCACACTGGGCCCGGTTGTTCCCTCAAAAAAATAGGAAAGAAACAGGTCTCCACGCCTTTGGGAAAAATGGATGGCCTTGTAAATCCATCTATTTCTAGCCAAACTCACCGATCAAAAGGACACCTACTGACAGAATCCCGCAGTTAGGTGGTGTATCAACCATTTATCTCGGGTTTCAATGGAAAAAACCCAGTGCCACGGATTTCGTCCACCTCGGCCAAACCCTTCAGCCGGCCGCGAATTTTGAGGGTCACTCGGATGGCCCACCGGCCACTGCCCGGTCCGCCTGGTCCTTGATGCCCTCGCGCAGATACAGCGCCCCTGCCATGGGCACCAGCACCCGGCCGTGGCCGCTGCCGGCCACCTACCGAAACGCGAACCCAGCCGCTTGGGGCCAGGGGTCTCTTCTTCTCCCCGATCGGCATGAGAAATCCGCCGATAGACATGAAACCATGGGTGAACCATGGTTTGGGCGGTATTTACACGGGAAACTCATGGGCGAAACCATGGTTGCTTGGTATTTACGAGGGAATCCAGTCATTCCGGGGATGCTGAAAGGTAGGGGAATCCAATCATTCCAGGGATTCTCTGGTGCGAACGGACTTCGGCCAGCCTATGGTAGGGAACCGTTTGGAAACCAACCGGAAAACCCACCCATTTGTTGGGATTTCCCAAGGTTTAGGAAAAACAACGTATGCGAAACCTCTTGTATAGCCAAAGGACATCGGGTACGGTAGAGGTGTCAATCTCTCCCACAAAAGGGTTGATGCCGAATATATTGGCATATGGTGGGGAGTCAACCAACAGGTACAAGCAGGCGATATGGCCGTCTTCTTTAAGGCTTGGTACCCCTTTGTGTGTTTGTTTTAACGGGACACCAACTTTAAAAAGACACAATTTTGGGGGTCCACCCCCCCAAAAAAAAAACTTTGGCCCAAAAGGTGATGTTTAAAACCGCCAAAACGGCAATGTATGGGAACTCTGTTGCTTCAAGGGAAACCATGGGAAACCAAACATATTTGGTGTCCCATCATTTTGAAACACATCCATTTTAGTATGTACTTTACATGTGGAAAGAACAGTGATGTGGGCATGAGTTTTAAATGGGGGCTATTTGGTGGACATCACGTACACCAATCTGTATTTCCACAGAAGAAGGCAGCCATGCCACATTCAACTATCGCTAAATGAAATGCAGCCACAGTAAACCAAATAGGACACTTTTCTCAGCGACTGGGAGCTTGTAGCGAACCGACTAGGGGTGCTCCAAAGACTCTGACACAAGACGCCAACTCTCTACCTGGGCGATTGCTTGTCGACCTGAAACCTGTTTGGGAACAAAATTCAAAAGGAAAAGGACAGGAGGTGAAAAACACGTTTCCATGGGCCTACTTCTGTAGTCTGAGGATACGAATCCGAGGAATAAACAGGAAGCCACCCCTGAGCAGGAAGTTGACTTTAACTTTGTCGTTTGATCATCCTTCAAAGAAACACACAGCAAAGCAACACCGTTTGTAGTAGCCACATAGAAAACCACCTGACTGCGACTGGCAGCTAAGGAAAGACGACGCTTTTGCGGTGGATGCACTGCTTTTGTTGAAGTAAACATGGCTCCCTTGAACATCGCCCCGGCTCACTGCTCACTCTAACGTCGCTTTGCGCAAGATGCATGAAGAACCTAACACATCGCTCTCTGGCGAACCTCCATCACCTACTTCCCTTCCACATATGCAAATCTTGGGCATGTCAAAGCCAGGGACCCTTCTTTAGAATGAGGAAGGAGCAACTAGAAGGCGACCTGCTGGGTGGTGCCAAGACCCTGCTTCTTGAACAAGTAAGTCTACTTTCTGGGAACTAAGGGAATAAGTTTGGGTGGTCAAGCAAGCGTCTGGAAGCCTGGAGCCGTTCAACATGTTTTCCTCAAGAGAAATTAACCATTTATCTGGCTCATGAGCATCCGGGTTCGCCCTGTTGAAACAGCCAGCTGCAAAGGAAATACCGCGATGACAGGCAATCAAAAGGTGACGTTCAAGCCACCAACAGGACACAACCAACAGTATGTGAAATGCTTATAAGCAAGCTGACACCGGACCTATGCCTATGCTGTCCACTTGGACACCTTTTTGGATGTTCCCAAAGGATATATGGAACACCAAAAAAGCCGGGAGCGTTGACAAAACAAAGAACAACACTGGGAAATTTAAAGATCAAAGGCCCACTTTGGGTAAGTCAGTGGTTCAGGGAAGCTGTTGGCATGTTTGATCCTACACTTGGCCTAGATAGGAAGCTCAGTGTTCCAAGGCAGGTTCAATCACACCTCATGTTGAACAGACCCAAACAAAGAAGCAAAGCAGAGATCTCACGAGGAATTTAAGATAACTAATGGCAACGTGTTCGCTATCACTCTATGACTTTAAAACCGTCCTGGCCAGTATGTGCGCATGGCCCATACATTCAGGAATCCCCCTAAGAAGCCAGAGCAAACCGCGGATCCCTCTGTGCAACTGGTTGGTCTTAAAGGGAAGCCTAAGGACAAAAAGTAGATGTTTGGACACCCACGACAAGCCCATGGATGTCAGGTTTTAGGGATCCTCCGTCATCTCAACGGAAACCTGTGGCGCACGGGGCGCGTTGAGGCTAAAACATCGCGCCTTGAAAGATGTGACCCCGGTGTTCATCATCCGCGCCCGCTCTCTCCGCAGCTTCTCCTCGAGGGTTAGTTCCTTCTCCTGGCTGGAGCGTTCCCCACGCGCCGGATGCGTCCGGTAAATGGCGGATGTCACAGTGGGTACACCACTGAAAGATGGGCACAACTCCAGATAGATGTGGGCAAGTAACGAAAATGATTAAACAACAGTGAGGGAATTGTGCCACTTTCACCCAAGCGTGCTTGGAAAACTCATCCCACTTAAAAATCACCTCCCCGACCCAACCTACATAAAATCAAGACTCCCCTCCCCCAGTTTGACCGTCGACTCCTGCAGATCGGTCCGGAGAAAAACAAACTGCTCCTCCATGTTTCTTGGGGGAAACTTAACATGTGATAATCCTTGGAGGGCGTGGCAAACGGCCTTTTTGATTCCTGGTTTGGAGTCTTCCCAAACCACCAAAGAAACCACCTGGAGTCTCCACCCTTTGAACATGGGTCCATGACCCCATTATTTTGGGTAATGACCAACCATTTTTGATTCGGGTCAGAAGGATACTCCAGGCCGTTTTGTTGGTCCGAGTCCGGATCCGTGAGCGTTCCCGCATTGCGCATCCGTCCTCCCCGGTGCCCGGGGGCGTGCAGGCCAGCGGGAAGGTCTTGCCGGAGGACACCTCCATGGCATAGAGCTGCCGCGAGAGGCTGCCGTACCTCCCATCCAAAACGGATCGGGCCTGGACAGAAAAACCGCTTGGGCCGTAAAAAAACGGGAGGGCTGCTTTAGGGTGTCCTTTTGGGGCTAAAAGGAAACCAAAAGGGATATGAGGAGATTGACTGTGGCTTTTTGAGGGTGCCACTTGTTCTGTGATGTTGCAGGAAAACCAAAAGGAAACCGCCCAGTTTAGAGGTCACAAAAAAGACAAGACCCATGCGAAGCGTGTTTGCCGTAAGACCATGGTGGGCTATCTGACGGTTTTCAATTCACAGCAACAAACTCGAGGGGAAAAGGGCAACATCGCCTGTGCATGGATGTGTGTGTGTGGGTGCGTGTGTGCGTGCGTGCGTGCCTGAGTGAGTGCGTGCGTGCCTGAGTGAGTGCGTGCGTGCGTGCCTGAGTGGGTGCGTGCGTGGGTGTGTGGTGTGTGGGTGTGTGGTGTGTGGGTGTGGCTGTGCGTGGGGGTGTTGTGTGTGTGTGTGTGTGTACGTGGGTGTGTGTGTGTGTGTAAGTGTGTGTGTGTGTGTAAGTTTGTGTGTGTAAGTGTGTGTGTGTGTGTAAGTGTGTTTGTGTGTGTGTGTGTGTAAGTGTGTAAGTGTGTAAGTGTGTAAGTGTGTAAGTGTGTAAGTGTGTAAGTGTGTAAGTGTGTGTGTGTGTGTGTAAGTGTGTGTGTGTGTAAGTGTGTGTGTGTGTAAGTGTGTGTGTGTGTAAGTGTGTGTGTGTGTGAATGTGTGTGTGTGAATGTGTGTGTGTGTGTGTCGACAACGATGGTTACACAAGTACCGCTGGGGTGTCAAGCAGTCAGCGCCGCTACCAACGGCATATGCGTTGTTAAAGCGCAAAAAGGACTACCTTGCAGCCCGACCGATCATCAGTTACCGGGGCTTTATTTTTGCGCGGCTTTTCCGTGCCTTGTCAGTTGTCCTGCGCAGTATGATGCTGGAGTGTGTTCCCGACAGCTTTGGCCTGGACACCTCTCCGCAGCTAATTCAAGAGCTTCATACTTTTCTCATCAACGCCGCTGAGGACGAGCAATTTGTCATGTTTAACCAAGACCTGGTGGGTTTCTTTCCTTCCATCCCAGCTCCTCGAATTATGCAAGCGTGCGAATGGTTGATTACCCGGTACCAACAGCTGCACGCTGTCAACACAGCAATTGTCTTTACGGTGTGTCTTGCGGAATTTGAAAACAAGTGCAACTTCGTGTTTGTTCGCGGACGCGCCCGCGCAACTGGACAACATCAAGTTTCTATTGACCTGGTAGACGTTCTGCCCTTGTGCCACATCAGTTTGCAGCCTGATTGTTTGTTCATCTTGGTCGGGTACTCGAGCAAGTGCGCGGCGCTGCTAGTGGAAACCAGGTTTCACCAGTTCTGGCCAACATTGCGGTTTCCGTTCTTGAGCAATCGTGGGCCATTGCTGCAAAGATGATACTGGATGAGCAGCGCAATACCGTTTCCTGCGTGAGATACGTAGATAATCGCTTGGTCTTGGTGTCTACAAGACTACTCTCGCACCCATTGCTTCGGGAATTTCTTCACCTTGCTTTTTACAAGCGCCCAGTGGAACTTGAGGATGTTGAATCTGCTGAGTTTCTCGGCTTCCTTTTGAATTTTACACGCCGAGAGCTAACCACTATTTTGCCTGCTGAGTTGGCAGTTTAAGAAATTCCCTTCTCCGGGGACTTTGTCGCAGGGGCTCGCTGGCCTCCGTGCTCGAATCAGCCACATTCAGCAGTGTGTTTTTCCGCCCGATTGTGTCCGCGAAGATTTGCGCCAGCTGTGGCGTCTGTATATTCAGCAAGGCTATCCTAGGGAAATACTTCAGAAGGAGTTCTCCAGATTCACCCGCAAGCCCTGCAGAGCTTCCATATCTTTAAACACCACGGGAGTTCCATGCCATTGAATACCGCCGTCATTTTCGCACCAATGCATATCTTTAGAAAGCCGGCCGTTTTTCAAAATCTGTGGTAGAGAGCCTTCTTTAAGTTTAAGTCCTTTGAGGCTGCCGCCCAGATCGGCAAAGACACAACCGCTACGCGCAAGGGTACAGTCTTGAGCTCGTGCCAATCTTTTCACTGACGCGACACACCGCCATCTTTTTCGTACCAATGCATACCTCCGGGAAGTTGCCGCTTTTCAAACTCTGTGGCAGAGCGCCTTTTTTAAGTCTTTTGAGGCTGCCGCCCAGATCGACAAAACACAGCCGGCACGCACGAAGGTGCAGTCTTGAGCTCGTGCCAGTCTTTTCTTTGGAGCCATATACTGACGCTTCATCGCAGAAGAAACAGGTGCAAAAGCTATGTTTCCAACACATGAGTGACACCCCTTCCTGGAACCAAGCCTTCCCCATTCTGAGGGGCGGGTGTGTGTGTGTGACAGCTCTGATAGCAAAGAGTTTTTTTGCAAGGAATGGAGTCGGTCCCCACTCTGCTGGGCTTGGGGATCCTGATGAGGAAACCCAGCAGAGTATCCGAAACTCCAAATACACAGGCAGGGCCTGGGCGGATGTCTCCGCAGCTGGCGTGCCTCTTTCTTTCTTTTGTCCGTTCGAACCTCTGGATACGTTTGTGATGGGACTGTCTTTGACAACAAGCAAAGCACAAAGACCAGGTGACAGACCAGGTGACTTTCTCCTCTCGAGGAGCGGATCAAGTGTGTTTGTGTATGTCTTATAAGGCTTGATGCTGTTTGGCAGAATGATTTAAAGAGAAATCAGCCGGAACCAATATTTCTTGGACCTCTTACACATACGCCTGTGGTCCCATTTTTGGACTTTTGTTAACTCTAATTTTGTCTCAGGAACTTATGCAAGAAATAACATTTAAAGGTGTTGTCAGTGTTGTCGGTGTTCCAAAAACACAACAAACACCACAACAAGTAGTAACTCTACACTGGAACCTGTTTGTTAGAACTATGTTGCAAGCACTGTTTGGCTCCGGGCATCTTGGGGTGATAGATGGATAGTATAATATTACCCTGCTTACAAGGCTTTCTGTCAAGGCGAGTTCAAACAGCAGGTTTCATGCAGATTACCAACCACTAAGCGTTTCCTCCCAGACTATCTGAACAGTGCGCCCTTAGCGGTTGCCCCCTTAATCAACATATCTTTGACCGTTGGTCCATATTTGACCTTGGGCTGACAACACAATGTTCCAAACAGATCCCAATTGAGCGAACCATTTTAAGCATTCGCCCCCCCCCTTCGCCCCTCATGTCCCGGTTCTCCATTAATTCTAAGCATTCCCCCTCGCCCCATCCGACTCTCAACTTGGCGGAGCACTCTGAGCTCTTCAGGAAGAGCACGTGGGACCCATCGGGCAGAAAGGTCGCAGCGCCGATGGTCTGAAACCTATCGATCGAGAGAACAAATTCCAGGAAAACGCAACTCCTGTTCATTTCGGAGTTGGACGAGGAGCACATGGATGTTCTTTTGGGATACCCAGGGTTGGTTTCAAGGGGAATTAAAGGGAAGCAGTGCATAACCCAAAAAGTGGAACCAAACGGTGTCCCAAACGCGGATTGTTCTCCAAACGTTGAAAAGTGTCGGGTGCTTATTTAAAAGCAAACATTGCAGTCGTAATTTGTGCTTATAAATATATATACATATATATGTATATTTATACACTATCTAAATATGTATATATATATATATGTTCCTAGGAAAAATAAACACACACACACACAAAAAAAAAGAAAGAAACCCATGCTTTCGGATGAGCCCCCCAAACGTCCTTTGTCCAAGAAGCCCTGGCCGCGGGAGCTTGCCGATCTGCTCGAAGCTCAGCCCCGACTCCGACCCCGACTTCGGGGATTGCTCTGCCACCTGTCAAAGGACATGTCAGCGCCCCAAAGGACATGTGATCAGCGCCCCAAATCCATTGACTGGTGTTTCCTGACATAGCAAATCCATATGTCAGTGCCCCAAATTGACTGGTGGTTCCTGGACGGTTGTAAAGGCCTATATAAGCGCTATTAACTAATTAAAGCCAAGTAAAACTACTTAAAACTGCGGCGGTCAACAGCATGGCCTGTGTGTGTGTGCTGCTTTTGGAGTACCCATGCTTGATGCATCCCCCTGTGCCAAACGATTTTTGGCGCATGGTTCTAAATTATTCCCACTCAAGGGGTTGACGACCTTTCCCACAGCGCGAGGTTTTGACCTTGGCAAACGTGGCTGTCCTCATTCTCGACCAACGTAAGCAAATTACGATAAGCTGATTAAAAAATGGGCCCCTGATTGTTTATAATAAGTCACATGAATGGACCAACGGATGAAGCACAATAACTCAACGAAACAATGGAGCCCCGACAAGTTATAGTAGTAGGTCAATGAACATATGTTCACCCCCCCCCCATGCGACAACCAAAACATAGTCTATGAAGTATAAGTGATTGTGAGTCAATGAAACAATGTACCCCCAACAAGTTAGCATACAATGGACCCCTGACTATATGCAACAGGACTTCTTTTGTGTCCCCTCATGACCACAAAAGAGAAACTCATTTTAAGCTAGTCCAAAATTGGATGTCTAAATCACACAAAATAAACATCTAAAGTTGCTGGAACCCTTCAGGAACCGAACCACTCCAAAGCCTATCTGGACAAATGCCCCAACGCTTCCAGCTGAGGAAACATGGGGGGCTATGGAGCCCCCAGTGTCCTGGACATAATAAACTGACCAATGACATTGGGGGGGCAATTGGGCTCTTTAGCTCGAGATAAGAATCTGGCTCTTTGGCTGCCCCAATCTTCGCACTCCGGGGTACACCACACATATGTTCAGATTCTGCTTCATATTTAGTCTACCTTAAAATCGATCATGCGTATGGTGTGAATTCTACTCGGGAACCCTTTGGTGGAAATCATCTTTCGGGGATTCATACCCACCAACCACTTGCAATGTTCATGGAAAGTCAACGGCACAGTGGCAACTCGCACGAAAACCATGACAACCATGCAGAGACCCCAAGAAAAAAAAAAAAACACACGAAACAGTGGTAACTGGACACACCGCAAAAAAAAAGAAAGAAACAACATGCGGAAAGATGAAACAAAAAAAAAAAAACGAAACACATGATGGAGAAAAAAAAACGGATGAACACCACGGAGAGACCTTCCCATGGCGAGGCGCTAAGACGCCCCCGGCCATGCCCGCGGCGGTGGCCGCGGCCACCATGGCCGCCCGTGACCTACGCTCGGTGACCGGCCGCGCGGCCGGAGAGGCGCCCAGGTGACCAGAGAGGACATCGATCCTCGGAGAAATGATCCCCGAAATCAAAACAAATGAACCAAAGCAAGCTCATCGCTCAAGAGGTTCTTCTACAAATGGATCGTGTTGTTGGGTCCCTCTAGGGGTAACTTCCATTACCATTCTTTCCAGGGATCCGGATCTTTCTAGAAAACCACCAAAAACGCTGGGGAGATGGCTGGCTATTGAAACGAGCGATGGCTGAAAAAAATGGAAAAGGAATCAACCAGTTGAAACTTTCCCGGAGCTGGAAACAAGAAAGGGATCGCAACCTTTGGGCTTGACGATTTCTGGTGAGGCTGCCACTGGGAAGAAGTTAACAGTTAGGAGTTGGGAACCTTTACTTTTCAGTGGGCGCGACCAAAAGGCCGAGGTCTTTGACAACTCCAAAACCTGAAGGGAGGGATCCTCAAGTAACTAACCTATGGTGACAATTCCGAGAAATCACAATGACAGCAGCACGAGGAGACCAAATGATTACTACCCCCCAACAAACCTGTAAGTACACAAACTCATTTGAAGTGATAGTTTCATCTAGTTTCCTCTTGACAAGGAAAACGTCTGATGCGCAATCCGGGTACTAAGGAGTGTAAATTTTCCCAAGAGTTCCTCGCCCCTTTCGACTTACAGGGTTCCTTTCTTGCCCTTTTCATCACCAACAGGAAACTCACTTTGAATCGGCCCAACAGGAGCCCTTGCTCCAGTCCTTCTCGGGATCTGCGCCGCCGATCGGGCCGAGGAGGTCAACAACGAAGTTCGCGGGTTGGCAAAGCACCGGCCGGCCAGGCGTTTGCCCAAGGTGGCAGCCACCGCTGACATGCCTCTGGCTGTTGCCCCGGAAAGTTCGACATCTTGGTTGTTGAACCCTCTGCATGTTTGTTGATTTTTACTTTTTATGGCTCAACTGGAAAACCTTGGATTTTCCAAAAAGTCAAAGTCTAAAGATCGAGCCCAATAGCAATAGCAGCCAAGCATTCCCCTGCCCCAAAAGTTTAAACTTTTGCACGGGACAATGCAGGGTGCTTGTGTGTGTGTGCGCGTCAAACTAGGGATTTCGATGCCCAAAACGGCAGAGGGGGTGAGTCCTGTTGGTCTTCCGGGTATGCTCACAAAAACAAACACACAGAGACACACATTTTCTCAAATTGTTAAAGGCAATTCCAATCAAACACCAGCCGAGAGGCACACGAGGTGGCTGTACCTCTGTCTCCGTGACGGCATTGGGGGGGCAAATGGAATCTACCAGCTGAGCCGACCACCAAAGGCGCCGATTGTAAATGATGCACATGCCAGAAATTGCACATCTGGATGAACCGAGCCAGAGCCGATGCAAATACAGAACAGTCGTGCTGGAAGGTTCAAGGCGGGAATGATGAATGTATCGCCTGGATTGGCATCAATCAAAACAAATGGCATCCATAACTCGACTTCACACACACGTCGTGGTCGATGCCACCTTTGTACATTGGGACTCAGGTATAACCAACCGCTGGGTTTCCCAAATGCCAACTTGCGGTTTGTCACTGGCATCAGTGGTTGCGGATAGTATTTAAATCCTGTGTTAGCCTTGTTCCCATCCACATTTTGACATCCATATTTTACTGGGATTGTTGACTTGAGTTAGCCCTTATGTTTTCCTTTTTCCATTGGTTAACCACTTTTCGGGGAGTGATAATTGATTGAAAATAGGGTTGTTTTTGGTGGGCGTATTTGAATTGTGCCAAAAAGTGTGGGGGGGGGCCTATGACTGGATGGCAACATGCGGACGGGAAAGGCCATGTGGAATTATATCTAGGGGGACTCAAGACATCTTCCACAATGTCACAACAACATACCATGCTGCAAAAACCACCCGAGCCAAAACGCCAAAAGCGAACGATTGGCTGAGCGATTAAGCAGTTTTCAGTGGCTGAAGGCTCACTAAGCCCAGTCCCAACAGTTTCACATGGGTCTCGGTGCCCGGTTCGTGGGTGAACACTGGCGCTCCAGCCTTGGTATGTAAGCATCTATGAGAATAACTCTCCACCAGCATGAAAAATGAATGAAACCCCCCAACAAAAGAACCTTGACCAGCACTTGGACCATTTTTTGGGGGAGCAACTGCCCTGTAGGTGTTTCACCTGCCGACCAGTTTGTACTCTTCATCGAGACTGGACAGTCAGCATTCATTCTCCCTCCAACTGACAGATGAAAATTGGTAAACCCCAATTTCACCATGGTTCCCACTTTGTTGCCTTTACCGTAGATGATCCTGACATTTCATCAAGCATCGTCCATGTTGTTATGATTCCTCCCATAAGGCTTTGTGTGGGCTGCTCCATGTGAAATTCCGGAGAGTATCGCCGCCTCCGGCTTCAATTCATCTCCCGACTCCTCGGCGAACCAAAGGCACATCGGCCCTGTGCTGGTCTCCAAGGAAATGTCCTCCAAGGAACAGTCGGCACGAATGCAAACTGTGCAGGTGTGCGCAGTTGCCCAGCGACCCTGGTAGACCACGGAAACCCTTTTGGGGATGATCATTCTTCGTACGGAATCCACTAAAACACGAATGGGAAAAATAACCAAGGAATAACTCTCGTCTTTGTGTGTGTATGTGCGTGCATTGACCCCCAGCATTTAGCTTGAGTTCCGTCCAAACATGCGGGCCATCACATTACATGGTCATATTCACAGAGTGGACATGGGAAATAGTATCATGATCCAATGCAAATGAAATGAGAAAAAACGAGTCACCATATGGGTGTGTCTTCTCTTAGGGGAACCCCCCCCCCACAAATATTGGTGTTCCGTTTGGTTTTCCCTTGCAACAACCAAAAAGGGGCACAAGCCAAAGACGTGCCGCCCCAAAGACCCGGGCCGAGGGATGGCACCTAGCCCCGGCGGATTTACGTGAAAAAGGACAGGCGCGGTAGGCTACATGGCTGCCTTCGGGCTCCCCCGACCTCCCAAAGTAGAACAAAACCAGTCACTTTGTGGATGGCCCGTCCAAAACTTTTAGATTCTCACTGAGGCCCAAACCCAAAAAGTGACCCAAGTCCAACTCAGGAAGTGAGACAAAGCTCGCAGGCCTCCGGCACCATGACGTAGTAGACCCGGCTATTGGCCATACCTCGCGGCTCCTGGGCTGGGCGGCCCCCCCCGCTGTCACTGGAATGGGACCTTTCGAAGGGATCCGGATCCGGGCCTCACGCAATCTCTCCAATCGGCAAGCTTCCCGGTAAATTTGAAAGGTCCCTGAGTTTGCAGAATTGAGTTCGTTGCTTGCCCAGTGGATCCAAATAGCACAAAACAAATTGGGTACCAAAAGGGCGTAACAAACAAAAACCGCGCGGGTGTCGGGGACTCGAGCACCACATAGTGTGTGTATGTGTGTGTGTGTAAGTAATTATTCAGCTATTACTGCAAAGAATTGAGCCAGCTTGATTCCCAAGTAGTCGTTGGTGCGGATGGGGGTAAATCCCGCAGCGAGTGCTGAAAGTCGATGGTGCCATTCCCTTTATTTAGGTAATTAAAGGGGATACCTAAACAAACATTTCATCTACTTTGACCCAACTGTAAAACAGGGGGAAGGCATAAAGGGATGATGCAGCCTAGACTTTAGACTACTATTTTGCCCAAATCTCAAATTCATATAATCCACGTTTCAATCATCTTCCCTCCCTATCCTTCTCCGGTGGTGCGCTCGTGTCTCTCTGAACGAGATCGCCTTGAAACGTAATAACTATCTTGGCCACACAGAAGAAACCAAAGAACACACGTCAGTCTTGCAACACCAGAAACGGCGGACACCAATTAGTTGTGTTTGCACCCGTGCTCCGTGCTGCCAACCTTCCTTGTCCAAACAACCGCCCGTGGACCCTCCAACAAAAACACCAAGAAGCAACACACATCGCAAACCCTCCAGGTAGCTTCGTGTTCGGAGTTCCTGGAGAAAAAGCCCCTCTGAGCCTTCCAACTTTGATTCCAGGGCAACCGTTGCTCGAAAGACCTGCAATCTGAAGCCAATGATATTTTGGACTAATTATGCCAAACAAACAATCACACCTGAAGTTATTCAATGAAGGAGGCGTCATGGGGCGCGGACACTATAGTCTGCCCAAGGTAGTTGTTGATACAATAAATGTAGACACCAGCATCTGGCATCGTCTTTGCCTTGGAAGAGGGTTGGGGGTGCCCAATTCCAAGAAGGAGCTAAAAGATTTGAGGTCGATTCCAGGGGTCGAACTTCCCCCCCCTCCCCCGGCGCTTCCATGAGTGGATGGGGAATCAAATTAGAACAACTCCTGTCTGCACATTGATCATGTTTATCCAGCACGGTCGTGCAGCTTGGTCCGGTCCAACCCAGTATTGTCCTTGCAATGGTTTGGGTTAGTGGAAACCATGTCAGGTTCTGGAGGTCCTGACAGTTCCTGAAAGCATTCAGCTCAGTTCCCGGCCTTTGCCACACGGTGCAAGGGACCCTCCTTTGGCTGGAACGAAGTTTTTCAGGTCAGTCGTTGTCGCTGCTTGCTCACCCAGTATTGTGTCAAGCCGCAAGGACTTGATCAGCGGGAACCCAGGATTGATGTTGACCAGGTTGCAACCCATGTTAGAGGAGATGCGGATCGTTTTTTGGGGAACCCGAAGCATCAATGATTATCTTCGGTATAACCCCCACTTCCCCTGTATCATACTGCAGGATTCCCTATATATATATATATTTCCTCTTGAGCATCACAGGGGAAAGTGGTGCTAAACTTGCCCAAGGGTCATGTTCCAAACCTCCAAAGGAAAGATAATTAACCCTGGATTTCCCCTTTGTGTTGGCTCACATAAGGGGGTACACCAAAAAGTTCGACTCACAGAAATTTGGTCTATGTAGGCCACCTTCATATAACTCATGTCCTGAGATCGCCACTGGTTTCAAAGGCAGCCATTCCCGGAGCCGTTGGCGTGTGGGACTCCGAAGTTTGGCCTCCGGGCGTAGAAGCCACAAATCACCTTGGGCGGCGCGCCCCAATCCTCCACGCTGCCAATGACCTGAGGCGAACATGGCCCCTTGCCTCACCTGAGTCACTTGCTCAAAGCCCGGTATGAAAATGGTCTACCCAGAACCATGTAAAGAATTAAGGTTATGTTTGGGATTATCCCTTGCTAACCTTCATCTACCCGGGTTTTGATTGTGGCTCACCGCCCCAAAGGACCCAGGAGCAAAAGGTGCAACTCTTTGGAACCTTTACTAGGTCCTCCAGTAGAGGTTAGAATAAGGGTACCCTTTTTTTCTGTAGTCTATCTTAGTAAGGGAACCCTCCCCCAAAAAAGAGGGTAAATGGGCACTACTGGGGGACCTAGTTTACTATCAACGGACCAAAAGGTGCTCTGGCCGGGACTTGACGATCCTTTTGTTGATGAAGGGACCTGCATCGGGAAGCAAACTCCAATTCTCAGCTGGAAATACCGAATCCGCCAGTATGGGCAAAGCTCGGTGTCCCCCAAACCCTCCCAACTAAAAGTGTGCAGCCCCCCCTTTTCTTGTCTTTGACAAAGCTGCCGCGGCACTTTCATGTGTGGGAAAGCAGTAGGGGAAAAGTACTTGCAGTTTAATAATCAAAAGGCCACATGCCTGGGGGCAAAACCTACATGAATATTGTTCAAGTACCAAACCCTGGCATGTGGCGGTCAAGTACAGGGTTTCCTTGGTTCCGCTTGCAACATTTAGGACGTCCCATACGTTACTGGTGGTTGGCATCTTGCAGATTCGGAGATGCCAGGCTTCCTGTTGGAATCAATGCAAAGCCAACCCAGTTGCCGTCCATATGTTTTTCAAGGGTGCCTTTTTGCCGTGGTGTTCAAACACTACGTATCTTTGTTTGTGGCGGGGCAGCCCTATTGAGAGTTTGTCTCGAACTTGCTTGGGAGATTCAGCACATGCCGAACCTCTTACCTCAATGGAATGGCTTTGAAGGCAATCCAGCAACAAAAACTTCATGCCAGGAGGGATCCCTAGCTTAGGCCACACCCATGCATGAAGGTATACAATGCATATTTATTTGCATAAACTTACATGTATTTCGGAAAATTCCCGGTAAGTCCCGGTAGGTCTAGAGGGGCAAGCCTGGCAGTGCACTTCAAGCAATAACTTCTTGGTAGGGATGTGCTCTCCCCTTGAACTGTTCACAAATCTGTGGGAATCGGTCGGACGGACTGGCCTTCCTGTGTTGCCCCTAACATCTCTGTAGGGAAACTCACTCCAAACATTGGCCCAAAAGCTGATGTTTAAATCCCCAAAAAGGGAGAAGAAACTGGGCTGTCCTCACATCCCTTGCTAAAAGGTTTTACCTTTAGTGGGTTAAATGGGAATCCCCACACCGCGCAACGCCTTGTTTGGCCGACCTTCTCACTGCTGTACGTTGGTGGACCTAGTCGTTCTCTGCCTCAAGCGATGTGGTCGCCTCTGGCAAAGCGGGGAAGCATCTGGGAAAAAGCGCCCGCGCACTTGATTCCAGGAGCCTCGCCGCATTCTGCAAGTATGCGGCGGGGGTCACACACACACACAGGCATGAACATATGTATGTATATATTATATAGATACAGGTATATGTACATTGCTTGATTGTTTATTCAAACTTAAACGTGTACATCGATAATATGTATATATATATATATACATATATATGTATATATATGCACAATATAGTGCTCCCTCCCCCCCCCCCCCGGGCAAATGTCGACCATGTTTGTATCATGATTTGCAATTTGGATGGCATCCCGATAACACGGCAAAATAATTTGACCCACTCATAGGCGGCCCTCGGCTATTTGGGAGGCGTAGACATCTTAGTTGTCTGGAAACTCTTCGGGAGCTGCTAGTCCACCCAACACGGTTGGTTTCCATCTGTCACGCAGAATCCACATGGGGGAGCCAGCTTTCTGCAAGCTCAGCTCCCGAGAGTTCTGTGTGCTGGAGGGTAAGGGGGGTCTTGCGTTCAACGAGGTCTTAACCCGGCCGTGGGTTGGACTCTGAGGTTGGTTCTTCACGCTCCGCACATTTCCCTGCAACGGGAACTTGTGGCGAAGGGTCTGTGCTTCTTGGCTTAGGGCACTTCTGGATCTGGGAATTTTCGGCGCTCCCCACCTCCAAAACCAGCGCTAGACGGTCAACAACATCGTCAGGTAACTTGCTTTCAGTGACTCATCCTGGAACCCAGCGCAGGGTTCCTCCGGATTAACTCGCGCTGTCGATCCATACAGCCCAGCGGCCGCCAAGTGGTGACTTCGAGTTGTTTTATATTGTGGGACCCCCTAAAAAGAAAGTTTTTCTTTGAATTCCCTTCGATTTGGGCAAGTGAGACCCTAAGATTGGACAATTGCGTGCTTGGACGCTTATATTGGGGTTATCAACCTCCTGGATGGAGTGGACAGGCTGTTAATCTAATTTAAGACCAAACCGCGGGAACCTAAATCGACTTTCTCATAGTACTTGCCCTTCCCCCAATGATTTGCATTTGTGAGGGCAGCTTCGCAAGATAAGCCTCAACAAGGAGGGGATTCGAGGCTCAAATCTCAAACCACTTCCAAACCAGCAATTGCGGGGACCTAACCAGTGGCCATGGGGATTTTTGTTTGTTGGTCTACCGCCCAGGAACAAGCTGACAAAGATGGAACAAGGGACCCGAGCTCGGGTCTCGGGGCAACATCACCCCAAACAAAAACTCAACCAACAGGTAACATTTAAACCAACTCCAAAGAATGTGGCATGTCCTCTTTATCGGTGCTTTTTCAATGGTACCCCTTTCAGAGTAGTTGTACAGGAAAGCGAAGATGAAACTGACAATCTTTTCGGGGGGGTGGCTCCCAGAACAAGACACACCCAAATACAGCTCCAACCATCGGTGGGTGTCCTTTTGGTGTCCACAAGGCCATCTTAAAGCGGGCGCAAATTGTTCGGCCCATATGATACCCTCCGGATAGATGCTAGGATGCAGGCCATCGAAGCTCGTTCTGCCATTCGGTTTGCTTGCCGCAACCAGTCCAAATCCCTTGCTGCGTACCATTCCCTTCCTCACTTTAACTTAACCATCCCCAGATACACCCTTTGAGCATGTTGGGGACCATTCCAGCAGGGTGAGAGCAGATGGCACAATTTGCTCTATGCGGATAAGCAAAGGAGAAACCAAAATTGGCAAACTGTCATCTAGTTTGTCCACCTGCAAGCATGTTTGGGGTCCGTTATGCAAACAAGAAAGACAACATTGGGGCAACCACATTGGCAGCCACTGAATACCTGCGGATCAATTGAAACTCGGAGCAGGCATCTCAAAGGCGTCAACCGCATGCTGCGCTTCTGGGTGCGAATTGTCACTAGAGACCCTTTGGCGGAAATCATGTTCATAAGGGACTTGTGGCCACCCGAATTGAGGGGGTTCCCCATTGATAGGCTTCTATTGGACACCTCCAGCCTTTCAGATTCTCTTTCAGAAAACGGACAGCAGGCAAAGTGGGTGGGAAAAAACAGATTACTGACAATAGGCAGGTGCCAACTCTTGGCATCTTGAACATGGGCTTGTCGCCAAATGGAACAAGAACCCTCCCAACAAAAAGACAGTGTTGTCCTAGTGGTTTCCGATTTCAAATCAACCCGTAACCAGGGGCTCAAGCCGAGAAAGCACATTTTCCAAAGAATGGCGGTATCAGCTCAGAGCCTCTAGGGCATTAAACTGAACACATGGAATAATTGTATGCCCAATTTTAAGATGCAACGGTTTCAAGGGTAGGCAGCATCCCCAAGGCTAGCTGTAACCCTGCATGAGTCGGCCGGTGAAAAAATACCCATCGTGGGTTGGCTCAAAGCTTCCCCCAATTTTCTCTACCTGGAGTCTCCATGGCCTCTAAAAATGGGTCCGGGACCCCATTATTTTGCGTAATGACCAACCATTTTTGAAGGGTCAGAAGGAGACTCCAGGTATACGTGGGCTTTGGGCTGGGGTGCAGGCCTCCAGGTGCTTTAAATGGCTTCGATGCCCTGCCAAAATGCTTGCTCCACTTGAGCAAGTCCACCTCAGGGTACCAGCTCAATCCCAAATCCAATTCTCAATTGACTGACTCCAAAACCTGACAGTAAGGTAAAGAAGGGATCCCCCATAAAGGTCTTCGCGGCTTTCGCTTTTCCGAAAGAAACCAAAGCGCTCCAAAGGCGTAAATCGTCTCATGTCGCACTGATCTATGCCTGCTCCTATCAAGCTGGGCTACGTCTTGCCCTGCCATTCCAACGCTCTACAGAAACTTGGCCGGCCACAGGGGCCCTCTGTAATCAGCATGAGAACGGCAGCCTTTCATCTGTCTCAACACGAGAAACCTTGCTTGTCCCGCCCTGAAAACAAACACTGGGCAAGTTGCTACAATTCCCGAACTGGAAATTAAGTCATGGGTGAAATGGGTTGTGTTTCCCCCTGGTGAGTCGCAATCAAAAACTGCATGGTATTAAGTATTAAAATATATTTAAGTGGTCTAGCCAAAACCATGTAAAGATTAAAAAGAGCTGCTGCCTTCATTTGTGGTTGGGATTGTCCCATACCGTACTAAGCTTTATCCCAAGTCGACTTCCATGGGCCAAACAAGACCCCCCGCCCCATGTTTTTGGGTACAGGGAACCCCCCTTCCCAAAGAAAGGACACAAGGAAATGCACCACTAGGTGTCTGGGTTGTTTATCACTTAAATGATCACGAAGAAAACAACACGAAAAACAAATGGAGTTTGTCCGCGTGCTTTGTTTGTTGTTTTCCCAAAATGAGCAGACTACTGGAAGGTTTGACCAGAACGCCCACCTCAGTCACGGTCGCTTTGTAGGAGCCCTTACAATGGTTGCCTAAAATCCTGACTCATTACAGTAAGGGGGTTCATCACCAACCCTGGGTTTACCCAAGCAAAATGTGCTTCAACCCTGGCCAGCATGGCCATAAATATCGGCCATGCCGGCGGAACGGGTCTAAAAGCGCCGAAAACAACATAAATGTTCAACCCAAAAAAACAACCGCTGCATTGCCAGCCAAGCTCAAACGCTGAGCAACTTGCCAATCCACTGCAAGCCCTGAGCAACTACGGCCCAAGAGCCCGAGCACGACTTACTAGAAGCCAGCTGAGCAACTATAGCCCAGCACGCCACGTGTTAAGACAAGTTCCGCTCGCTCTGCCCTATGCCCTGAGGCCGGGCAAAAAACAACCCGCTTGGCATCCGTTGCCCTGCCTGAAAGATCCGGGCAGAAAGAAAAGCCGGCCAGGGGCTGCTATTGATTATCTTCTCAATCCTTAATCGATGTTCTCGCCACACATTTTCACTTCCAGTTCTGATAAGACATCTGCATCTGCGGAACGAACATGGGCTCGGGGAATCTCGCTCCATCTAGCCAGCCAGGATTCAGCTGACTTGCGAATGGCGCGAAGGGTGCCGCCAACGGAGCGAGGAAGGGGCTGGATGGGTCCCAAAGGGAAGCCCAGTGCGCCAATCCGCTCGCCTTGTTCGCTTTCGGCGCGAGGTGGCATTTGGCTTCCTGCGTCCCCCCGATCTCAGGGGGACGCTGTGTTCGATGTTTTACCTCCATTTGTTCAACCCCTCAAACAAAAAGAAGAAGGAGACAACTAGTGTGGTTCTATTTTTCTCCCCGAACATCAACCAACGGGGCTTCCACCATTCACTTTGAAAGACCCCCGCCGGATTCCGCGTAAGCCTGGACCAAACAAACTAAACAGGCAGCGGTTCTGCTGTGGTTTCTGGCACCCAATTTTCCACCACGGTGGCCGGATCCGGCCTCCGTTTTGCCCTGGAGGCTCTTGATCACAAAGCATTCTGCACAGAAGTTGCTCCCATTCTCCTCAAAGCGGGGGCCCTCGATGGGAGCCATCTCGCAGAGTGCGCATGAGTACCCCGCGTGCACTGGAAGAGGCACGCAGGAATTCGGAGCACCGAAGGTGTCCGGAAATAGCGCAGGTAACACCTGAAAACGCGCGTAAAACCTGGTCCTATTTTGTTCAGTGCCGCGAAAACTAATGGGAGCCATTTCTGCTGAAACCAGCTTTCGCTTTCAGCGGGCCTACTATGTTGATCATGTTTAGTTGCTGGGCAACAAACAAAACGCACCATTTCTCTTGTCGGGTTGATTAGTTTTGGCGGTGTCCTTCAGGGGGGCTTCGTATTGATGGCACATCGCAAGAGAGAAGACGGCTTGCAAGGGTCATTTCACACATGCCATCAATACGAACCCCTATAAATCATCTTATGCAGAGGCAGGTCAGATAGTTGGGTCTTCAACAGGGGTCTTGAAAATAATATCCCCCGTTGGTTTCCCGTCGGGACCCTACACAAAACTCTGGATCTACATTACCAACAAAGGGCACATCTTGCGGAGTGGATCGCGAATACCCTGCAAATGAAACGTCTCCCCACCCCCCACCCCCCACCCAACCCCTGGAAAAACAAAAAACAAAACAAGTTTGTTCTGTTTATCAAACAGTAACTACTGAGCCGGCTCTGGCTTATAACCGGGATTGTAACAACTTTACAGGGTTGATAGCCCCATCGACCACCAAAGGGAGGCCAAGTCGATCTTTTGGGTTAACCCACCACCGCCTTTGGCCTGACAAGAACTCCTGGGGTCCCCCGCTGCCAACAGATCCTCCGCCACTGCCACCAAGGCCGCAGCCACGGAGGCTTTGTCACAGCTCACCAAAGCCCTCAGCAGTTCTGCCAGGCTATCCCCCAAATGGTTCACGTCGCTTCCGCTGTGATACGCCTGTAAATATGTCAACGCCTTTTCGGTGTCAGGTAAATCTTGGAATTTCTCACAGACTTGCTTGATCAGGTTCAAGAATTTCTTGTCTCTCAGTTTCACTCCTTTGCGGTTGATTTTCTCTTGTTTCCTCTGGACGCGCTGAGCAAAGATGGGAAGGAACTGCAGGACCAAACTGACCAACGTTTTTTCCGAAAGCCGGCCCATGCAGTGCATCCCCTTGAAGCACGCCAGCAAGTTCACCGGGCAAAGGCTGCCAGACTCGCTTCTTCCTTCGAGATCCGTTTTTTCCGGCTTGGAATTGTCTGTTCCAATCTTCATCGAATTCTCCGTTGGGAGCTTCATGACATTATCCGCTGTCTGGCGAGGTCTGGTTATAAAGGCTTGAAGTTTGTAACAGGTCGCCTCTGTCTTGCAGGAGGTATTTGGGTAGAGGAAATCCTCAAGGGTGTAGTCAGTCAGCGTGCACAAGTCGTTCTCTTCGTCCTGGTACTTCAGGACCAACACCTGGTCGGACTGTATACCTCAGCCCAAAAACACATGGCGGCAACCACCTGTGGCATGTTCAAACCAAGTGGGTTGCAAGCATGGTTACTGTAGCAAGTATCCATCAAATAGAACATGTACGGTCCTCGATCGTGGCCCCATGTTGCATGCACATCTCCAAGTGTGTGCAAATTGAACCTATTGGTTGAGTATGCTGCACATGGCATTTTCAGCGGCCATCAGGCTGGATCGAAATCACCATTTCATCGCATCGACATCAAAATATAAATGCACGGTAGCAAATCATCACAATGGCAGGCGAATCTGAAGCAACCCTTGCATGCACAGCCAAAAGAAACGCCGGTTCACGTGTTGGCTACTGTGTGTATTACATTCAAGCATTTGCATTTAACATCACCATTTATTGTTTTGACATGCAATGTGGGCCTCTACAGCGCATGCACCCGATACGTTGTAAGTTGTAACCTATCACATGCCGTAGCTATGTTGTCTTTCATGTATGCTTGCACGCATGGGTGAATGCTTTCATCACCTGAGGCGCTCCCCTCAAAAGAAAGCAGACTAAAACGCAAGAGCCGACCTGGAAAATAGGCGTAAAAAGCCGCTGTTCAAACTTCAGCTCGCTTTCCTCTTTGTGGTTTGGGTTGGTTTGGAGGTAAGGGCCTGGTTTCCCATCTACGCGTCTATAACCACCAATCCAACAGGTTCAGGGTCTGATCGAAGGAGCTTTCGAATCCACTGCGAATGATCATCTCGATCTCCTGATATGCTGCCCGATACATCTGCAGGCTGCTCCCAGGAACAACGTCCAGGCAGGCCCGAAACCTGCGAACATCCCTCTCCTGTGCAGGTCTGGACGAACGTGACGGGTGGCTGTTGAAGAGGGAAGATTGAAGGAAAGTGAGGAACGCCAAAAAGCTATGTTTTGTCGGAAAGGAAAAACAGAGGCAAACCAAAAGGGCCACGAGTTGACTTCTTAAAAAGGAACATGAAGGCTCTCCGAAGGTCAAACAGTTGAACAACAAAAAACACCGGCAGCAAAACAAGGTACCCGGAGTCTCCATGACCTGTGAAAATGGGGTCATGACCCCCTGTGTTGGGTAGATGACCCCATTTCCGAAGGGTGCTGGAGACCCCAAGAAAATCCCGGAAGGGTCCTTTCCATCGGCCAGCGCAACTTTGAAGACCCGCTCCATGCTTTGGCCGAGAGAACGCAGGCCCGGACTCCCGGGACCCTCAGGTCAAAGGCAGCGGAGATCGATCCCGGCGTGTCCCGGTGGGCCACGAGGACAAAGGCCACCCGTTAGTCCACCCATGGTAACCCCATCCAAACAGGCACACAGAGTGCCGCTGGCAAGAACTTGTGGCAGTAGAAAAAGAAAACCGTTGAGCATTGTGCTGCAAACAGTTGCCACCGCTAACAAGGGGATACCGCCAAGGGCGCCCTAATCTTGCCAACCCTACACATACCGTTTTGTCCTAAGGGTCGGACTGCTCTTCATATGGCTCAAGATATGGCGTATTGTGGGGCAGGGGGACCCTTGTCAGGATGGGGGTAGACGCATTCACCAAAGTAGAATGAGGGACCTACCAAAAAGCAAACTTCATGCGCAAGGTTGCAAGTCTCGGTGGCGTGCAAACGAAAGACGTGAAACAAGTTGGGTGTGTCTCAAAATCGGTTGCCCTTGGACAAAACCCCGGTAGATGAAGGCTAAGGGACAGTCCCAGCCACAAATTAGTGCGGCTATCCTGGATTTGGGTAGACCCAGTGCTCAGTGACACTGAAAGCTCAGATCTCGATTCACTCATGCAACTTGATCTGTGCTGAATGATTGCTTCCGGTTGCGCCCCAGGGTGCCGCAGACTGTGTTGCCACTTACGACACAAAGTGGAGTTGGAGGGTACCTACCTTTAGCAAGGGTCGCTTGGTGTTTTGACGGTACCCTTTGTCGTAGGGCGTGTTTTTCAGTCAAAGCAACATCAGATGTCATTCCATCGAAGAATAATTCACTTGATCCAAGTATTTGATCCACACATATCCTTGCAGGCCACTTGTCTGCGGCTGATTTATATAGCTTTTTTCGTCGCAACCCGGCCCGGTATTGGAGGTTCCCCTGCAGAGACGACAGAAGACTACTTCTCGGTGACCTTTCCCATTGATTGTGCCGCTCATCACTATTTGCCAAGCAAAGTTGTGAAATCGTTTGGTACTGTTTCATCAGGCAATGACCCGTTGGCTCCGTGAAATCATGGGGAGTGAACGCTGTAGACACCAATGGAAGGAATGTTTCGAGTCAGCCGACCAACCTGGTAAGCTGATCAGCAGGGAAAGCACAAACCTTCTCATACTACGCCAGCCCAAAGAAGTGGTCTGCCTCAAAGAACACACCTCTGTTAGCTCGCTATCTTTCGTCCAGGATTCCGCACGCAACAAGTGAAACCAATAAAACAAGCCTGGCTAGTATACTGTGCATTGAAACACGCTTCTTTTGCGGGCGCTACATGGTACATCGTGGGCCCTGTGCTTCCAATCCAGCACAACGCAGGGCTCCTTCTATTTCTTTTTCAACATGAGCCCACCAAGGGAGCGTGCGGAAGGTTTGTAGAACCCAGAAAACGTGTGCAAACCTTCCCCACATTCTGTCCATCCAGGTGCCGTGCAATTCCTGGGCTAGCCAGGCGTACAGCAATATCCCTGTTGGGCACCTGAAAATCAGACAGCAGATGGGAGACCCTAAAATGGTGGTTTTCCCTTTGGTTTCCCCTTAAAACCGACCCAACAAGGGTCAATCAAATTCCACACAAACAGAGAAACACACATAGACAAAGACACAGACACCAACACAAAGACAACACACACTGCCAATGTATGGCCCCTGACAAAAAGAGCGAAGCCGCCACCTCAGACTCCTCCGGGTTGATAAACAACCGTTTGCATGGAAGGCGATGTGTTGCATGCCTCGTGGATTCTGCCTCTAGAACTCTCTTAGCGCTCTCAAAGGGAGAGGCCACGGGTGGAGGTACCCAAAGCAAGGCCAGGAGAAACACCACCAGTCACATGGAAGGTAAGAAGTGTTGTCATGTTTCGACTGCCTCTTTGGACAAATGGAGGGGATTGCGGATTCCTCTTGGATTTATGCCGACCTTGTCAACCAAAAAGGGTTGCAGCAACTACCTACAAGGCGCCTTCTAAAAGGGCACGGTACCTATGTCGCAAAAACAAAAAAGCTGGAGGGACCTCCTGGTGGGTTGTTCAAGGACGTTCGGGCTTGCTCCAAAGCCCCGATTTGCACAACGGGAGAAAGCCGTGGCTCCTGATGAAAGGAAAACCAAGGACAGGCGTTTGATACGGAAATTCTTGGTTGGATTAGCTTCCGGAAGATTGATTCATATGATAAGATATCATATCAAATGATTATGTCGAACTTCCTACGCGTGTTTAAGAACGGGCTGCAGTAACCTGGTGCTACTTTGCAGGTAGGCACATGCGAAACGGCGAAAATAACAAGGCCGGTTGCAATCTACATGCCTTTTGGGGTGGCCTCAAATCGATTGCCAACAAAGGGGAAACCAACAGGTGGAAAGGCTGGCCTTCTAGGTTCTTGTATTTCAGAGCCAAACAGAGGGGAGCCACTGCTGAACTGTTACTAGTAAGAGGCCATGAGAACCATTTGCCAGAATGGCACCCTCCACCATAGGTAGGCTCCTCCATGGCTCTAAATCAACAGAAGCCTTGCTTGGATGTCAATGTTCAACCTCAGAAAGCTGGCTATAAGCAGGGTTGTTTCTGGAATAACTCAACTCTAGCTGGCTCACTTGCGACCATGGTAATACTTGCGGAACACAACCCTTTCTGTCGTGCCACTATGGATAATTCCCATGACTGCATTATCACTTTAAGAAGGATTCCCATATCGCGGAAAAAGGTCCTAAACCCTATTTTCCACAACCATTACCGTGATTGTTAGGGATATACTAAGTAGGCTGAACTTTGGCAGACCTCTGGCTGAGGAGGGTACCCAAATGGCGTCGGCATCTTCCAGCCCAATGGTATCTGCCTGAGACCAGCTTGGCCGCTTTGCCGAGCCGTCTTGTAAAGAACCCGAAAACTACCTATCTCCTTTTTATGTGTTTCTTTTTCGAGTGTGTTAAAGGGACATTAAACCAATAATAATAACATGTTTTATATAGTATATACCTGGATCCTCAAAAAGGAACACAGTTGTCCTTATTGCTTTTTTTTGCTTGTTTCGCCAAATGAGCGGAATTTCCGAAATCTAGGCGGAAAATGCCAAGTTCATGTTTCGCAGCGAATTCTGCTGATTTAGCCTCTTTCTTACATAGACCAGCATTTCTTGAAGGGCTTTCATGCAGGCACCTTCCAGAATAGGAGTGGGACATGTAGGTTTCCATGACACGGTGCAGGGATGCGCCGCAACCCCAAACAAGGTGAGGTTCAGCTAGGAAATTGCTCCCAAGTGTGCAATCAATGGATTTGCGGAAAGGCAAAAGCCGACACTTTGTTAAAACTGTTTTTGTCTCGCTTGAACAAGTTGCGGACTGGGCACCAGTCCTACGTGGCTCTCATGAACATCTGGTGAGGAATGGTACTCAACATGGTAGTTTTGATGACTGTCCATAGGTTGAAAGGGTCTACAGTTCGTAGGCTGGGAATTGACCATCGAATTGATGAGGGCCAAGTAGTGGCTGGCAAGCAACCATGGAGAGGTCGAACCGTTCTCTTTTTGCTTGCGTGAATAAGCGCTTTTTCCAACAATTCGCGCTATTTTTGCCTTTTAAGGAAAATGTTGGGAAATTGTTCCTAAAGAAGTTCTAGGTATGGGGATCTCAGACCGGGTCTCACATCCTATTTTGAGACAAGCACATGAGAAGAATCTCTGTGAGGGCCGTCGATGAACAGAATCCGACACCAGTTGGTAGGGTGTTATCCACCCCGGTGCAGGATTTTGACCATCCACAGTATGACTTGGACGGCTAACCAACATTTGGGGCATTGAAGACACACAGGAGTAGACTGTATGGAAACCGCTTGCGGCAACACGCAACACAAACAATATACATACATCTGTTTGCACGTATGCGTGCATGTACGTATCTGCGGCTTTGGGCTCGTCCTGCATCCATCCCTCTCTTTTTTGTTGCACCGCCACCTTCCAAGGCGTCGGCGCCATTTGCCGCTCGGTTACAAGGACTTACGCATTATGGAAGAGAACCGAACTGAAAGGGTATGTCTCCCTATCGGGGACCTCTAAAAACATTGGCTGTCCTGTGGCATTCTTGCAAAGCAGCCCTCAGCAATTGATATGGATAAGGCCCCACATTATGAACCTTCACACAATTGAGCACCCATGGGATTCAAACGGTCGCCCCTCCCCCAGACGGCTTTTAGGCCCTAAAAGCCGTCTGGGGGAGGGGCGACCGTTTGAATCCCATGGGTGCTTAATTGTTTAGGCAGTTTCCCTCAACTAGCAATCAAAGGCTGGAGTTTGAGACGGAAGCTTCTTCGGAAAGCTGCGCAGGCTTCCTTTCCACCACCATTGACATGCTAACCAAGAACCTTGAGGGCAAGCGGGATGAACGCTCGAGGTCTGGTGGGCCCAAAGCCAAGACCCATGGAAAAACCGTCCATGCTCTGCTGGTGAACATGGGAAGTTGAAGATCAACCAAAAACAAAATGGTAGACAAAAGAGGTTCGTCAAGCCTCGCAACAAACATGAACTTCGTTCTTTGCAGCCCTCCCAAGGAACAGAACCGCTGAGCCAACACAAACAGGAACAACACAAAACACCCCGCTGCCAGAAGCGTTAGGTTCAAGCCTATTCCCATGACTACTCTGTCACTTTGAAGGGAAACACACACCATATCTCCGACAGTGGGCCTTCAAACCAACATCTCCGCAATGCGTCGGCCCAGTTCAGTGGGACCTCACTTTGGCAAACCACGCTCGCATCAGTATCTGGCACCGGGATCTTGTAGATTAATTCGGGACCCAGCTGGCTTCGCCCAACTCTGGTACATCTAAGAATGAGATCCAAATCAGACTTTCTCTCCCGTCAATCTGCAACATTTGCTCTAATTCCAAAAGCTGAACTAAGGGATCCTCAAGAAAAGGGCCTTTATCATGGTAAACTCTACCCTTCGGTTGAGCTTGCTATAAAACTGGCAGATCAATCATAACATGGTTTGTGAATTCTAACTCCTTTGGTGGACATCGTTTATGTGGGGATTCATGTCCACTAATCACTAATCGGTTCCCCATTAAAATTCCATAGCCGCATTGGAGCAGACCCACAGGTTGACGCACACGCGTCCAGCCCAGTCTTGGCGCCCTGACAGTAGGTGCCTCCCAGCCCTCCGCCTCCACCTACAAGGCGCGAGCGCGGTCCATCTTCAACCCTATGCCTGGGATGCACCTTGTTCATAGGCAACATGTTCACAGGTTCATTGATTTACATAGTTGTTTGTTCCTAGGCAAAAATGTTCACTGGTTGTTTGACCAACACATCTGTTTTGATTCGTAGGCAAGAATGTTTATTTCATTGATTAACATATGTTTGTTTTTAGTTCTTATAGGCAATGAAAATCCCAAGCCTTGACCCAGACTTCACAAACAACCAAAGGCGGCCAAGGCGAAGATTCAAGAAAGCCATGGCTGGTTCAAAAGTATGGGGCATATTAGGGTGTTGCCTGAAAGTGGAACCCCAAACTGGTTGTTTCATGTTGATTCAAACAGTGCAACGATTGAGTGGGAAGTCTAGCAATGATCTCTGTCAAGACATTAGTTGGCTCGCCGCGGCAAAGTCACCGGGCACTTCCCTTTCGACCTGACAAAAACATACATCTCTCTGAGTGCAAGTCTTGGCTTCCCTGGTTTCCTGTTGAAGCCAAAAAAAAATAAAAATCCGCGGAGGGCCCAAGCCCTAAGCACCCCAATCAATCCTAGCACCCTTGCCTGGGCGCAATGAGGGACCCTTTTACCTTTGACCCAAGGCATTGACCTTTGCCATTGCCTACCTTCCCTTTCCTCCGTGAGTAACACCAAGCCCACAAAGGGACACTCTTCAAGACAGCGTCAGGTTTGGGTGCCAAACCCGCGAGCAAGGTCGCTATCTATCAGTTGCCCAGCTTACAAGTTGATTGACACTCTGGCAGATTTGACATGTCATGGACCGTTGACCCGGGGTAATGGAAGCTGCACAATGTCTGTGAGCGGCGGATTGAAACCTTCAAGTGCGGAGCCTTTCTGGGGCAATTTATGTGACTGCTTTTGGATGCTTTTGCGAAAGTCATAAATCGCGGTTGTTTCCCCTTTCTCATACTCAGGGGGTTACAATGGTAAAATGATGGCGCCGGTTCTTGTGGGTGTCCTTTGTTGCAGGTTCGATCAACCTCAAACTCTCCATTTGGGTCTGTCTGTTTTTTAGAATACCACCTTGTGGCTAAAGAGAAAACCAACAGGAAAACTAAAAACCACCATTTTGGGGGGTCCCCCCTAAAAAAAACGAGCCGCCCATTTAGCAAACCGGGACATCACCCCACGACGGAAACCGGGGTCGATGGCACCTCCCAGGGCCAAAGCGAGGCCCAGGTGGAGCCATCGTCCGGGAGGCTCCTGTGGGTGTCGTTGCCCTGTTCGCCCATCAAAGCGACATGGAAATTCGAAAGCCGCCATTTGCGGGGACGACCCCCATTTTGACACCTCAAAGTCGCTCTCCAAATCGTGGTTGAAAGATGTTTAAAGGGGCTACCCACAGATGTGGTTTGGAGAACCCGTCGCCAATCTTCGCTTTTTTCGGGGCGCAGCAGAACTAGGGGAAGGCGCCCGAACATGCCGAGCATCCCCCTTGCTTTGCGTTTAAGCAACATTTCCCCAACAGTGGTATTTGGGAAAAAGAGGCATAAAGAGGGAACAAAAAGAGGGAATGGAAATGTTGCCTGAAAAAAAACATCTCTCCAACTATGTCGCTCAACATTTGGAAAAAAAAGAGGCAGACTCATTTCAAAGGCCTGCGCTCGTACCGGGAGTCCTTGAGCTCGAACAACGCCAAGTCAAAAGGCGTGGGATTGATCAACAAACACCTTGCTTGATCCGTCTTAGGATGGCTTTTGGCCAGCCAATGTGGGTGTGTTCTTTTTCTTTTTGAGGGTACCCCTTTTTTGGGTGGTTTTAAAGGGAAACCCAAAAACCAGCGAGGCCCTGCTTTTAAACACGCATATTTCCGCGTGCCCAAAGCTGCTCCGCTCCTCGCCACGACGCTCTGAACGCCGGTGCCCCCAGGCCTCAGCTTGTGGTTTCAAAGTAGTTTCCCGGAACAGGTGTATTTGACAAAATGTGCATAATACAAAAACATTCATAATAATATGTATATATATATATGTGTATATGTAGTATAATTCGTATCCCAGAACCCGATTCCAACTGACCTAGCCACTTATCTTGTACCTTGAGTTGTGGCAAGGGCAGTGGAAAAAGGCTGAAGGGTACATTTTTGTGGGGGTTGCTTTGAAGGAACATCGAGGGAAACTCACCAATAGTTTGTTTTTTTTGGGGGAGGGATTTTGATCTCTTTGAGACAAACCCACTGCTTGATGCGGGGAAATGCCCGCATCACAGTATTCTTGGGGCTGGTTTCTTTTGAGGCTCGGTACCCGTAAAGGGGGGGTTCCCTATTTGGGGCAAAACCCTGTAGACGTTCAAAGCCGTTGGCAAAGGGGACTGAACCGGTGACTGACCGAATCTGTCACGCAGAGGCAACATCTCGGCTTGTGTGCATGTCCCTTGGTGATGCCCAGTTTCTCGCGATCTTTGCGTCGGGACTCTTCCCTTCATGCTGGATTCCATAGATGCTGCGAGTGCACCAAACGTAATCAATGACACATACTCTAGAGAGCTCCCGAATCCCACTTGCAATATTCAGGGCGCTAGTAGATTGGGAGTTGTGCAGGTCCTGCCAGTAAGCCAATGGGAAAGCCAAGTGACTAAATCGAAGTCCCCACCGTAAGCATGCTATATAATCACTTTACAGCAATACAACAATTCGTGACTCTTCCATGAGACTTGCGATTTGGAGGCTTCTTCACACGTCAACTCAAAATAAGCAAGTGCCTTATTTCATGGGACCTCGAGCAAGGGCACGACTTCCTCGCAAAGGCCACAAACCTCCCAGAGGGCAGCGCAAAACACTGGATCAGATGATACTGTAACCCTGAGTTTTGGATCCAGCCTGTTGCCCGCTTCCCCAGGAGAAAAACATAAACAAAAAAACAGGGGTGCTTGCAGTGCAGCCGAGCAGCTTCACGTTGGCCAGAAGCCATCGGCCCTGTCGAGTGCTTCTTCACTCGATGCCAAATTTGAGGCTGGGTCAGGGGAAACCACAAGGACCAATGTTGACCACTTATTACTTTTGGGTTGGTTTCTGAATGGGTGTGCAACAGTACCAGGGGGAAGCAAAAGGAGGCTGTGTAGACAGGAATACAGGCACACCTCACTTTACATGTGGGGGAGCTGTCCAGGGATGACTAAACCAAAGTGAGTACTTTCATTGAACTGCAACACGATTATTTATTAAAGCAATCTGTGCAACAGGACATGTCGTGGCGTCATTCCACGACAAGGTAGCCCAAAGGACGCCAAACAACTGTGAATTGAAGCAACCATGGTTTGCACCAGTGATTATGATTCGCCACCTGAATTGAGGGATCCACAGTTTCTTGCCTCCTCTCCATCTACTGTCTGCAATCTGGCCTGGTACTCTGTACATACCCGCTGTAGAAACCAGCGCTCAATCTGCTACAATAACACACACAGCTTGCTGGTTGGTGGGCAGGAACGGGAGACAGGGACTTGCACAACTTCTTAAAGGCAAGCTGAAAACTGAACATCGTGTTCTCCGGTTCAAACAAACGTTGAACATGGCAACACATGCGGCAAACTAGAAGGCAAGGATGCACAACGCTGGCCATGCATATAGGCTTCTAGAGAAATAAAGCCGGCCAAACCTCGGCCATCCTCGATAGTTGTGTTGGGCTGTCCACATTTCTCTAAGTTGTGTCCAGTTGCCGGCGAAAATGCTTTCCGGTTCTTGGGATGTGTCCTTTAGGAAAGGGGATCGATTGCCAGGTACCAAATGAAACATAAGAGACATTTGGTGCCATGATCAATTCCACAATCTGGGAAATTGCAGGAAGGTAAGGAAATCACGTAAAGAAGTACCGAGGTGAAGAACTATGAACATCATCGGCCGGTTCTCCACCCCAATGTGCCATCAACACATGCAACAGCTTGCCGCCTTGCCTACTTTGGCCGGCCAATTCTTTGCATGCTTTCCATACGTGCATCTAGCTGCGTGCGCAGTGTTTCTACTTTTACACTCTGTATGCATATCTGTCTGTCTGCCTATTCATCTATAGATGCGCACCAGTATGTGGACACAATGAGCGTAAGCTAAGAGCATGGCAGGCCCCAGAACTTGGATCTTCAAAAAAGCTCGCTTCAACACGACTCGCTTTAAGTTGCCATGTCCCAATTGCCACCTTTTAGCGTTATGACTCGTAGGCTACATAGTGGCAACGTGAAAACAAGAGGAATGGGTTGTACAACAAGCCAACTCAATGCTACATATATATATATATATGTATATATATGTACAGTACATATCATCATATGTGCATATACTTGTATAAGCATAAAGAACAAACTCATTCTGCCCTTCCGGTTCGGCCAGCACAAAAGAACCCCCGGGACACGGCTCCCGCTGCCGGGGCCTGCTTGGGCATCCAGAAGAGCCAAAGGCTCGTGATGCCGGGATCTTAGTGCGCTCGGAATGGAAATGCTGAAGTTGGGGCAAAGTCGCACTTTTCGCGTTTCAGCGTTTTTACACCAATATCCGAATGTGCGTGTGGAAACTTTTCGGTTTTAGACACAACAAATATCCCCAGCCACAAAGTGGCTAAAGTTCAGGAACTCAGTCTCTTGGTCGCCCCAAAGGGCAGCAGGGAACACACTGGTTTTGTTGTACCCGAAGGGTCTGTTGCACAAAGGATGGCTGAAGCCGCCATACACGCATGAGGCCTTGGAATCATGCTCCGAAAATCTCGTGGTTTTGGGGTTTTGAACGACCTCCAACTTCCTTCCTGAGTTCCTGTTTGCCGCTAAATCGGTCGTCGATCACGAGCCAATAAGCGAGAAAAATGCTGTGCACGTCAATGTGCAGGAGAGAAATCCCTCACTTGGCTTCATGCTCCCCGCCACCACATCCCCCCTCCCTTAAGTGATCCCCTCAATCGGGGCTCCGGCATCGGAACACTTTTTCTCAGGCTCCGGCCACAAGAGTCTCCCGTCCTGCGAACAGAAAAGCAGGGCGAGCAAAGAATCTTGGCATCTGCAATTGTTACAAGATGTTAAAGGCAATCCCACACTCAAACCGAGAAAACACAAGGTGTGTCTCCATTGGACAAGTAATTGACTGCAAATATATCAATTCCAAAACCGGAATAATAATTGGATGGTCAACCTACATCATGGCTTTTCGTTCCCCCAGAATCGGTGAGCTCCCCTTTTACTACCCCGACGCCGTTGCAATAGCAGTGGCACCCAGTCTGGGATAGGCCTTGAACAACCTCTTGGCCATCTGCTTTTGCGAAGCATCCATCGCCCCGTCGCCGACCACCAGGAAAATCTTCAATGTGCGTCACGTGCGCGCTTCGCAGCGCGGCAGCTATTCCCCCTCCAGACGAAGCCAAAAGCCCTTGCCGGGTATAAATCTGCCGATTCCTGGTCGCATAAACCGCTCAACGACCTGCTGCTTCGTGTATCTTCACACCCGCACCTCGGTGTTGGCCAAATAGCCCAAGAGCTCTCTGTCTCCAGCCTTCCCATATACAAACCTGCGGCTGAAAAGTCTTCGTTGTTGCAGTTTGCGAATAGTGTCTGTCAAACACCAGGCTGCATTTGGCCTAGGCCGGTAGTAGCTGCCCCAACAAAAAATGGGCGGTGGCCTTTCATAACACATCACGAAGGGTTCACCGAGGGACCTATTTCGCAACGCGCTACCGCTACTTCCCATGGGTAGAAAATTCACCGCTACTTGTGCGGGAAGCCTGGAGACTGATCCAACGAAAAGGTTCCCATCGTGGTCAAAAAGGCCCATAGCCTACTCGCTTCTCGAGTGGTCAAAAAGGCCAAAGTGTTTGGTTGGCTCCAAAGGAAAAGTCCCACAAAAGCTTAAACAGCAAACAGCACACCCGAATTTTTCGAAGTGCAGAAACTCATGAAGGGACCAAAAAGCACCTCTCCCCCTTCTTCGCAGGTTAAGATCATGGGAACACCCAAAAACAAACAACAAGGAAAAACGACCGAAAAACAAAACAAAAACAAAAAAGACGCCCGGCTGGACCTCCCCAGCTTTCCCTGGTCCTGCGGAAGGCCACCTTGCCGTGGACGAAGCCGGCGCGGCGGAAGCCACAGGCCGAGGGCGAGGCGTCCATGGCCGGGGCCTGGAGCCCACAGGGGGGACGTGGCAAAATGGGAGGCGGGGCCATGGTTGACGTTGGAAGGGGAGCAAAAACATATGTATGTATATATATATATATGTATAAATTAATGTTAGCAGTTCAGTGGTCAACCACTAAACCACAATAAGCAGACATGTAAGATGTTTCCCAACAACAACCATGCTATGGCAATGGCTTCCCGTTTCCCTTGAACCAAGCAAAAGGAGGGCAGGTTGTAGAGAAACACTCATAGGGACACCCATGCATTTTGGAGAACCACTTTGGTTGCGTTGGGTTCAAAGCCCGTGGCAAAATGGGCGGGCTCTGGCCGTGTTGGGCTCCGAGCTGGCCGTGTGCTAAGCTTTAAAGCCCCTGAGCCGAGCAGAAATAGCCGTCTCCGCAGTGAACCCTCATAGTATATGCTGTTGTTGTTTTATACATATATATATATATATATGTATATGCATATGCATGTGTATATATATATATATGTTTGCATATGCTCAAACTAATCACATGCCATGATTTGCATTTTGTGTGAAAGAGGGGTAGTGAACATATCTCGCGGTTTGTTTGTCCTGTGCAGGCTTCAGCACATCGAGCTTCAACAACGTAGGCAGCAACACACACACAACCATATATATATATGTATATATATTGTTTTTCTTGTTTATAGCTCAAAGCGTGGCAAGGTCATTTGACAAATGTTCAGCAGAGTCGCGTTAGCAAAAATGCGTTCAATCACTGGTATTTACAGTACTTGTATTGGGTCCATGCGCACCAAACATATGAATGGCAGCAGCAGAAGCACCGGTAAAAGGCAAGCTCTAAAAGGTGACCATTAACATATACAGTATTGTGGTCTGCTCAGTTGACAGAGTCGCCGTTGGCTCTTTCCCCTCGCAACACAAAGGCCACAGGGCCCAACTCGGTCGGTGAAACCGACCTCTTCCCCTCCTGAACGATGAGCTCTGCCGCCGGCAGAACCAGGCTGAAGCCCATCTTAGGCCTAAGGACTTGACATGACTTGACCAGTCTGGGCCAAATCTTTTTGTTGTCTTGTTTTTGTTTTCTGCTCAGTTATGTTTGTTGTGTTTTTTGTTGGGGGGGAAAATGACAGTTGGATGCATGTATAGTTGTATGCATGTATGCAGGTATGTACGTAGGTATGTATGTATGTATGTATGTATGAATGTATGTATTTGTATGTATGTATGTATGTATGTATGAACACATGAATGAATGAATGAATGAATGAACACATGAATGAATGAATGAATGAATGAATGAATGAATGAATGAATGAATGAATGAATGAATGAATGAATGAATGAATGAATGAATGAATGAATGAATGAATGAATGAATGAATGAATGAATGAATGAATGAATGAATGAATGAATGAATGAATGAATGAATGAATGAATGAATGAATGAATGAATGAATGAATGAAATAATGAACTGATTAATCAATGACCGAGTGAATTAACCCATGAATCAATCAGATCCATCGATCGATCGATCAATCAATTGTTTGATTACTTGATTGATTAATTAACGGACTAATTGACAAGCTTCAATTGACTAACTAGTTGATGTCATGAATAAGTCAAATACTGAATGCATGCGTGCTTGCATGTGTGCTTTCATGCGTGCGTGCGTGCGTGCGTGCGTGCATGCATGCATGCATGCATGAATGTATGCACGATAGGGTATGTTACTGTGTGCATGATAAAACCTGTTGATGTATGTGCGGGTATGGTAATATATGGTAATGTATGGTGATGTATGGCAATGTATGGTAATGTATGGTAATGTATGGTAGTGTATGGTAATGTATGGTGATGTATGGTAATGGATGGTAATGTGTGGTACTGCATGGCAATGTATGAGAAGGTGTGGTTGTGTACTGTATAGTAACGCAGGCTAATGCATGTCAATGTATGGCAATGTGACGTAACGTAGCGTGATGCAATTAAAGCAATGCAATGCATGTATGAATGTATGCATGTATGCATGTGAGCTACCGTCAAAATCACTTGTCTTGGTCAAGGAGGTTTTTTCTATGTAGTCATCGTTTGTGGTGGGGGCCCTATCATTTTGCGAGGCGTTCTGCGAATGTATGCTGGCAACCCGCTTTACTAAAGTGATCTATGCATATATTGACTGTGACTGATGTAAGTATGTTGTGCTATGCTACGGTATCCTATGTCATGTTGTCTCATATTATGTTATGTTATGGTATACTATGGTATGTTGTGTGCTCTATGTGAACATGTCATGTATACATACTATGTGTTTATATAACAAACAAACAGTATCAATGCTAAACTTCTGTATTAACTTGTTTGTTTTTTGCGGCTGAACTACGTGCGAGCCAAATACAGTATAAGAGAGTGTACAACATTTCTCAGGTGCTTGAACTAGACTGCATGGGCTTTAGAATGTTGGTTTGTCATCTTCGGAACATTTGGCTGAATAAATTCGGACTGCTTTGGGAATTGTGTCTGATTGTGGCTTGCTTTTGATTGATGGATCGCCTTGCACAAAGCCAACACCTTATTGACACCTCGTCATTGCCTATGTGAGCCCAACAGAATCAGAAGCCTAACGTCCACCACGTGGCGTCGAAGATGCTCCCGGCTATGCCTCCAAGGCTCAGACATTCTAAGACCCAAGTCCCATGGATGGCCACGTCTCCTTCCCTCTCAAGGGAAAGACCCTACGTGGCAACTGGCTTCCTTCCCAACTTGACATCTTTGTGGCTCTCCTGCGGAGCAACCTCGACCATTCCCTCACCTTGTGACGCCGCACACTCCGTATAAGTATATCCCTGGAGTACCAGGGCACGATGTCGGATGATGTTTCAAGGGCCGCTGTCCTCACAGTGAAAACTGGGCAGTTGAAAAGGCATGAGCTAAAACCAGGTTTATGCTCCTTCCAACAATGGGGAGTGGCCCGTGCCCCACAAGCCTGACTTAGACCTACAGGGAGCCCATAGAGCTCGTTCACGTTTAGAACGAATCCACTGGACCACTGGGATGTTTGCTAAACGTAAACCGCTAGAAGGCAACCATCTCTTAGGGGTTGACCCGAGGTGTCATACTTGAGTGGATTGGCCCAAAGAAAGTTCACTAAAATGACCCAACCCCAAAAGTAGGAAGTCCAGGACCTTGTTTGGCAACCATGTCTTAGGGGTTCACCGGTTGACTAGGTGTTACTGTGGATTGGCCCAAAGAAAGTTCACAAAAATGGTCCAACCCCAAAAAGCAGCAAGTCCAGGACCTCCAGTGAGTGGTTCAAAGTGCGGCGGACTCTGAAGGCTTTAAGCCGCCGGCTGGTCCAAGAAGACATCGTTCCGGCTGCAAACCTGCCAGCCCTCCACCTCGCGAATCGGACATTTTTGGGTTCCGCGGAAGAGTTCCAGGCTTGATGTTGGGGATACCTGAGCTTATTGGGAGTGGAAGGAATTGCCCCGGTTTTGGGTTGTTGCCAGTTTCGCTTGCCCAAGTCAAGACACACCCTTTCTTGCGTGAGAATCTCAATTAGGCACCCCTTGGTGAACATCATGTTCAGATCTCAGCCACGAGCCACTACTTGATCGCTATCGACATGTACTGGGTTGTCCGGGACACAAGTTTCGCGTACCTCCAAGGGCAACACCTCTACATGTCCTGTGCCAATCAGTCAATCCAACAAAAAGCCCCAGGACCCAGGACACAAATTGGGGTCTCTCTAGCGGGGAAAAAAACAACAAATTGTAGATTCCCCTTGTTTTCGAACAAAACAAACCCCAAACATGTGTGCTCAAAGCAGTAGAGTCACCTTCCGGTAGTTGACTTAGAAACCTGCCCGGGCATGCCCCGAAGATCTATAAACACTTGGATGTGTTTAGCAATTTGTTAACCAAGGTCAGCCAACCCCTCCCCTGTTCCCCGCAGGCGAGATTCAACACAAAAAAAACATGGGGAAGCCTATACCCACCGTTTACCTCAGGAGAGTCATCTCATTCGGGTCGACCATCTTGCTGGTGCTCAGTAGGGAATGAGAAATGGAATGACCCCCATACACCAGTTCCTGTGGTTTCTTTTATTCGGGAAATCCCAAAACAGTTCATTCCGTTTCTCATTCCCTGCCAAACCAACCCCTATGGTTTCCTTTCCAGGTTCAGTCCCTCATTCTCTGCTGAGCACCAGCAAGCCATTGCTTTAGGGACCCTAGGGGTCGAACCTAAGGCGAGCCTCCCAGGGCCATCTCCCAAGGTGTGGAGCTCTTGCCACGGCGCTCTCGGGCCTCGCAGCAAAGTTTTGCACCCCAGAACGGTCGGTGATGAGGAGCCCCTTCTCAGGAGAATCCGGGTAAACCTGAAAACACGGGAACTGCTTCGTTTGCCGTTTGTTTAAGCCTTTGAGGGTAATTAGGTGCTTGCTGACTTTCTTTATAGATCTGTTTTGTTTGTGACCATATTTCAAGCAGTCTTCCTTGTCTCCCGTCAGATATGAATGTTGGAAGCTCCGAGCTCGGACGCTGAGCTGAGACAAATCGTGGACACTCACCACAGATCCGGAAGCACAACCGCTGCCCAGCCGCCCCCACGATGCTCTAGCAACATACATTTGTTGAAACTTGCGTGCCGCCAAATTCAAGTCGTCTTTCTCAGGCACCCCCAAGTGAAATGAAATGGTTGCCCAAAGGTCGGGATCTGGAGTACGGCTGAAGGGAGCTTCAGAGCAGCTGCTACTCTATCCAGGGCATCTTTAAAACCTCATTTCAAAAAAAACACAACAACACTAACCTGAGTGAAGCAGTGCCCAAAGGATCTTAATCCCCAGGCCAGCTCCACAGGTGTTTTTGCAACTTCATAGCAACCGATGTGTCTTCAGTGGCTTGCCTTTTGACCCCTTGGAGACAAGATTTCCAGGTGATCAATCCAGGGAAACAACAATGTGCCCCAACCATCTACCCTCTACAAAGTGGGTCACCAACATATGTATTGGTTGCATTCAGGGTAGTTGTATCAGGGTATGGATTTGGGGAAGCTGACATAAGTACCGCCCCTCTGGCATCAACTTTGAGCTAAACCGACACAAGCTCAAACTGTGACCAAGCCGCATAAGTGCACGTGTTTCTGGAGAACCAACGACTCTGCAGCCATGATAATCAGACTGCTGTATGTGCACTTGGTTGATTTAAGGAAGGTGCAATGTGCGGCAAAGACTCAAAATGCTATAGTATAGCCTTTGAAGTCTAACAGTATTTTCTTCATGGCCATCTCATCGCGTGTGAGCGACTGATTGATGGGCATGTACTTCTTTCGCTTGACGAGTACTTTGGGTGAAGTGTCCCACTCTGAAGCCGTATGCAGGTGGTCTTGTAATTTCAGGTGGTGTGGATAACGCAGTGGCGTTGTTTAAAGGGAAACCAGAGGGACACCACTCAATTTTGATGGGTTTTCCTTGGAGATAAACCCATACAGCCGATACAAACCGTATTTGTCTGCATTGCAAAGCTTGGAATACCGTTCTCTCAGTAAGCTGCCACCAGCTGTCCAGCCCCTCTGGGCAAAACGCCAATAAGGCGCCAAGCGCCGGAACTTGTCTGGAACTCAACACGGTGGCTCAAGAGCTTTAAAGAGCTGCCATACAGGTTCCTCAGCTGGTGTGCATTTTTTCGGGGACCCACCAAATGGTGGTTGTCCTTTTCCTTTCCCTTCAAAAACAATCAAATGGCGGGTAACCTCCAAAAAGACACACCCATATGGCTGTGGCTCAAAAAAGTGGTGCCAAAATGGCACCTTGGTAAATGGAACCAATGACTAAAACCCGCTCTTTCCCCAGCTCTTCAATTTTGAGCCATACCCATATATGCTTGAACACCTCAAATTGACAAGACCAACGTGCCGGTGCCCCAGGACTGGCAGTTGGCTGGCTGGGTGCCTTGCCTCTGGCACGGGATGGGTCCATTCAAGTGACGATGGGATGAAATCGCGGCGATCGGACGCCCACATTTCATGAGATTGGAGGATTTTACAACATTAAATCACTTCGATCAACACAGTGCCAGGGTGTATGGTAGGTTGAACAAAGTGGTACCCTCGCAGCTTGAGCTGGATTGGTCAGAAAGAGTCCAGACTCTTTGTTTGCTGCTAACATGATACTCCTGACTGAACATACTAACATGTAACATGACCTCCGACAGAGCTCCCCTTCAAACGGTGGCCACGAAATCACTGATGAGGCGGAGCATACAAAAAATGATGGCATAGCAAACCAACACAAAACAGAACACACACACGAACACACACACACACACACAACACACGGCACACAATATCACAGACACAAACATACACAGACACATAGACGCGCACGCACACAGTCACAAAGAAGCAAACTGCACTGACAAAAAGCACAATAGACTGAACAAAGTCAAACAGGCGTACACGAGCACCGCAAAAACATAATCGAAACGCAACAAACCACCTCCAAGAGGCCTGCGACCAGAAAACGTGTTGTGACAGTTATGGGTGTGATGACATAGCCAAACCTTCCAGCTAGTGATATAGCTCAGCGGACCAGAAACGAAGGGTAGACAATTGGACGCTAACGAAGGACACTGCAAACCCTTGACTTGAAATAATCACAGCAATCGCTTGTTGGCTTTCCTTTGGATAAATTTGAAAACAAATAGGCTATTTAGAATCCTACCCTCTCACCCACTTGCTTGAAACCCACCAGAAGGTGATGTGTTAGTGGAGGGTATCCGTCCTGTTTGTGCACTCGTTCCGGTTTGCCCAAAAACGCACTCTGGCTCACTTCGGAGTGGATTGACCAAAAAGCCAGGTGCAAACTGTTGGCTTCTGGCCACATTGGAAGCAAGGGGATGCATGGTAACAAATTCTGCGTGTGGGGTTTTCCTTTTGGTTTCGATTTAATCAGACCCCCAAAAGGGTACCCTCGAAAAAAACCACGAGAACAAAAGGGGTGTGTGTCAACATAGCGGAACGCCCATACTTGGTTTCAATTTAAACTGTTTCAAATTGTTCCTCAAACGGGTACCCTCAAAAAACACCCTCAAAAAACACCCTCAAAAAACACAACTGTTCCTCAACAAAAAGGGTACCCTCAAACAACACCCTCAAAAAAACACAAAGCAGGAATCGTTTTTATCAACTCGGGAAGTGAGCTGGTGATACCACCACAAACCTCTGGGCCGCCGGGCGCTTCTCCTGGTCGCGCCTCTTGGTGGGTGACGACCTCAGCGGGGCTTCGCGGGGGGAAGCTGGGGGAAGGGGCGGGGCCTGGGCAAAAAACATAGCCATGCCCCTAAAAACATGGGTTATTTAGCGCCCAGATTCAAACCAAACATCTAGTTGGAGCCCTGGTAGTTTGAAAAATGCAAAGTCGATTTCTCAGATTGATCCTGATTCGACCCTTGGTTCCTGAAGAAGTTGAGAACCTGGCTCAAAGTCCCTGCAGATTCTGTTTTTAGGACACAAAGCCGCGTGCCATTTGTGATACACGGGCGTGCTCTTTCATTGGGGACTGTTTGGCGAATATCATAATTCGGTGGGCATTCATGTCCAGAACTTTGGAGGTGGTTCCAGTACTCAAAAATCACAGTCACGTGGGTGTATCTATCATTTTTGAGGATTTTGTTGGATAGGCTTTAAAGGAAGCCAAAAGCACGCCAAATCTAATTTTTTGAGGGGGGGCTCCATGCGCCTATTATTTGTTTATGCCACAGCCGCATGGACATACGGGTGCGGCACTTGGAGGGCGCCGAGCCATGGATTTTGTTGAAGTTTGCTCGCGCAAAGGGCCAGGGTCCTTCAACACCACCTGGACCCTCAAACCACCCTTACCCAAAAAAAACATGAAACCAAACCAACCAGGAGCTTTGCAGTTTGCAGCATCCAATTGAGGTTCGGAGCGTGCTGGCAGGTGGGTTCTCCCAAAAGTTCAGGGCTGAATCCAAACGCGAAATGAATCTTGTGACGAGTCCATTTCACATCCGGGGCTCCCGCCCACATGGCTCCTTCCAGGGCATCCTGTTCGACTCGAGTCGGCGGGTCCCATCCGACGTTCGGCGACCATTTTCGTTTTGGGGCTGACCCTTACTCGGTTGCTTTTCGCTCCCCTGCTGAAAGTTGAACTTTTAAAACCCATTAATTGGCAAAAACTTAAAGTCCTAACATCCAAGCAAGATGCACCTCTGCTTAGGCGACAATTGAAAAAGGGACGCCTTTTGGGGCAAGGGGCAGAGACCTCTTAGTGGTCAACAACACAAACAGAAAGGGACTTGGAATGTGCCAACCAACCAACTGTTTTGAAGGAAAATCAAGCTCAAGGGGTCAAGTCGGAAGGGTGTTCCTGCATGAGCTTGGAATGTTGACTTGGGTGCCGGGATGAGGTTACAAGCAAAAGGACACCAAGCACCTGGTTGAGAAACATAACTTGAGAAAAGACAGGTTTTGGAGCGCTTCTCTGATGAAAAGGTGTAAAGTTCTCAACAATGACTTTCACAAAAACACAAAGTCCGGACACTGGGTCTAAGTGTTAAATCGCGTGATAGGTGCCCCTGACATGCACCGCACATGTGCTGCGCAAATACGGAACAGGTGTGCACAGGGTAAATATGAGGGATACCTGCTGGACAGGTACGTGATTGACAACGTCCATCAAAGTGACCTTCACATCATAACCCTCTAGAATGGGGAGGGGGGGTGGTTCAAGGGACCCCCCCAAAGAGAAAAACCTCTTGAAAGTAGTTTTACCTCATGCGGGGTTCCCATTGGTCCATTGGTCTCACCGGGCATAGCTCTCAATGGACCTGGTCGGTTCTCAGTAGGCAAAGTCTGTGACTTGGCAATATGTCGAGCGTGGCAGCATCCAAAGCCAACCGGCGTTTGGTTCTAGCAACACGGCTATCCAAGAAGGGCTTTTGGCACTGCATGCGCCCCGGGTGACTGATTATAGGATTCGACTCACAGAATACAGAAATCATTGGATGTTCCCTTAAGCTGTCCATTTGCTTCTAGGGGTTCCAATGAAATTGCCACTTGAGGTGCAACGGGAATTTGGATGACCGCTGCATGATCCTTCCCTGGCAAATTAATCAACATGCAAATCAAGCACATTCATCACGCATTCCCAACCAAGCCCATGAATTAGCATGGAACTCGTAAACATGTATCCAGTTTGCTTTGTAACCTTTTTGGGTGAACAGTCTAGGGAGGTAGGTAGGTAGGTAGGTAGGCAGGCAGGTAGGTAGGTGAACCGATTGTGGCGAGGGATTCATAAGGACAGCTCATAAAGACATGTGTATTCACTCTGTCATTATCTCCCTATCTTTGTCTCTTCAAGACTCGTCTATAGACAGTGTACATGAGATTGAGTCGCGAGGAGCGGAGGGACCAGACAAGCGAGCGGGAGAGGTTGAGATAAGAGATAGCTATTTCAGGTAGGTAGGTAGGTAGGTAGTTAGGTAGGTCTTTGGATTCATTCCATTCATTTGCGAGAGATTAAAACAATGTGTGGGTCCACTCCCTTTCAGTGCGATCCGAAAAGGCGCCTGGCAATACCAAACAAAGTTGCCGCTGGAGACACCTGTCCTGGCGGCTGAAAGCGGCCAAGGTGCTCGAAGTTCCACGAAATCTCGACCCCGAATTCATACACCTTTCCTGTGTTGCTGTGTTGCTCCCCAAAAGTCATGACCTCCCACTAATTACAAGGGGCCACCCCCTATTGAACCAGGGGTTTATTAATCTGCGGTTTTATAGGGCTGCTCTGGCAGGGAAAGATTGGCGCCTATTATTGCTGCATGTTGGTGGAACCAAAGTCCTGAGTACTGCAGAGCATAATATGCTGCTTTGTTGCTGTTGCTTCTGACGGAATGGGGGACACACGCGTACAAGGCGGAGCTCATGGTCACTTTGTGCGTAGGCGTGGCTGGTTACGATCATGGCTGCTCTCCGTGTTGCTTGAATCCCCTAGTTGTAGGTGTGTGTGTGTGTGCGGGCGGGTGTGTCTTAATGCTCCTAGCAAAACTTGGCCCCTTAACGGGCGATCGCGCAAACAGTTGTGTTGACACACAGGACAGGAATCACATGGGACAAATTGACACTAACCCCTTGATTGATCGTTCGATGCAAACATGCGTGCTTGCTAGGTGAGCATCATGTAAAAGAAAAGAACGACAACTGTACATCCATGGTTATGCGCAATCTGGCTGGTTTTCCCTATGTGCTTGGATTGAGCCATGGGGCTCATCCCAGGTCCAATGGTATTCGAGTGCCGAATACTTTGGTGCGCATTGGGGGATTCGGATTCGGAAACCATGGAGCCTTCTCCTTTAAGCAGCAGAAGGCAGATGTGACCAAGCCATTGCATGGCTTGTCCCGCTGCCTTCCAACACGCTCAGGGGTCCAATTATTTTTGTCGTCACACGTCCAATTAAATGAATTTTCTCCGCTGATCCACCCAGCAAATGAACCAAACATATACTTGACCAAGGCAAAGCTCGATACGTCGAGTGCAATAGCCAAATAAGCTCATGATCTTCGTCTCAGGCCAGGAAAGTTGAAGCTTTAGACTTCGCTTCAAGTTGCTCTCCCAAAACTCCTCAAATCAACAATCTTTGGAGGAGTCCTCCGAGAAAGTAGCTGGCACAACTCTCTTCAGGGGAGTAACAAAGAGCACATCTTGTTGGATCAATAGTACCCCCTATAGAAAAGTCTTTAATGAGTAGAAACAATAGTACATATAAAGAACATCATGAAGGTCAGGCACAAAGTACACCTAAACACTCACAACTACCTGCCAACCCATCTCCTGCCGTCAAGGACCCCATCAGTGGCACCCCCTTCCCAACATAAACTGACCGTGCCTCAGTTCAGGCATTAAATGTCTAAGGTCCCTATCCTCCCACCCATAGGGGCAACCATTGCACCGTGCCACGTATTCTGTTCGGAGCCGATCCCTGACAGGTGACAGGTGGCTCCAACTCGCTGTTGGATCCGCTTTCGACGGCCTCCAAAGCCCACCGACCTGCTCGAAGGCCCCTGGGAACCGGGCTGTCTATAGCAGGGCCGGCCGCTGTGGGCGCCCATGTACTCGTAGATGCCATTGATGGCCTCTCCGATCTTTCGCCGCGGCGGACCCCAAGTGCAACCACTTAGCCAGAAACAACTGGCTGTGAATCCGTAATGGGACCCGAAACAAATGGCGGGCAAAATTTGGTGGGGGTTCATGTCCACCAATCACTTTTGAGGTCCCCGATGTTTAAATCCATGGCCCTTCGGCCTTCGGCCCTTCGGACTTGCAAGGCTCTTGCCACCATCTTCCTGCATAACCAGAATCCTGCAAGCTCACGCACGGCGACGCCTTGGCGTGCGGGGATCGCACTCCGTGGCATCGTATCAGGGGTGGCACAGACATGGCGCAAAGGCATTGCCAAGTATGGGTGTTAAGTACGTTTGTTGCGTTTTGACCTTTGCCCGTTGCGCTTGATTATAATGTAAGTTTCCTGTCAAAGGCTATGTTGTCCTTTGGCTCGTGGCGTGGGTGGATCGATTTCCAACTGTCGAATTTGCCTCTGAAGGGCCTAAGAGCTCAGATCTTTTCTTGGCCTTTCAAACAGATTCCAAACAGTTTCAGGGCAGATCAAGATCCAACGAGTTGGACGACCGCACTTGGGACATTTCTTTTGCTGAGGTGCACCTCGAGGTTCTGCTTGATTGCGGTTGGCTTGGGTCGGTTGCTTGACCGGGCCGCCTGGGCACTTTCAAGCCGTCAAGCCTGCAGATGGATCTTTCCGGTCGCAAGCGGTGTCATAATCGAAACCCGGTATTAAAACTGTCTGCCCGGAGTCTCCATGACCCTTCGAAAATGGGGTCAGTACCCAAAATAATGGGGTCAGCCATTGTTAAAGGGTCATGGAGACTCCAGGTACCCAAACCCATGTAAAGCTGCAGTTCTTCATGGTTGGGATTGTACTGACCTTCATCTCCCCGGGTTTTGATTGTGGCTCAGCTCGCGGGAATTCCTGTGAACCCGCCATGGCCGGTTCGAAGGTTTTCCCATCAAAACAAGGGGCCGATCTCCAGCTTCTAAAGCTTCCGATCGAGACACGCCTTTTGTCTATTTCCCCGTCAACGAGTCTTTGTCTAGAACCAAGTCTTTGACCCCAATGATGATGGGAAAACGGTTTATGTCCAAAAGGCTTGGTCATGTCGAGAGACCCAGACCAAAGAGCAGACAAGGACCGGACCCCATTTCAGTAAGGCCCCCTTGATGGCGCAAATCCCTATAGGCGAGTAGAGCAGATGACTCCATGCGAACAGGAGATGCGTGCCTCAAATGCGGGAAACGTTCCGCAACCAGGTATGACTCTCCCAAACTGCTTTCCCCCTGGTAAGGCCCCTTCAACAGGGGGCATACCAATTCCGGAAAAACTCGTTGCAAAGACGAGCCGTCCGTTTGACGCTTGTTTTCTTACCTCCAAGCGCATCTGGAATAGCTGGAAGGTGGAGTATCGTCTCAAGCCAGTGACTAGCTCCTCCAGTAGAGAGGATAGAATAAGGGTATTTTTTTTTTCTCTGGTCTATTTTAGCAGGGGAACCCTCCCCCAAAAAAGGGCTTAAAAAGGGCACTACTGGGGGACCTAGGTGAAGGATGCAAGGTGAACTTGCCCAGCTTGGCATGAAGGCGGACTTGCGTTCGAGGCATGCACTTGGTGCATTCCCAGTTTCACGACAGGTTGCTCCAAACTGTTTGGGCGAATGGAAAGAGACTCTTCAACTTGTGAGGCATACTAACGGCGCAACTTTGCTTTGGTGGCGGGGTTGGTGTCCGTCAATCGTTCGGATTGAATTATGATGTTTCGCCAACCTGACATGAGAAATGGACTCCCCTAAGAAAGGAACCATCGTCATAGAGTCATAGGTGAGGTCACAAACCACAAAATGTGTTTTGCTTTGCCCAGGCACTCTGGCCTCTTCAAGGGGGAGTCCTCAAGTGGCAACCTAGAACCCGATGTTTCGAAACCTGTGCACAGACCCTGCAAATTCAAAGATGCTGACTTTTCATGTACACCGCGGCGCCAAGCACGCGGTCGAACGTCTATGTAGAGACGCTGCCTTCTTGTGGCAAAAGTGGTCTGGCCTCTTGGAAAGGTTTGTACAGTTCCCAAGATTGCAAGTCTGAGTCTTAGTCTTGCTTCCCTTTCAGGATAGATATCCTAATTGGTGGCTTGGGAATAACCCCTAATGGTGGTGCTTCTGGATTTTTTTTGGGGACCACCCCTATGCTCCAAACCAAACCAAACCAACCCACCATGTGAGAGTCCTCCCGCCAACTAGCATGAAGGTGCCACTTGACCCTTTCCCAAAGGGGGGTCCTTTTCCAAGAGCGGCCTGTGCACCAAATTATGCTTGAGTCACTGAGTCACTATCAACTCCTGGTACCAAAGTGGTCAACCCAAAGTCATGTCAATCAAAAGAGCGGCCACACCTAAGGGTTTCGTGAGGCCCAAGCGCCCGCCCGCTTGAGCGCGCAGCTTTTCTCGCCAGAGGTCGCGCAAAGTTTGACGCAACACGCGCTTTGGGTAGCGGTGATACCGGTAAGCCTACCACAAACTGTGGGGCAATTGCAGCTTGTCTTGATTCTTATTTGTGGCTGTGCAGGACATGAGGATTCCTTGCTCGTTGCGACTGATGACTGGCTTTCCAACCACAAGTACAACAGTTTATTATCTTTCGGCGCCAGCAATGGAATACCTTCGTCACATGGCCAGCTCCCCTCAAATCCGCGCACCTCCTGTGCTTTCGCTGAGGTCCTCTGGTGCTCCTGGCGTTGACAATTCTAAGGCGCAGCCGGGGGATCCCCAAGTCCATTTGTCTCTTCCAGCCACCACAAGACAAATTGGAGCATCCTCCCGTACCTGGTGTTGAATAGAGGGTCTGGAAAATCTATCATACCCACTCCTCTTGACATTCTTTCAGGAACAAGCGATTTCAGGTACAGCACAAGCGGCAACGCCTACAACAATGGAAACGGCGGCAACAAAATGCACCCAATGAACCCATCAGAAACCACCAACTATCCTACGAAAGACCCTACCCAACGATTGCTCCGCCCTCTGCTGTCTTATTCAGCCCTGAGAAACCAAGTTGGGCTCCCGACGTCCCGTGGTCTTTGGGTCCTGGGTGTTTGCAGCCTGCATCATAGCTAGAAATCCCCAAGTGTGCCAATCAACAGCACACTTCTTGACGCTAAGACGCCCGCTCGCAGGCAAGGCATGTGCTCCATACCGTGGAAACAACCAGCCATGTGGGTATGGGTCAAAATTTAACCACCAGGGGACCGCAGGTTTAGTCCTTGGTTCCATTTACCAGGGTTCCATTTTGGGTACTCATTTTTGACCACCAGCCATGTTACATGGCGCACACGCACTTGCTGGCTTGGCAGCCTGAGGCAACACGCGCCGAGAGGCCAAGGCTTATCTCCCGTCGGCCCCATAAAACCAGCGGCGCCATGGTCGCGGCGGCTGCAGCGAGAATAACGTGGGGTTTTATGTCTTCATTTGTTAAATATAATATGTATATATATATATATAGAAAGGGTCTCCTAAAACCATATCACCTACTTGTTCAGGTTCGCTTATTTAAAGCAGGGGTGCCCTCCCATTGCAACAGAGCACGCGCGCCTAGGACCCGGCCGGGCGTTGAGGGCCAGAACCTGAGCCGAAAGATCGAGAAAACCATCGGGTGGCCAAAACAAAAAGCGCAGGGAAGCCAAGGATTTGGGATATCCCCGGTATCCCCTAGCCTGTACATGGAACCAACCAAATTCCCTACAAATGTCAGTATCCTTGCTCCCACCAGAAGGGAAAAATGGCGGGTTTTGGAAGTTGCCCCCAGATGGACCATCTCGAAGTTTTGACCAAACCTCACTTGGTTTTGACCCAGACCGGGGCCCAAAGACTCCCAAGGGGAACTTGCTTTTAAAGGGAGTCCCCTCGCAAGAAAAGCTGCAAAAACCGATTTGCGACTGGGGAAATGGTCCCAAAATGTCCCCAACTTTCGAGAGACACCCACATGGGTTCATGGTGGGAGATGCAAATACGGGATTCCCATCCCCATTACTGCTTTATTACTTTCAGGCCTGTTCCTTGGTAATTATCAAAGAAAATGGCCCCGAAACTAGTTTCCACAACCATGCTTGGGCTTTAAACTCACTTCCTGGGTAGATTGGCAAAACACAAGTCCAAACTGTTTGCGACTCAAATGGTCTTCCCGAAAAGCTTGAGCTTCCGCGATTGTTGGACAAGGAGTACCAGTACCTAATTCGGAGACAAAGCTAAGCCTCGGCAAGTCTCACGAAGACTCAAGGCCTTTTTACCAGGCACCAGGTCAACTGAAGCCCTGGTTCTTGTAGATGGCAAAGAGGAAACCACCCCTTAATCTTCAAGCAGCCAATCCAATCACCAATTCGCGGGAAGCTGAAGTAGGGCGTGTACGCTGCCAAGACACTGTATGGGTTTGAATGGCACCTCCTCTCCGTCTAAGCTGAAGCGGCCCTCTCCCCCCGACGGCGCCACACGGAAGGCTTGGCATTCCTCGGAAACGGGAGGAGTGCCATTCACGGTGATTCGACAGGGTCCCGAAACCGCAAAAGCCTGCTAGAATGTCTTGACCTGGCGTTTTGCGTTTTCCTGGACCATTTGGCGGACTCCCCTCAGACTGCCAGAGGGGTAGGCGGGTCAAAACAACAAATCGGCCCCATGAACGCCAGGTGTCCAGCAGCTCAACCCCCTCCTGGGCCACATGCTTGCCGCTCTCCTCGGCGAGTGGAGCGCCAGGCGCGCGAGCGGCGCGCGCGCAGGCGCGCGTGTTTGTGTGCGCACACACACACAAATGTGTGTGCGTGTGCCCAAGAGAACAAGGGCTCAAGCAAGGAAGAAAGGAAAACCACCTAATTACCAAACTGGCCAATGGCACGCCTGTTCTTTTTGGGCACTACTCCCCTGGGATAGCAACGGCCACCAAAACCCAAGCCTAAATAAACCCGAAACCCACCCTAAACCAACCTAAATAAACCCACCCCAAATAAACCACCCTAAATAAACCACAAACCGCCCTAAATAAACCCTACCCACCCTAAATCAACCCACCCGAAACCGACCCCTTGCGCTCCGAGTCGCCATGGCCAAAAGGCACTTGGTGAGTCTCAGCCGCGAGAAGTCCCGGCAGAGGCAGATGCGCCAGCCGCTGCCGCCCAGCGCCAGGCCCGGCGCCAGGTGGACGTCGTAGCACGCCCACGCCGTGTTCCTCGAAGCTTGGCTCGGCCGGAGAAAACAGCAAAAAGTTGCGCCAGGCTCTGGATTAAGAGCCCCCCCTTTGGTCGGCATTAAACCAACAGGAAGCCAGGACTTTATTAGACCCCCATTTTGGGAAGCACGGAGATGAGTCTGGTTGGGACTCTGTATCGGGCATTGGCTTCAACTAGACGTGGCCCCCAATAAAATCCGGAACCGAAAGGAGGTTGTTCAAAGAATCGAGGTGGGCAGAGACGCTGGCAGAGCGGACAAAGCTTTCCACTCCCAAACCACTACCCCAGCTTTAATGGCAAACACGACCACAAGACAGATTTGTTTGCCCCGCTTTCCCCTGAAAAGCAACCACAAGAGGTCCAATCAAAAATTGCTGTAAGATTTGACGTACGGTCCCGATCGATTGCGATGGACTTTGCCATCTTTGGGCACCTTGCCAAGTAGGTGTCATGGGTTTTGACTGGAGCTCAAGTAAACCAAAAGCTGTCTGAGTTTTGGTCACTTGATGTCCGAAACGCCCGCATGGGCTCAACGGTTTGTATTTTGCATTGTTATGTGCTTTAATCGTGCAGGTGCGTGGTCAACTTATTGTTCATTGGACATCTAACACGCATTAGAATGAGCTTGCAAAGAAGCATCAAACACAACTTTGCCTTGCAATATTGAGCTGTGGAAATTTGTAGTGACATTACTGACCAAAGTTATTTGGAGTTTGGGAAGGGCACTCGGGGCTGAAACACGCTCCCCCGAAAAAGGCCAAGATCCACGGGCCCAAGGACCAGATTTCCCAGAAATGGGAGAAAATACTGGTTGATTCTGTTTGGTTGCTTTCAGACTGTCTAGTGTGTCCTCCGTGACGTTTGAACTGATTCAAGCTGCTGAAGATGTTGCTCTACGGATTCCCCGGCGAGCTTTGATCATCTCTCGAGGCCAGAGAGTTTGTGTAGTTGCCCACATATACTGGTACGAGTATTGTCCACCCAGAGGTTAACGTCGAACCCAATCAGGGGGGCCCCCATTCTGGGAGGTTCCATGAAGGATGTTTGGCTGGGTTCTACGTTGATCTGCCGAGTAAACCATGCAAGACAGGCTCTCGTTGAAACAGCAAAACAAATGCAGAAGCAGCGATCGACATGCACATGTTACGGCAAAGAAAATAACCGGGGGCAACCAAAAAGGGGCCACACCTTGCGCCTCTGGACCACCCCAAACCAAAATAGACAAAAGGGCGGCTGCATCCAATTATGGTCCTGCTAAACTTCAATCAAACTCATCGGTTTCTTTTTAAACACGAACAAGCAACAGGCCCACGATGTTTGTGCAATGCTCGGACACTTAAAGAACCTAAGGAGTAGCAAACTACATATCATATAATACATGTATATACATATATGTGTTAATAACATATATACCTGGACCAACCAAGGGCTCTTTTTTTGCGACTCTCTGCAAAAATCCGTGCATTTCCTTGAAATCCATACATTTGAGCAAAAACTGTACTTTTCTTGCAGGCTCAACATAAGACACAGGAGCATTTAACTACCTTTTTTTCTACAAGAATCTCACTTTCAGCTCCGGCCATGGCACTGGAGATTGTCATGCTCATACCATTTGAAGGTGTGCAATTCACCAAGGACAAAAGGTGCGCATTTCCTCAAGAATATGTTCCGCTGATTTCCATGCATTTTCCGCAGATTTCCGTACTTTTCCCGCCGATTTCCGCGCATTTCCCGCCGATTTCCGTGCATTTGCGGTTTCTGCATTTTGGCTGAAAACTGCAAACTCGCAAAAGCGGCAAGGAAGCTGTCACACATTGCCCCACAGCAATTGGAGACGAAAGACCTGAAACGGAATTAAGTATGACGGGCCGTGTAAATTGCAAACTGTGTTCATGTGCATCCAAGTGCACCACAAACGCTCACAGCCTGCTAAAAGCGATTTCCGTCAAATTTTCTGGAAAGTGCACATTGACACTTTTTTTCTGCATGTACGGAAATTTCAGTACTTTTGGAGGGTTCAGGTATATATATAATATGTATACATATACATATATGGTGGTTGTTCTAAATTCCTTTGTCTCGAAACGGCCATTCTTCGCGAATAAAAAAGTTACTTTCGCGAATCTTTCGCGGATTCATCGCCGTGCCCTTTTCCTTGCTCAAGTCAGAAAATCGCTGATTTTAAGTGCCAGCGTAGTGCGCGAAATTCGATTCCCCAACTCCCGCTGTAAAGTCGCAACTTTCATCACAGGGGTAGTACATGACATGCACGGGCTGGAAAGACGCAGCTTTTCGTAAGCCGTGCAGCTCCAGCTTAAAGTCGCAACTTTCCAGTACCAAGCTGGTATACTGACAAGCGCCGTGTGACAAGCGCGGCGCTCAGAAAGTACCTCCCCCTTACAATCGAAGCCGCTTTCGCGGGGGCTTTCGCGGATCTTTCACGGAACTTTCGCGAAAAACCACCCACGTTTCAGAGCGGAAAGGCGCCGAGTAAACACCCACAGGCACACATACACAGGCTTGGGGCACTAACCAGCCAAGCAGGGTATCAAACTGTAGCCTCACCAGGCTTTTTCGGCGCAACATCAACAAAGTGTTGTAATCAGCGCAGAAGGAAGGCTCAGCAGCAAAGATGAATGGTTTCACACATCATTGATTTACAAGACACAGTTACGCAAAACTTTCGCGAGAAAAAAAGTTACTTTCGCAACTCCATCGCGAATCTTTCGCGGAGCTACCTCAACCAACACCGATGGTCACCGAATACTAAACTCCTTGCAAGGACCTTTAGAACGACTCCCATATATATATATATATATACACATATTTGTCGTGTATACACATTGTCACATTATACGCACAACCGCGTGTCTTCTCCTTATTTGCCTCCCTCCCCCAATTTTTCCGGACCCGATATCCGAGGCGCGTGGCAAAAAACAGTGAGAAGCTCCCGGAGATTTTCTCCCAGGGCGCTGTGAGCTCATCTTCCAACTGCGGGGCCTCGGGCGCCAGAAGTCAGAAGCGCCCCGCGCTTAGCTTCCGGGAAAAGACAAACGGTTTTGGCTCATATGCTGCAATTCGCCTTTGGCTACTTGATCAAATCAGGAGAAAACAAAACGTAAGATTGGCTTCCTTGTGGAACCATGAGACAATGGGCTATTTAGCATCCGAATTGAAGCTGACTCTGCAACACATCAACAGGGTCCCTTAGGGTAAGCTTAGGCATGTGGTCCCCGGTTTTCAGGGGATCGGCACACCCAACCAGGTTCTACCCTTGGGATGTTTTAGCTCACTTCCTGAGTGGTCACGAAAAAAACCATCCACTTCTGCCACCCAAACATTTTTTTCCCAGTGGCGAAAGCTCCACAAAGCCCAGGAGCGAGTCAGTCCGACTGACTGGGCCCAAAACCAGCTGGGTATGGGTCAAAATATGTCAAAATGAAACCACCAGGAATTGGACCACAGGTGTTAGTGGTTCCATTTAGGGCTCCATTTTGGGTTACAGTACCCGATTTTTGACCACCGCCGCCAGGATTTCTTCCCCCTCTCCGGTCGAATTTCCGTCCGCGCCTGCGCCGGCAGCGGGGCGCCGGGGGGGAGGTACCAAAGATCCGCCAAGAGCGCCCTGGGCCGCGCCAGGCAGAGGGCCGTCCAGACCTGGCGATCAGTTTCCGACCGCGGCAGCAACCGCGACAGGGAGGGCCCTGTAGGGCCATGTCTCTGGTTTTCGGCAGGGAAAAATGAGGACAACCACTGATCGAGATCTGCGAAAAAGGGTATATTTGCCCCATGTCCGCTTGGGGGCAATGTTTGGGGGGAGTGGTTTCTTGGAACCCTGTCTGGGCACATTTCTGGGTTCCAGGTTAAAACTGACTGGTGCATTAGCCAAGATGAGTTTAAACGTGTGGTTTGCCAACCAAATGGTCTTCCCAAAAAGTGACTCAAGTGCAGGAACTCGGGATGTGAGACCTTCCTTTCTTGTTTGCAAGCCACTTGGATTGTTGTGCGTGGGGGAGGGTGGGTGGGCTAGGGGTTTGCCCTAGCCCTAGAAGGCAAAGGACCTGTCTTGAAATTGGAGGGACCCCTTGGTGGGAAGAAACCTGATCATATTTGATACGTTGCAGATCTGGTATCTGTTTCGTGCCATAGCACCAAACATCTGGTGACTGGAAACTATGTGTATGGTATTTGGTGGTAATATGGATTGGATGTCTTGTCTGTGTGTAAAGACTGTGGCACAGAGAATTGCAATCAAACCATTGACCAAATGTTCACCGTGGTTGTAATGCCCCGAAGGCCCTGCAGGAAAGGCAGGGGCCCCCAACAACTTCCAGCTTCTGCCGTGAGGGGTTCTGCCACCATCAGCGGTCCAAAAATATCGAATGTTCTTAAAAGCAAACACATTTTGTCCGGACGTTGTTTTGACATCCACTAAATATGGCTGTGGGTCAAAAATATGTACCCATAATGGAATCCTGGAAAATGGAAACATATACAAAACCTGCAGGGCCCTGGTGGTTTAATTTTGACCCATACCCACATCTTCCCTTAAAGTTGTTCAAGTCTAACTTGGGACGTGAGTACTCAAAGGGGAACCATACAGGTACCATAGACTCCTGAAGTCCGTTTTGCTGACTCAAACCCCCAAGAAACCGGGAAGCCAAAGGCTGCATAGACCCCAAGTGTCCAGGGGATCTGGGGCAATTTGAAAATTACTTAGCCGCGGCCTGGGCGTTCACTGGGTGTTGAACCATGTTCATATTCATGAGAGCTTTATAACTTCAGTTCTGTGAGCAATGTATTTGACAGCCAAGTGGGTCATTTACTCGCCTAGCTTCAAATGCCCACCAAAAACCTTGAAACTTCCAGCTTCCTTGGAATCAACTGGTGCAATCTACCCCCTGGCTTCATAACCTCCCTGGCTTAGACCATTCCTTACAAGGTAGACTCCTGATGAATCCCAGGTTGAAAGGGGACAGGCAATTACCCTGAAACCTCCAGTGGCTGCGCAAAGGAAAGGGCACCCAGTTGTTGTAGATGTTGAAAGAAACAATTCCTGCGAACCAGAACTTTGGGCTATGGATAGCTTTCCGGACAAAAAGGGAAGCAAAGTCCACCTGAAGTACCTCGCTCAATTGAAGGGAAAAACCCAGCACTGGGCGGGGGGGGGGGTGGTCAGGTCCTAACTCCACCCCTCACCCGACCCCCCGACCCCCCGACCCCCCGACCCCCGACCCGACGAGAAAAATCGCCTCGTTGGTCGAATCGAAGGCGCTCGAAGGCTTCGCGCCTGGAAGCGGCAGCCCCCCAGGCAGCGCAGGGCTTCGGAGCCCAGGTCGATGTCCGCCACGATGGCGCCCGAGAAGTTCAGGAAGGAGCTCCGCGGGCCCACGCCTGGTTTATTCTCCCAGGCCGTGTCTCCTTGTGACGCACCAAAAGGAGTGATCACCCCATAGGGTCCAATTGAGACGCCAGAGCATTTGAAAACCAAACTAATTACCAGGAAAACCGCAGATTTTAGTCCTTCTTTCCATTTACCAGCGGCATTTTTTTGGGGGTCACCCGATTTTTGACAACCACGCCCATTTGACCTTGGTGCTTTGAGGCCCTCTCAGCCCATCCAAGCGCTGCGCCTGCCATGGCCTCCGCTTGCACCCGCATCAGGTCCTACGCGTCCGGCCGGGTGTGGCTGTTCTAAGGCTGGACCCCCCCCCAAAAGGTGGGGTTCCTTTTGGGTTCCCGTTCAAACCACGTCACTCGGAAATGGGTTCATTAAAAGACAAACCCGCTGAAGTGATTTGCGGCTAAGATGGTGGCCAAAGAAGTGACCTTTAGTCCAGGAACTCAGGGAATGAGAGTGAGTCAAGAAGGGCCAGCTCTAATCTTGAACAGAAACGGAACAAGACACAATTGGGTGGCTGCAACCAAAATGTCTAAGCCTTGTAAGGAGCAGATCCTGTCCGCTTGGACGCTCAATCTATCTCAACAAGTAGACTGCAATCAAACAACCCCTGTTCTCCCTATGAACCTGATGACTGATAATAAGCTGCAGGGGTGGGTTGAACAAGAAAAAACACTGATACTACCAACCTGACGGATTCAATATGCAGGTTTGTGTAGGGAACTGGAAACACATGGACACCCAACTTGTGGCTTTTCCTTGGAAGAGTCCCCCAATTTTGACGCCCAATGTAAGTGAATCCTTCAGTTTTTTTCCGAGGCTTGGCTCTGCCATCCGCCCGACCCGCCCGACCGGTCCAGCGCTTGCGTGCGGCCCTTGGCGATCAAGAAGGCGGCGTCCAGCACGCCGTAGGCCTCGCCCGCGCCCTCGAGGATGCCTCGGGGAGAGGGATCAGGTGCGCCTGCTCCCTGGCCTCTTCCCCTGCCAAACATGGGACGGTCTACCCAAATACCCAGCATGACTCGATGTTTAGAGGCTGCGAAGGAGACTCCAGGTAAAGAAACAGGAAAGATGAAACTCAAGGAGGGTTAAAACTCCGTGGTTGATCCTAAATAAGTCAAATGTGGTTGTGGGATAGTTGAAACTCAAATTAAGCCATGATCGAAGTCAACAGTTGTATCTGTTGGCCCAAGTTGGTGACTGTGGCTGGCATCTGGAAACTTGCAATTCCGTAGAAAATAGGCTCGTCTCGCGGCTGAACTAATGGCCGTCCGCTCCCTGCCCATTTGCCTGCAAGGGCTTAAGCAATAACAGGGGGTGTGCAGCACAAAACCAAATTGCATCATGACCATAGAATAATCATGTGTGTAGTAAATCTTTATCTGTAACTTTTAAAACATTTCTCGCCCCAAATACGCAGACATGGGGTTGTGGCGGTTTTGGCCAGGGGGTCATTGGTCGACATATGGCTATGGGTCAAAACTCGGGCAACCCCAAAATGGAACCCTAAATGGAAATTTGATCTTGACCCACCCACACCTTTCCCTTGGCACCCTTTGATGGCCTGGGCATGGGTTCCTTGGGGGCTCGACATATGTCGACCGCGGCTGGGCTTGGACCGTGGGGCTCTTGGCCAAGGCGTTGCCGCTGCCCGCGGGGATGTGCCCCACGGCGATCTGCGCCAGGGCCGCTGAGGCGTCCAAGCGCTGGCAGAGGCCGTTGAAGACCTCGTGCCTCGCGAGGTCGCGGCGGGGAGCAGCGGGGGAGTGGGGAAGCCGGTTCTTCCTGCTTTTGTTCGTCGGGTTAGTTATTGCTTTTAATTTGGGAGGAGTTGGTGGTTGTGGATATGGACATTGTTTGTTGCAGTGAGGGGAATTGCTGGTTGGTTTGTCTGTTGTTCTTCCCCACATTCCAGCTTGGGGCTGGGATGCATTAGGACAAATGGACTCAAGACAGACCAGCGCAGCCCGAAGTGGCCGATTCTGAGATCCGCCCAAAAGCCTTGCCAAGAGGTGAGGGTTGGAAAATTCAATTCCTACCCCAAGGGCCCCCGGTACTAGTCTTATACCAAGGTTCCCAATTCAGGGCGATTTTGGACCTCCGACCCTGAGGGGCTATTTAATTCCTACACCAAAACCTCGCATATGTTTGGAGGAGACCTTCACTAGAAATCAAGAGAAGTCGAGGCAAGTCGAGTCTCGGTTGATGAAACCGGCGACTGCGCGCTCTTCGCTCGCGTTTGGTTTGCACGAGGCACACCATGCCGTCCCCGCTGACCACGATGATCCCGTCACAGGACTGAAGCTCCAAACGAGCCGCCCGCTCCTCCGCGTCCCCGGCCCACTGCGTAAAGACCTCAAGCGAGAAGGCAGCTTTCAGGTTCAAACAAAACGGGGAATCACAAAAGCGTCGCTCAGGGAAGATGGACGTAACTCCCAGAAAAGAAGAGGTTTGGGGGAAGCCAGCCAAGTAGCGGTCTTCAAAAGGAGAAACGTAGCGAGTGTGGCAAGTCAAAAACCATAAACAACAACCTGCTGTTGGATTGTCGAAAAGTAGCAGACCAAGACTAGCGGTTCTGGGACCTGCGCCTGCCTACAAAAGCTGAGTTGCCCCTATTCGCATGTGCTAAAAGGGTCACACTCAAAATTGCGCCCCTGCAATTTCCGTGAACATGGAAATCTAAGAGCCCGATCTGACGCTTAGCCATGGCGAAACCCCTCCCGCTCAGCAACGTGAGTTCCTGGGTCAAGGAGCTCCCTTGCGAATCGGATCATGCGCCTCTTTTGGCACAAGTAGGAAATTCCTGGATGCCCCTTACACCAGTGGCTTCCTGGTTGCTCGTTTAACACCTGGGCCGCAATCAGCATCTTAGCATCTTGGTCAACATTCAACCCTACACCTAGGATGCAGTCCTTTCGTTGGTTCATCACTTTAGTTAAGAGCAAATATTGTTCACATGGTCCCAAGCGTTGATCCAAGACACAATTAGTGACTGGGGCGTTAGTGACCAATAGAAAGACGCCCTGGTGCTTGTTTTGGATGGCACTGATACCCTCCCTCAAACATGGGCCACTGTAAATGAAACCATGTCTTCCAAAGTTCTGGGAGCTTCCACGTTAACCTGGCACTGAAATGAACTGCCTCCCTTGGAAAGGGATTCTACACCAGGGGGCTGCTTATTCATCCCACAGTGGAAAAGTCAAATATTGGTACCCTCCAGGCTAACATGGAAGGTTGTAGAGCTTTGGAAGACCTGGTTCCATTTACAGTGGTCTTCTCTGATAGCTTCCATGTCTGAGGCAGGGTATCAGTACCGGCATCCAAAAAAGACACCAGGGCGTCTTCCTAACCTCCGACCTCCCTCCGCAGCCCCCGGCCCCATGGCCTCCTGGCACTCCAGGTAGGGCAGCGCGGCCAGGAGGCTCTTGGCCTTGCGCCAGATGCCCGCCGCATGCCCCGCCCCGCTGGCGGGGTTCACGAAGACCTGCGGATTTTGCGCCGCGAGTCGCGAGCGAATCCGCGAGAAGCGGAGCTTGGAGCTGCGCCGGACAAAACGTGGAGGACGACAAGTGAGCTCAGTCAAACCATTGAGGAAAACTCGAGGAAGCTTCAAGGTTCCCATGAGGCTGTAGAGAAAAACACGTGTTTGGGGCAATATGACCCTCAAAAGTACCCTGAAAACATCAAGACATACCCGAGGAAACCTGAAGGATCCCATGTAGTTCATTCTGTTGATTGCTCGGTACCTTTCAAGGTAAGGGACAACAAAAGGGAAAAACAGGCACAGGTCCTCACGAGGACATGTGAAATTTAGGACGTGTCCTATTGTCTTTGCGGAAAATTTATTGATTCCTCCTCGATGTCCCTCCCAGATGAAGAGCAATTTTGACTGAGCCTCATACCAAGGATCCGGGACCCTCAAAAGTGACCTCACAAAATTGAAATCACCCCATCATGTTGAGCAACATCCAATTGCTCAGCAAAGTGTAAGGAAGCTACGTTAAGGCCCAAGGCAGCGATTCAATTTACTCAGAACCACGCCAATGACCCATCCTTGTTGTCGACTTTCTGAGGTGCGAACCAGCCCCCCCATATCCGAGACACCCGTTGCTTGTAGACCCTCCAATCAGGATGTATGTATGTCACATGTTCAAGGGGTGTATACGTGGCTTATACAGCTGTTTTTACACATAGATACAAAATGTATACACGTGCGTGTGCAAATCAAAATGGGTATCAGGGGTCGCTTGCCCGCCCTGGCCCTACACTTTCAGCTTTGGACACTTGGCCATCCAAGCGGGTGGCTTGGCAGCTGGATTTCTCCCAGGCCGGCTTCATGGAGAAACTCTGCGTCGAACTGGAAAGGGAAAGGATGGCAAGTGCGTGGAAAGCCGGCATTGACGAACCAAGAACCACTGGAGAATGAAAAGGGGGGGGTTCCCCTTTTCGTGGTGGTTCATTACTTTTGGATGAGCACCCCTATGGATAGGACGAGTTTCATCCGGGGCAACTGAAAGAGTCGCGCGCCAAAGGCCGTTTCACCGGACCAAAACCCCTGGGAACAGATGGCCGAAGACGCCCACGGCTTCCAAAGTGAGGGGCTTTCCGACTTTCCCTGTGCCTTCCCTGGAAAGCAACTCAACTAAATTTGTACCAACAAAACTATGCTGGTGGAAGATTTCAACTGGATTTTTTAGGGAACCCACCTAGGTTCGGTCCCAACCTTTTGGCTATGACTTGTTGGGGTTCCTTTATTGCTAAAGTAGCAAACTGGTTTACCGTTTGATCTGAGTCTGGCCAAGCTGCGGACATGGCTGGTGCTCAGGACAGAATTACTATGCTTGGGAGAACCAGAGTTTGACCAACTGACAACCGTAGTAAGTGCATGTTGACCGACCATAGCCCACTGAACTTTCAATGCTTAGTGGGACGGGCAGACTTTGATCAACTGATAACCATCGACATGTTTGGCCCACCAAAGATGGTGGAATCGATCCTCATTGTTTTCCAGCGAGTCAAAATCTGGGCGGAGCCATTTGGGCAGACCCTGGCCTGGTATCTCCGCGGACTTTTGTTGGCATGGCACTTGTCGCACACCTCCTTCACCCAGGCCTGCAATGTATAGAAGACTTGGGGAAGCTGAGGACGCAAGACTCACTGATGCTTGGTTCTCCCAACATGGTTATAAGCGTTTGTGTAGCCTTGCTGCAATCCCCTCTAGACCAGGGAGTAAAAGAGTGGGCGGTTCCAAATTTACGGGTGGGTTTAAAACCATTTATTTGGACAGCCCCGTATGCGTTTCTCTTCTTTGAGGCTATAGTATATAATCTCGTCTGTTCAGCTCTTGGAAACCTCGAATTTCCTCACTTGCTCGCTGACCAAAAGGGGCGTGTTCAAAGGAACATTTTTGTTTTTTTCCGGACAATCTCCGACACACACACACAGCCACGTGGGTGTCTTCGAGCATCGAAGCTCTGCTCATTTCGAACTTTGAAGAGCTCCAGAGCTCGCCCCGAGCTCACCCAAAGAAGCTTCGGAGGTCACATGGCCAAGGACAAACCTGGACACACACTGGAACTACTGTGCCCTCAAAAGTTAGATGTTGACCCACATGATACCCAGTCTTAGCTCTCTCTGAGGGTGGAGTTAATTTCGGTTTCGGGATGAATTGATCAGCCCAGATTCAGGTGGCCAACGCCTTACCAGGGGGTTTGAATGGAACCAACCCCGGGTCCTTGGGGTTGAACACGTGCGGGATCCAAACAAAAAGGAGAATGGATAGCACCTAACAAGGGGTTCTTACCAGGTTTTACAGTTCACAACACCATTTCACTTCAAACAACCAAAATAACACCCAACATTTCTACAGCAGGGTCTTTTCGCCAAAAACCTAGCTCAGCAAAGTCGTTGGAAGGCTTGGAACATCGTCGCGCGCCTCCACGGCCGGGCGTTCGCCGGACACCTCCAGCACCACATCCTCCCGCACGCGGCAGCCGCTTCGGCCCCTTGGGCAGTGGATGAATCGCAGGTGGCCGTCCTGCGGGGTGTGTGGAAACCAGGTTTGTTTTTGGGCTGTGGGTCAGCCCCCGTGGTTTTGACTCATGGCCTCAGACCGATGTCCTCTGCTTCGAAGGGGGAGACGGAGCGATTTGTTCCACACTTACCTTTTTGGAGTGGGATTATTCAATTTTGCAAAACAAAAAAAAAACGGTAGGCCCTGCGGAGTGATTAATTGGGAGTGAATTAACATTAGGGTTAGTTTGAAAACGGGGGTTCCCCACAAGGTTTCTTTCCTTTTGGGTATTCCATTCAAACCAACAAAGGGGGCTCCCCAGAAACAAAAAACACCAGCAAAACCACCACACTATCCGAAGGTAGTTAGTTCATTCCCCGCTGCAAGCTGCAAGGGGGAACGGCCCGCAATAGCATGGTCCTTCGGATTGACCTCGAGCCAGGCATTGCCAATACCCGCAAGAAAATCTGGGGCGGCAAGATCTGGTTGTGTTTGGCACAAGCTTGAGCAACACAGACCCGACTTAGTTATAAGCCGCTGCCACTCCCATGTCTTGCCTGCGTGTCAGTCTACAGTCTTTTCCGCATGCCAAGGGAAGATCCTCAAAAGCGCGCGCCAAACCCTGCTGCGTAGTTAAAGCAGTACTTTTTGTATGCAAAACGACCGATGCGTAGCGCCTGCACAAGTGTGCAAGGCAAATGACTAGTGGCCACCAGACTTGGCACAAGGTGATCGGTATTATGGCTCCGCTCATTTTGCTAGTAGCATAGAATGAAGGAGCCACTTGCAAGCTCTCGTGGCCTGGCACCGTGGTTTCACGACATTCGCAAGGCCTTCCTGGCCGTTTCGTCTTGAAGCCAGGGAGCCAATTGCTAACAGCTTTGATATATTGCAAGCAAGGATGGGGCGCAATAGCCGAAAACTCTGTCCGAAAGGAAAATGCCTACAATCAACCCCCATGGTTGGGGAAACCTTTAATTCTTAGCGTCACCAAACACCCATGGACATAGGCACGCAGCATTTTGTTCTTGACGTCAAAACTGACTACGCGTCCATTGCAAGTCAAGCCAGAAAGCAAGTCGTCATTGCGCTGAGCACTTCTCTGCGTTCAGCTGACTTGCAGAGACATGCTAATCACAACAACCCCCAACACAAAGGTCGACTTGCGAGGCCTGCGCAGCAGCATTTGTCCAAATTCGTGGCACTTGTTGACGATGAATGCATCCGATATGTGCAAAACTCTACCCCGTCGGAAAAACACTGTGCCTACTGCAGTCGCTGCCTGCCTGCCAAAGTGGGCATGAGGTTTTTAAACGACTCCTCGCGGCCAGCGGCGTGGCTGCCAGACGTGTCAGGCCATCTGTGGCACGCGTGGCCTCTCCTGTGGAGTCCCAGGTGCATAGAAAGTGTGCTCTTGCTGTCGCAGGTTGAACGCGCGCCACACGCACAGAGGCACCAACAGCCTGAAATAGAAAGCAGTTTCCTTGTTCCTCTGCAAATGGTCAGTGTTTTCTTCGGTCAGTGAAAGCTGGTCCATCAGCATTTGTCAGGCTAGCCAAGTTGACAACTCTCGCATGCATTGAGCGCTTGGGCCCCGCCAAAGTTGCGATCTACGCAGGGTGCCATGCGCTGTCGCCGCAAAAAGGCTAGCAGCGGTTTGCATGGCCTTCAGGGTAAAGCGTTGCAGTATGTTGCCCAGCTCGCTTCCCTGTCAAACGTGGAGGCCAGGACTGGCGGGCCAAAAAGTTCCGCACCACCCAATGCAAATGAAATTGGGGCAGACATCTTCGCTTTCACCACCCGTCCACGCGTCTTCGGCGCGCTGGCATGCAGGGCCAAGCCGGTCCAGAGTAACCGCACCTGGCCGCTCCTCCGCCGGCCACGTGCGACAGAACCACGGCGTGCCGCCTCTTCAGATCGGCCACAGCATCCCGGCCAGCTGATGACTGTTTAGGTCAAGACACCAAAGAGCTCGTCATACGGTGGATGGAAGAAATCTTGCATCTCTTTTGAAGCAGATCCATGCCATCTCGTTACGACTTGCCCCGCGCCCCCTACTTAACATTGGCGCTCAGTTTGGCCAAGTTGGGTTGGGCCATGCAAGATTTCGGCCATTGACAACCTATGAGCGGTTTTGCTCGTCGCAAATCAATGTTAAGTAGGGGGCGCGGGGTGGCAAACATGTAGTCTTGTAAACTCATGCAAGATTTCTTCCATCAACAGTATGTGACACAGCAAGCACACGCTGACAACAAGTGGCCGGCAGAGAGAAAAAAGTCACAGAAGTGAAAACAGGCCAGCGCTGGATCTCGCTGTGGCGCCCATCACGCGCCGACACATCAGAAGAGTGGGGTCATGAAAGTCACGGCAAAATCCCATGACCATTGCATTTCTCATCCTGGCGCAATGATGGACTGTCTCCTACAATCAGTCCAAAGTGACAAGGGCTTTGCAATTTGTGTTTGAAGGTGGGGCCCGCAGTATAGTTTCGCCCCAGAAGTAAACTTGTTAACAGGCTGCGTAAAAGTTGAAGACGGGTTCCATTTCGGGCTGGCCGATGAAGATTCACATGAAACCCCCGCCAGCAAAGGGCGCAGGCCGCGGCAAACGGCTTGAAGTCTGGCGCAACTGCGGTTTGCCACGAAGAGACGCAGTGCCTGCAAGACCGCGCAAAGGCCATTCAATAGAACCCTGGAACAATGCGATGCACACCACGGCCCCGCGTAAACAAGTTCCATACATCAACTGAGCAACGCCTCACGGCCCACTCACACGGCGAAAGAAGCTTGCTGAACATCGCGACGCAAGACTTTCTGACAGCGGCTCGTGACTTCAATCAGGATTGATAAGGTACACGGCCAACCCGGTGTAGCCGCAAGGGGCAAAGGCTCTGCGCAAGAAAGTTAGATTGGCAGAGGCTCCCTCCACTGTTGTTGCCACGCAGGTGGGTCGAGCCGCGAGAGCTTGTCACTTCAGAAGGCAGGCTAGCCCACAATGGAGACTTAGCTGTTGCGCATGATGTCTTAGTATCATTGCCAGCTGCAACGTTGGATTGGCAAGCTGGGCCAGCGGCAGAATCCCTTCGGGGCAGCAAAAATGCACGTAAAATGAGGAAAACAACGGATTACAATTGGGAAGGGCCGCCGGCCCTTCATTCTCTTAGCTCCCTTACTTGCTGAAAAGTTCCGTTTTTCGTCCTTGCCCCCCCTTCGCGCTACCCAAGCCTATTCAAAAAATAGACGTTGTGACAAGCCCGATTTTTTGAACACGAGCGGCAGCCTCCGTTTTGGACTGGAACAAGGGCTAGGAAAGACTTGACGCTAAGGCCGCTCCATGGGATCCCAAAGCCGAATATGTATTTGCGTATGCAGCAATATGTTTCACAATTTTCAAGGCCAATGTTGGTTTCTATGTTGCTCGGTTTCTTAACATGGCCATGTAGACCAAATCTTTCCTTCTTCTGGCCCACCCCCTTAACCAAACCCAAAAATACGGGACAGCCAAAATCTCTACCCATCACAGCAACCATTCCAGGACGAGGATGTTGATCTTCTGGGTCCCCTGCAAAATTTGCTTGTTCTATGCAAAAACAAGAGGTTCTACGCAAACAATAGTGGTTCTATGCCAAAAATAGTGGTTGCACGCCAAACAATTGTGTTTCTACCGTTGTTGTTTTTTTCTACGGCTTGTCTACGCTCACGTCGTTTTGGGACCCGTGTCAAAATTGGAACGGAAAAACCCAGCGCACAATTGCTTGTTGTTCGTGCCACCTGCGGAACTTTCAGCAGGTGCCTCGAGGACCCTATCAAAAAAATAATGTATACTTAGCTAGCAGAGACATATTTCTCCCAAGGCTACTGGAGAGGTTGCAATAGCAGGCGTAATGTTCGAAACAACAAAGTAACAACCCAAAATGGATCCCAGAGGCCAATGACAGAAAAAAGGGGGTTGTCAATGCAAAAAAATAGGGGTTGAACAACCCCTATCTTAAAATAGTCGAGGAAGCATAGGCTCTGATTCGCCAAACGCGCGCCAAAGGCATGGGCGGACCTCTGTCATTACTTAGAACCGTGCCGAGGAATTTCCTTGGCAGGGCGGCGCGCGGCCGCAAATCGGCCCCACCGAGTCCGAGTGCCTGCGCAAAACACCCGAAAACGCGCAATTTTTGTGTAGCAAGAAGGAGGGAGAGGTTTGCCAACTGCATGGCCTGCTACCTGGGTAAGCTGGCGGGGGCCGCAGGCTTCGGACTGTCACGGCCGCTGTCTGTCAAATAGGCTCTGTAGCTGCCCTGCGGGTGGGCGGGTCGGATGCCACTTAAAATCAAACAATCCCAGACCTGTCGGGTGGGGAGAAACATGCAAAGAACGGTATGGTCAAAATCAGGAAGATAGGAGTCTCCCTGGAACCTCGTGCCCCTCCTCCAACACTGCGCCCAGGAGGTCTGCAAACTTCAGCTCGGCCTTGGCAAAGTCGACTCAACCAAGAAAAGTTTTAAGTGGGTCTTTCATAGAAACTAGCGAACCAAGAAATGCCTCTGGAGGTTAGCCAAATACTAATCAAAAACTGTGTCTTTCTACAGAAATGGTACACCCCCCTTAAAGAACTGGCTCTATGGCTAAGTTTCTGGAGAATAACCTGCTTTTGGATTCTCAGCGTCTGCCACCCCTCCTCCTGAAAAAACAACACACTCCTAGACCGTCCACAAACACCATTGGCGTGTTTGCTTTTTCTGTTTTATTCCTAAGGAGCAAAACAGTGACATGTCCGCAAGTTCAATGGAAACTCAACTAGTTTTTAAAGATCCATTTTCAGAGGTGATTCCTTTCGTTCGAAGAAACCACAAGGTAATCTTGTTTGCTTCCGGCCATGCCCAAACTCGGGACTTCAATGGGCCAATGTATCTTTCGGTGTCCATAACCTGCCTGAACAGTGTTGGTTTTGAGACATGGGTCCGCCTTGAAAGACGAGAATCCGAGATCCCAACCAACAAGGTCTCAAAAATGACACACCCACATCTGTTGATATACCCACCTATGGAAGGATTGCTGAGTACCGCTTCTTGAAGGCCATGTATTCACCCGCCCGCTTCACTGAAGTGCCACCAAACACATAGCTTTGCCAGTTGCGGGTTGCCATCAAAAAGCCACAGGGAAAAACGACACCGAAACTAAAAGGAAGTCCGCCATATTGTTTGTATAGCTCCCAAGCATGTCTCAAGGGCTGATGGTAAGACAATCGAAGGGCCTGGCCAGTCTGGGTTGTTCCCGGAGCAGGTCCGTTCAAAAGCCGTTGTTTCCATAAGCTCTCTCCGGGACCCCAAAGAGGGTCACAACAGCCCAGCCATGAAGTAACCTAAGTCCCCTAGTGATGTTGCACGATGCCCCAAATCGTGGGCAACCTCGGAACAAAGTCTGGACAAGCTATCCCATGTTCAGATTCATGTAGCAAAGGAGAACGGTAATAGATCTCATCATTGACACCCCGTTTACATATGTTCATGTTCCGCATAGGAAGCAATGGGGGGGGAGAGTCAATTGCCTAGTGCACATGGGGAAAAGCGGGGACTCTTGATCGTTTGGTGGATTTTACGGCGAAACCCTCCCAAACAAAACAGGACAAACGGGCCAAAAAGCGCTCTTTTTTCGGTTGGCAGATTCTACAGGCACACCCTCCCACAAAAATGCAAAACTGCAAAAGGACACTCTTTTCGGTTGGAGGAAAATCCTCCCACAAAGACTTGCGACAATCGGGCAAGGGGCCTTAGGTTCCAATGGGATCCAGCGAGCAAAGAACCATCATGCGTGCCCATCCTGGAACCCATTGTTAGAAGCCATGCAATAGGTCACCCAAAATGTTTAAAATGCAAAGCCAACCCCGCCCCTGGTCCCCTGCCAAAAACAGGAAAGATGACAAAGTAAGGTCCCCGCTGGACAGCTCTCTGGGTTGGATTCACGGATGTCTTTCTCCCTGGTCAGCTTTCAACTAAACCAGGATTTTGACATGTGCTTGCATCATTTCAGTTCAGTCCAGGGCAAACCAACTTGAGTGATAGATGGTCCCAAACCTCGACCCCGGTCTTTTGCTTGCTTTTGTTGGCTTGGTTGCGCCTTGTCGAGTTTCTTTTCAAGGGCAGTGACTCAAACCGGCTTCAAAACCGGCTTCAAAACGGAACCCGCCGCAGGGTTCCAAGCGCTCAGCTCCGCGCGGGCGGCTTTCGGGCGCCGCACCGGGGGACGGCCTCGGGCGCCAGGGCGACGCCCTGGGCGTGGGCCGACGCCACGTAGGCCGCGCCGTGGAAGGCGCCGGCGAGATCCATGGCGCCGAGGCACGCGGCACGCGGCCGAGGCACGCGCGTGGGTCCCGAAGGCTGGAAGAGCCGTGGGTTTTGTTCTTTTGATATGTTCCATGTTTTTGTTTTTTTCTTTGGAGGTTCTTTGGAGTTGAGGGAAAAGAAAAGGACACCAACTTTTGAAACTTTGGGGTGTTCCTTTGCACCAGAACAAGGACTGAAATGAGAGTGGGGTTTGTGATCATCCGGCGGGCTCTGAGTGGACCTGAGTTTACCACAACAGGGACTCTCCCGTGCAAAGTAGTTGTACATTATTAGTTTTACTCTTCTCACGACACAAAGGCTAAATCCACTTCCGCCAAGAAATGGCTGCTCACCATTGCCCATGTCACGACCCTTGTTCTCTACCCTGAAACAAGTAGGGATTCCTTGAAAGAATAGAAAGACAATAGGCAAGCCTTTGCCATACCATGCATAGTACAACATGGTCCCAAGTGTGTTGCATCCCTGGTGTGCAGAACTTTCTCAACCTGGGAGGCGAAATCAACGAGCTGCTTGACCGCAGACCGCAGAAATCCCCAGCCTGTGCATCAGTCGCTTCCATACATGATTTCCCTCGTACCCACAAAGGGAAAATGCGTTGGAAAGGCAAGTCGTACACTTAGTTTCGGGTCTAAGGCAGAAAGAAGGGTCTCAATTGGAGGGCCAGACAAGTCTCTTAAGGTACCCAACTAAGGCTTAAGGGTAAGATGACTACTCAGTATTCGTCATCGTGCCCTTCAAACTGCGGGAGCCATTTGGTCGACATCAATACCACACATAGTTCTGTGCAACCATGTTAGAGGGTGCTCCCCACTTCGTTGTTCTTGAAGCAAACTGGACACCGTCCAAGAGTCAAACGCTTGACAAATGATCGGGTGCATGTTCATTGCACTTCACCAAAAGCAGAGGCCCTGGCCAAGATGCAAGCTCTAAACGAAACCGCTTGGATGCGCAAGGCATGTTTTTTTTCTAGGCGTCGTGGAGTAACTTGACACAGAGGATCCGAGTCTTGCCAGAACACCACCCAAGCCCGGTAGAAAAGAATGGGAATGAACCGGTAGATGGGGCGGTGTTGGTAACCCAAGGGAAACTCAACAGATTTAGTAAGTCGGTACATACACATGTCGGGCATCATAAAGGATCCCTCCAGCGGAATAACTTCGCACCATTCTGTCAGAAACGCCCTCAGACACCGTGCCCTATCTGTTGCTTGGCTGTGTGTCCATCTGGGCAAACAAGCGACTTGGATTCTAATATCCTGTACAAGAGTCATCCACCCAAAAGCATGAGGGGGCTGGAGAATGTGAAATACGGATCAAACTATTTGAACACACCCTGGACAAAACGCATACAAATGACAAAGTAAGGTTCCAAAGGGCAGATATCGCTGTCCCCGTATCATCCTCTCTGAGTGCGGCATATCGCAGTTTTGCCACGGTCGCGAGCCGGCTTCCGCGATGGCCCAAAGGGTGAACCAGGACTTTGGAAGATTCGACTCAAATGCTCGATGAGCGTTGCTTGTGAGCCAAGATGATTTCACCTTCAAGTCCGGATTGGGAAAGAGACATCGCCATGAGCCCATCATTGGCATGATGGACATCCCGGCTCCACATGTCCAGGTGATGGCACAAGTTCCTCAGCCCTCCGCGATCCTGGCTCGATGGCCGATCGCTTTTCAGCGGCTTGGGCCCAGAAGACGACATGAATCGAAGGATCTTCCCACTACACCCTGGGATTACACCCTCGGACTACCCAAAATAATCCCAAGACACCAAGTGAACCAAAACGACCAGGTTTCAGCTGCAAATAGGCTATAGGGTGATTTCCCGGAGGGCGCAATCCCAGGGTGTAATAGGAAAACTCTTGGAATAAAGGACGGCAATTCGCCGCCCACACTCGCTTTGGGTCAATTCCCCGAGAAACTATTTGCATTGCGAGGTCTTTGAACGGACCTCACTTGCGGCTTGCCATGGTTACACACACAACATGTGGGGAACCAGGCTGCAAGGCGTGGTGCGATAGTTGGGCGCATGCGGACTCACGAGAAATCTCCGTTCTTTACTCGGTTGCTTTCTGCTCCCCTGCTAAAAGTTTAACTTTTAGTGGTTTAATACGGAAAGCCCATTTGGCCAAAAGTCAAAGTCCCAACATCCCTTGGCAACATGCGTCATTTTCGGGCCCAAAGGAGTACTTCAATATCTACACCCCGGCACTTTTGCTGGTGGGACTGATGTTCAGGTAAGAGTTTTGGAGACCCCTGGATTGGTGAATTTTCAAGCTCTAGGCAATCTCCATCCAAATTGCTAATTGCCAGAATTAAAGAATCCCAAGTAACGGGCGCTGGGCTTACCCTGAGTCAGTGAGCTTGCTCAATTAAATACCTGGAATGACCTCCCCGACTCAGAGACCCTACCTAACCTGATTGCGCCATGTTAAGACTTAGCAATGCCTAACCCTTGCCGGAGTCTTTAGGGGAAGCGGCTTTGTAGGGCCCTTGGGTCCCTGTCTTGGGGTTCAGGAATTCGCCCAGTGGCAAGGGGCAAACGAGGCAAACCGGCTTTTCCGTCGAAAGGGCCACCCAAGAAAACAGGGCTGCGCCCGGTTGACTGGCCCAGACTTGAACGTGTTGGGACTTGACCTAAAAAAGAACAAGTTGGCCACTTCGGCAAGCAGGAACCTGTGATTGCCGGTGCGATAGGCAGGGAATGAGGAATGACCCGGAGATAAACCATCCAACTGCGGTTTCCTTTCAGGGAATCCCAAATCGGTTCATTCCCTCATTCCTTACCAGCAGGTATTTGCAACTCAAATCAATGTTCGGCGTCGGAGCGAGCCTGAGCCAGGTCACCAGCACAGATCGCGGGGTGATCTGAAACTCGATCCTGAACCTGGCGCGCTCGATACTCGAAGCCTGGTATTGGGATCTGTCCAAAAACCCTGAGAACAAAAACGGAAACACGCAGCAAAGCGGAAACCTGCCGCGCCCTTCAGGGGATACGAATTGCAACAAGTTCCAGCCTGCAATAGGAATCCGCTTAAGATCGAACCCTTTTTGGGAACAAACATTGACCGCGCTTGCAAAAAGGGCTGAACCACTCATGATTGATGGCGGATCAATTGTTACTCTTAGCTATTATGGCGCAGAAAAAGTCATCCCATTTTATAATGTTATGGGCTTAGCAAAAGCCGCTTTAGAAACAAGTGTAATGGAGTTCTCTCCCTCAAATATTTGCGAGAATTTCCTCTAGCTTTTCTGCCATTCAGGGTCCCAGTGCAGGCCACAGACCAAACTCATGGATGTCCAAAAAACTTCTACTTTGGCCCCCTGGTTGTTGGGCATGCAGCTAGGCCTTTCGAGTCCTCCTCAGAACAACAGACCTTGCGTCACTTGCAGTGCGCCAGATCCGGAACTCCCTTAGAGAGAAGGCGGCCAGACCCCCCTGAGCTGTCACCAGCCAATGTTGCTTTGAAAGTAACTGTTAGCTATAGTCTACCCGGAACCCCCAGTGTGTCATCCGAACGCATGGTGTGTGTTAATCATCGGAGTGAATTGAAGCAATAGAGGGGCACAAAACCTCAGCTTTCAAAAGGCCCCTAATCCTGCCCTTGGGCGCAGGGGCATGACGGTGACCCTTACACTTTGAAAAGACCGTCTTTATGTTCTACAGACTCCAATCCACTCTGTCTGAATAGCACGAGGTTTGACCATTGCTCGCATGAGGTCTGCAGCAAAAGCACACAATAATAGCTTGGGAAATCCTCAACTAGACAGCAGCTGTTTGGGGATCTCCAATAACGGACTACAAGGCTCTAACAGACCTCAAATGCCCCGGACTGATAAACCCCAGCTTGATTCGTGTTCTGTTCGACGAGACCCTCCACTTTGGAGGGAGCCCTAGATCAAGCCGCCAGCTTGATTTGACCGACCGGGACAACATTGTCCCCTTGAGGGTACTCTGGGCGAGGGAAGCCACTCAATTTCGAAGCAAAGCCCCCATAGACCAATAGAGGGGTCTCAGACCTCAGAGCCACGGTCAAAACGACTTGTTCCAAGAGGACATGGCAGGTTCAGTATACAAGCCCCAGGGATGTTGCGCGACATCTCGTGACTTCCCCCAGACCCATGTTTTCGTGATTGGCAAGGCCTTTCTCCGGTGCATTGCGAATTCACTCTTCCATATATTTCGCATTTGGCGAGCACTGCACCCGAAACAAACTTTTAGAAACAGATAACGCGTAACAGAGTTGGTCGGCTTCAATGTCTACTGCGCAAAGGGCGATGCCAGCACAGGCCGTGCAAAGGGCGAGCTCAGTGGGGCGGCAGCGAAGGGGCTGGCAAGAGGCGCCCCCGCCACACCGCTTGGAGCGGCGCTGGGAGCGCTGGGAGCGCTGGGAGCGGCCGGAGCCGCCGCGCCGTAGCCCAAGTTGGCCTGGAGCTGGAATTGGTTTCCATGTCCCGGTCCCCAGGGAAACCTAACCGGGGAGTTTCTAAGTTTCTAGGGTTCAGGCTGGTTCAGGGCGGGATCGATGTCTACAAAGGTGGTAACCAGGTCGTTGGAACAAAAGCGGTTTGCTTGAAGTGCTTGGCCATGCCTGCGGGGCATAGACCGGGTGCGCCAGGGAAGACATGTCGCCCGCCGGACCGTGGAGGGAGGCGGTGACAGGACCCGCAGAGGGCGGGGGAGGCGGCAAACTCCTCGGTGGGCGAGCTCGGGGCCAGGGCCCAGGGCCCCCCAACCCAGGGAGGGAGGCCGGGGAAGGACCTGGAACCTGGAACATGCGGTGTCTGAGATCCTGATTCAGGTGGATGGTAAATCATAGCCAATTGAATGGAGCCATACCTGTTGGACCCCTTTGAGAAGGGGGGGGATTTCTCACCAGCAATTCCATCCAGGGATTCACATGTGGATCCATACATTCGGCCGAGAGCGGATCGGTTGCATAAACCGCGCATCCCGGCAAAATGATAATCACCGGGCCAGCTATTTGGGTGTGGGTCAAAAAGAGGTACCCCAATGGAACACTGGCAAATGGAAACAAGAGCCAAAATCTGCATTTGTTTTATGTTGACCCATATACATACCTATTTGGGTTGGGCAGTTCTTGAAAAAATCCTCCGTAGGACGTGGTTCCCAGTCTGAATGAAGGCTTGGTCTGAACGGCCAAGGCCCGTGAAAGCCGAGTCATTTCACGGTTCGTCTTGCGGCCTGACAGGTGTTTCACGGCTTTCTGCACGAGTTGAAAGGCAAAAGCCGTTGCGAAAGGCACGCTCTAGCGAGGCCGCTTTGCAGGGCTGGGAATCTGGCAAACTTCCGCGTGGCTTCCGTGTGTTGCTCGGAAAGACGTTGTGGCCTAACACCTGACGTCCACGAGTCCACTAGTAAGTCAGGGAGAGGGGCCAGATGTGTGGAAAACAACGCGAGTTGGACTCCCCCGCATTGGCCCGGTTTCGTGTCCACCGGACAATCCACACAGGCCAACGTCGAAAAAGATCCCCTAGCACCGTCCAAGAGCTCCTCCAAATCCCACGAAACATACCGCGAACTTCCCTTGAAGCTTTTCAGAACCTTTTCAAACAAACACGGGTTAGTCTTTGACCCGCACGTTTCACTGGTCGCTGATGTGTTTGCCAAGTTGAAGATTGTTCAAAGAACAAGGCAAAGGCCTCAGGTGGGCAGGAAAAGAAGAGGCACCGTTTATTGTGTCGCTTTGAAGGGGAGGCCCCAAGGAGCAATTGGGTCATAATCAAAACCCGGTATTAAAACGGTCTACCCAGATCCAGATCTATGTACAGAATTGAGAAGGCGGTGGCGGCTATTTGTGCTTGGGATTGTCCCTTACGAACCTTCATATACCTGGATTTTGATTGTGGCTCAATTTGGGTAAAGGACTCTACGCAAACTTCTGTAAAGATCCAAAACGGATATCTCGACCTACACCGGGCCTTCTACCCAAGTTGATGTTGATTGTGGAACCAAATGACGCAACCAAGCTGCGCGTTGCCCCAGTCCCCTCTGGAGGCGTCGCATGCGGTGGTCGCCGGTGCGTAGGCGGAGGACAAACCGCGGCTCGTGTGGAAGCGAATGGCTTCCGCCTGCATGAAATATTCGGCGGATTTCCACTAGAAGTTTCTCAGAATGGGTGTATCTTTTTTGAGGGTACCTGTTCTGTTGTGGTTTTACTTGGAAAAGACGGGGGTCCCCTACAAAAAGACACTCAAATGGGGGGGTGGATCTTTTGTGGTTGGTGTTTAAAGGAAACATACCCTATTTTGAGAAACTCCCTAATGGGAAACCAGGACTAATCAACCAGGCGGATGGGTATATGGGGTTTCCCATGGTTTCCCATGTGGACGCCTCCACTTTTGATGGAGCACCCCTCAAAATCCGCCGGGTTGCCAAATCCGGGGGGTCGCCATCGCCCCACTCAGCAGAACTTCTGGGCGAAACCGGACCTATGGAATCTCCAAGGCACCTTCATGGGTGAGAGTGCGTTTCACCCAGCTCAGCCAGCCTGTTTGCCCGAGCGCAGTGCTGATATATGGGGGTTGATCAATACTCCGTTCGGCCCCCAAATGACCATGACTTTCCCCATTTAGCGGGAAGCATCATCTTTTAGGGGTTTTCCCCAATGGTCATCCCGTGTAAAGGACCTTTTGACCAACCCCCATGTCCCAGCTCCTTTGGATATGTGGGGTGGGCATCTCTGAAGTTGATCCAGAAGTCTCCCAACAACCGAAGCAAAAAACCAAGCAAAGTTGAGGCGTCACTACGTACTGATCATGGGGAGTCGAGGGATCTTAATTAGAATCATGTTCTCTCTCTCTCTCTCTGTCATGTGAACCATCGAACACGCCAAACCCAATTTGACTACATATTACATATGCCCTGTACCCAAAACAAGGGAATGAATAAAAGACTAAACAGGAGTTCGTCGGGTTCACTTCAAATAATCAGACAGGACAAGTCCTTACCCTGCCTCATGGCTCCTAAGGGCTCGCGCAGCCCTGGACGCATGACTTTGGCAACACACTCGTCTTGCCATGTCGCACAAAAGGACTGATGACCAACTCTCGGCTTGGCTATTTTTGTGGGTTCTAAATGCAGCAAGCCTGATTTAGGGAAACTGTAACCCCGTGATAAGCAACACATTCGGCAAAGCAAGCGACGGTTCCAGCAAACAACCGTGACCCGCGGCACAAGTGGCAACCTGAAAACCCAACTCTCCACATCCCAAAGCCCAATTTGGTTGGGCTGTTGGAGAAGAACCGAATGGGCCGTTCAAAAAGTGGTCCTTCAAGTGGTCCTTCAAGGCGAAAGTGGCCGGAAGCGGCGCGAAAGCTTTCGCCTCGAGGCGCTCTTGTTCCGTCTCCCCGCCCTGCAGCTTCCAAACCTTCTCCGTGGTGTCCTCAAGCGCGCTTCGGACCGCTCTCGAAGGCGTAGAGTTGCGCGGTTTTGAGGCAAACTAAAGACTTGAAACCTGGAGGAAATGCAGCAGATGGCAAACCCGCAAAAGCCAAGTTGGTTCTAGATGACCATGAGTTTTCATGGCTATACCTGTTGGTAATGTCTAGATGGCTGTAAAATCTAAGGTACTACCTAGATGGCTACGAGCTTTGGTGCTACCCAGCCGTACCAATTTGAGAGCCTTTTTGGCTTAAATCACCTTGTGCTCCTTGTTGGCTTCCTGGACGCGTGCCAATTCAAGGCAACCCCCATAGGAAGTTTCTCAAGCTGTATTCAAAAAAAACATTTTATTAAAAATTAAAAAAACACCTTCTTGTAATTTTAGGACACCAAAAGTTACACTAACCACGGGGAGCCCCCGTTTTGAGAAGTGCGGTGCGCTCTTCTTCAAGGCGAAGCCCCCCATCATTCCAAAACCTGAAGCGAGAGATTCCAAAAGGACCCTCATCATAGCAAGCTTGTATCACCTCGGGGCGTTTCAACTCCCCACATGATGGGCAGCCTTGGCTGCAACCGGTCCTCAATTCCATTTGGTCAGGTCGTCCTACCACAAAACTGAAAAATAGCGTGCTTCGAATGAGTGGTGGGCTTTAATCCCTTTAAACTTGCATTGACGTGCAAAGCTTCCGCGGTGTGAAGGGTACCTTCCGCAAGCATGATTCTCTATAAGTTTACATAACTGCTTCCGCGGGCCTTCCGCAAACCTTCCGGGCTGCAGTGCGGCGCTACCTTCTTTGTTGATATGTCAACATCTATACATGTTTGCTTGAGCGGCAAAAGCAACCGCCACTTTCCTGTCGGCTGGGGATGTCTGGACAGATTTCTTTTGACTACTCTCCCACTTACCGTCTGGCTGTACTTCCCTCCTCATCTCTATAGAATAATGGGGCATAGAGTTTTGAGATCCATTCAACCCCACCACCAGACAAGATACACGGCAAACAACACTTGGAATAGCAAGGCCGGGGTCGCAAAGTCCCCCAATCCCTACATTCAAAGGAGGGGTCGAATGGACCGAAACTTGAGCAACGCATTCCAGGGATCCTTCTTTCCAAACAACCGCCAAAAACCTAGAAAGCACAATATGTTTTGTTTTTCGTACAGAACGATGATTGAGCAGAATGGTACAGGAGCCCACCGTCTGGAATCCCCACTGCAACGGAGGCACGTAGTAAAACCTGTTCTCCACCCCCACCGAGTTCTTGTTCGGCGCCAAGGCTTCCATCAAAGTTTTCAGCTTCTCCAAAAGTGCGTGAAGCACCTTGGCGTATGTGTTCGCAAAAGCCCGGGCAAGCAGAACAAACACCCCACAAAAGAAACAACAGTATCGGAAACCTCGGCTCAGGCTTGTTCGGCCCTAGTTCCAGCCCCTATTTCCAGCCTCCCCTCATTCACACCAAACTGAGTGGTTCGGTGCTCATCGGCAAAACTTGTGGGACGTCTCATAAATTGCATGGCCAAACTATGGCTGGGAACCAAGCTGAATTTGTGGACCATGGCTCCCCAGTTGAAAGATGGCATTGACCAATTATGGGATGGTCATACCCGACACTTACCCAACGTTTACGTGTAAAGCACATGTTTGCTGAGCTGTGTCATCTACTCAACCGCTTTGTTCATTTAATTGTCCACAAAATGGGAATTGCGGGATCTACCAAGTCACCTTGTACCCCGAAAAGAAAGAAACACACTAAATGATTGCGGGCAAAAACTGAAATTTGCGGCCCAATTGAGCGGCCATTTGAGGGATGGGGTTTCTCTGGATTTTCCGTTCCGTCAATGCCCCCGTCAAGTTGTTGATCCCAATCTGCACAGAATAGTCAAGTATTTGGATGGCACACATGTCCAGTTGGGTTTCTTGCCCAATGGCTTTCCAACAGAATGTGCCCTTTCGAAGTGCAATCGATAGTCTAATGGATGGCCTACTCCTGCGTACATGTATATATTTATTGGTGCTTGAAAGCGCTTGGCCTTTAGAACATCCTTCAACGAAACCAATACACCCCAGAATCCCTCGACCACTCAGCAGACCAGACTGGTAGTATTGTGCTGGAAGGCTTACAGACTGACTTTTGCATGGAAGGCCTTGGCACAGGCCCCCACTGCCAAGAAATCCCCTTACACAATAGGAATTGCGCCATCCAAATCACCCCGGCGTACGTCCCACAACCATGAGCTCTAACTATCAATGACTCCTTCTTGTCAGCCTTCACGATTGAGGGTATTCGGCTTACCAAAAGCGAGAAAGAGTTGAACAAGACACATGTTTGAGGAACATGCACGGTGTTTCACGCCAAACAGCCATTGACACATTGGGCGAGCCTGCTGATTCCTGGTATCATGGCGCCATCTGTCGTGACCCAAACTTGCTGGCCACCTAACCCACACCTATGGCCATGGGAATGAGGTCAACCTTTATCTGGTTTTGAAGAGCCATCTCTATAGACGTCGCCCGGCCTGCTGCACAACTCCGCTCGAAGGGCTGGAGTTGTTCGGCAAGGATGGCCCAGGTGAGCCGGATTCGGGATCCATGGCTGAAAGACCCAGCGACCCAGGCCGCTGTCCAGCGACGTTTGAGCCGAAGCCAGCGTGGAATCTACTCATAGGCCAAAAGGTAGGTTCGAATGGGAGGAGCCCTGAAGTGAGCCCTGAAGTTCCCACAAATCCGAAACAAAAGGACTGCTGGGGCCAACTGAGCCCTTTGGATAGCACTATCTTTGCAGAATCTTGGAAACTCTGGGTTGCCAGTCCAGGTTCAAGCAACTCACAGCTCACTGCTGGCAGCCAGCCAAGTGTTTCCTCCCAAAACCGTTTGAACCTATGGCAGCGCATCCCCTGCATCCCTCCATCACCCCGAATCCTTTGGGTGTGTCTGTGTTTCATAGGACTTATTCTACATATACTTACATATATAAATAAAATCAACATACCAATTGAAAATAGTATGCACATTGTACAGGACCTTCAAACGTACCTTAAATTTCTGCCTCCCTGTCAATCGGCTGGTTTTTGGAATCGGTACCTTTTTGTCTGGTCCTCTTGTTTGGACCTCGAGCAGTTTTTGGAGGCATGGCGGGTGTCAGGTCCTAATATGACCTACTCGAGCAAAAACTGTGCAAAAACGCCCGCAACAAAACAAGCGCAAACACCCGCAAACGAGCGCAAATTTAAAAAGTGCTCATTTGAAAATATGGGTGTGGATCAATATTCTGGTGTGGAACGTTACGCGGTGACGCGGACGTCTGGAACGAGTCAGATACGCAAGGTCGCTTGTTCCGGACCTCTGGGAGGACATGCGTGGAGTCCTCAAGCACACGTTCATTTAGTGTAAGATGGATAGATGGATGGATGAATGGATGGATGGGTAGATGGATGGATGAAGCGACTAGGGGCGCGCCGCCATCGTTGCCACCCTCGCATCATTGGGACACCGATGCGCTGTAGTCACGCCCGCCACGCGCGCCAGCCGATGCACAAGGCTGGGAGGCGTAGGCCGATGTCCACCGATGCACTAGCCGATGCAGAGTATCCTTCAAAGACTTCTGTGTCTCCAAAGCCCTGGCACATGTCGTCCTTGAAGGCTTCTCGGATGGCGGGCCACGTAAGAAGCGCAGCTACTTACATGGCGCATGTGTGTGTATGTGGGCTTGGTGGCAAATTGCTCCGCTGCGTCTGGAACACGTCTGGAACGGGTCTGGAACGGGGTCTGGAACGGTTACGCGAGTGGCTTGCACTTTGGAATGCTAGCAAGCCGCATGTAAACACGGTCGTTTCAACCGAGAACGGTATCGAACCGTTACCGTACCGTATCGAAAGCGGCGGAATTGTATCGCACCGAACCGAACCAAAGTTCCGGAACACCGATACTCCTTTCTTAATTGATTTCTCCTTCTTTCTGGCTCCTTTGCTCCTTCTTTCTTGCTCCACGCCATTTCAGCCTTGGCCATTGCACTTGAACACCCGACAAAGAACGACCATCTGAATCAGTACTCTAGAAAATACATAAACAAGGTCTGGAACGGAAGGTCTGGAACATGTTTCTAGGCAAGGTCTGGAACGGAGGTCTGGAACGGAGGTCTGGATCGCATGTGGGTTCCGGACCCTGTTCCGGACCTTATAAATTGACTCGCAGCCATATGAAGCTCGGGCACTTTTCCATTGCTCTGGCAGAAAGTGAAGAATCAGGCACATTCTGTGTTCAAGCAGAAAAAAGCAAGCAAACAAATGGTATCAATGGAAGGTCCAGGTATGGTTTAGCTTTCTTCTCTTCATTTCCTCCCATCCCATCGCCTGGATCCTGGCGTGCCTTGGATGCACCAGGCATGCGCCTGGCCGGCGGCCCGATGCAAGTTCTGTTTCAAGTCTCCTGCCTTCCCTTCAAAGGGACTTTTTTTTCCAAATTCCACTTGGGAAATTCTTAGGACCTCCTCAAAAAATCCAAAACATGCCTCACACCCACCCCCCCAACAAAAAAACAAAAAAGAACAAACACACATGTTCGAGGGGGTGGGGATTAACCATGTTTTGACCATGTTTCAACCACTGTCTCAACAAAATCCGTTTGGATTCCCCAAGGTTGGAAAACAAACCCAAGGTTCGCCCAACCCTAGGTGGTTGTCTGCTTCAGGGGAAAAATCCTAAGGTCGACATGGAGATAGACACATTCAAGCCCGGACGCAGCGCTCTGGGTTCGCCTTTTCCAAAAACAACGAACCGGTATTAGCTCATGGACTGGTCAGAACGGCTGGGGACCCGGAAGGTCTCAACGATCCGAAGTGAAGTCAAAGCGGCACTAGCGCATCGCCCCTCGCAACCTGGCGCACGCAAGGAGTGCGGAGACATCGCTGCGACTGCACCCACCCCGACATGAGCTCTCGGGCATGGAGCCCATGCTTCCAATGCAAGTTGTTGAGACCGTGCAAATGGGCCTGGCATGGAAAGCGAAGGCCGTGCAAATAACGGCCAACCAAGGGAACTTTTTTGCGAGTGTCCGCAAAAAAACCAGGGCATTTGCGTGAAATCCCTACATTTAAGCAAAAACTGTATTTTTCTTGCGGGCTACCATAAAAGACACGGGAGCATTCAACTACTTTTCTCTGCAAGAATCTCACGTTCAGCTCCGGCCCTGGCACTGGAGCTTGCCATGCTCATGGGCCGAACAACCCAATTGAACGTCTGCAATTCACCAAGGACAAAAGGTGCGCATTTCCCCAAGTAAATGTTCGTCTGACTTCCATACTTTCTCCGCAGATTTCCGTACTTTCACTGCCGATTTCCGTACATGTCCCGCCGATTTGCGGGCATTTCCGGTTTCCGCATTTTGGATGAGAAAACGGCAAACTTGCAAAAGCGGCAAGGAAGCTGTCACACGTTGCCCCACAGCAAATGGAGATGTAAGACATGACGCGGAATTATGAGGAGCTACAGAAATTACAAACTGTGTTTAAGCGCATCCAGGAACACCACAAACGCTTACAGCCTGCTGAAGGCGATTTCCGTCCAATTCCTGAAAAAGCCTGTATCTTCCAACGAGCGTTATTTTCTGCTCAAGCTGCTATTTGATACGCTTTTTGTGCTTGCGAGCGTTTTTTGGGCAAACGAGCGCTATTTAGTCTTCGAGCGTTAACTCAGCCAACTGGAAGGCCGCTTCGCAAAGGAATTGAGGCTCCGTTGGAGAACAGGTTGCGCAATGCGGTCAATGTTTTGAATCGAGCAGCACCTTTCCTGGATGAAACAGGCCAGGCCGCACAACGAGCGCACATTCCCGCTACAAAAGCGCAATTTCCCGCCACACGAGCGCACTTCAAAAAGTGCTAGTTTTGCCACGTTCGGCGCCCGCTGCAAATCTTGCACATGAGTAGCAGAAAGACTGAGCCCACACGCTGAACAGTTTCTTCTTTTCTGATATCCGATCCGAGCGCTTTTTCTTGAACCGAGCGCTTTTCAGATAAACGCGCGGTAATCTGCACGAGCAGAAAATAACACTCATCGGAAGATTGAGGAGTAGTCATGCAAGTTTTTGTTTTTTCGGACATGTACAGAAACTTCAGTACTTTCGGAGGGTCCAGGAATACGCGTACAAAGGTCTGCTTTGTCACGCGAGTGGCAAGCTCTGAGAACGCCTGCTGCCTGAACTGCGCAAGGGCACTGTCTTGCGAATACGCACAAAAACGAGCATTGGCCAAAAATGTTCTTCTTCTTGCGGGGTAATCTTGCAGAAATCAAGAACCATGAGCATTCGACCTGTCTAACCTCAACGTTCAGCTCCGCTGGCACCGCTTGTCACGATCATGGGCGTTCCGGTGTGCGCTGAACAGAGGCCTGAAGCTGTCACAGGCATGCGCCGGCCGGGAGCATCCTCAAGGCCTACCACCAGCTTGGGAACGAGGGGCACGACTTCTTTGTAATTGGTTTGGCTAGCCCTCCATTGGCGAAATGGTCGCCAAGTGTGGAATGTGTGGAGCAATGCACAGTAACATCACAGAGCTGAGGTCTGCTGACTGCGGCGACTGTCTTTGCAGCACCGAATTTGCGCTAGAGGACGGCGGCGCCGTCACCAGCACTGCCTTTGGAAGATGAAGGTTTGACGCTGCATCCGGTCAAATGGCCCCAAATCCCTGCAGCGGGGCTTCACTGGAGCTCCACTCTCAGCCTCAACTTTGAACGACGAAGAGTTGGCAAACAGCTGGAATTGATCTGCCTCTTGCGCTTTCTCGCTCGCGTTGACCCGAGAATGGCTAGCCGTACAGGCAAGGGTCTAACTGCAACGAACTTGACTGTGGCCGCACATGTCGGATCCATGCACCATTGTTTCTGCGAACGGCATCTCCACTTCACCCAAGTCAGTAGCACACAATCCCACAAGAGCAAGTCGCTACAACTTCTTCTCAAGTAGCAGCTCTGGCAACGCCGAATCTTGCTCACACAAGGCTGCCTTTCGGAGCTGTGCTGAACCTCTGTTCAGCTTGCTGCTGGGACCCTGCTTTCATATTTGGAGCGTTGGAATGCTGCTTGGCACCACATGCAGAGCTGCCAGTCGGAAGGTGCAAAGCTGCGAGCCAAAACAAACTACAGGCCCGGAGCATGAACTGGGCCGATGCCGAGCATGCAGATGTCTGTATCCTGTCAGGAACTCCTTGCAAAGCTGCAAAGCCAGCCGAGGACAGCATGGGCAAAAGCCTGCTGCAAATGCACAGGGACCATGCCATGGAAATTCGTTCAGCAAGCAGCCCTTGAAACTGCCCTGAGAGATCCGCATGGTGTCAGCCGGCTCAGGCAGTAGGACAGGCTTTCTTGGAAGGGACTCTCGAGTACCTTAGTTGGCTAGCTGCTCACGCGAGTGTCTTGACCTGGTCAACTGTTGCAGGGGCCTTCGGGGCTCCAATTAAGAAGCAAAAAAAGAATTGGCCATCTTGTTGTTCGCACTGAGAACTGCTAATTTGATCGAACAAAACCAAAGCCAAGCTCAAGGATCAGAACCCATGTAACTCTGGGCGTCAAGCTTTACTTAGACCTGTGCCTTTTCCTCGGCA